ACGAGTCGCTACACCTAAGCGTGAACAGGCTTATTGACCTAGTATATATTGTATTCATCCAGAGAACAGCCGCATGAATTCCGAGTAACCGTCACCGAGAAATATTCTCGCATCAAGCTCAAGCCCAGCCCCAGTTACAAACCAGGTAGTGAAGTACGTACCTATTCCCGAACGCCGGAACCCTTAATCGCCAGTTCGGAACACTTCCCAACGAAATACAGTACAAATCACCGCAAACTCCCAACCAAACAAATCAAGCCAAAGGCGAGGTATCATAAACATCCCATCCCATCCCAAACCATCGATTCCCCCCTCTCCACCAGGGTTATCACCCCTCACACCTCACACTCCCAAAGCCCCTCTCACAGACCACATTCTCACAATGCATAGCACATCGAACCAGTCCTATTATACTCGTAAGAAAAATCCCCAGAAAGAATCACTCCCACTGCCCACGCCCACCCCCCAACGCGCCCAACCGATCCACCGCGCGCTGATCCAACAACGCCGCCGTCAATCTCTTCGACCCGCCGCTGCCCCGCTGGGCGTGCTGCATCCGCAGCTCCTTCGCGCGTTCGCGCTCGCGGGCCGCCGTGTACGAGTTCACGGAGGCGGTGGCGCCACCGCCCGGTTTCTTGAGGCCTTTGCCGGGTGGATTTGCGCCGTGGCTGGAGGTGACGGATGAGGTTGCGCTGGTGCGTCGGCTGCTTGGTCCTGAGGAGGAGGAGGAGGATGCCGAGGAGGTGGAGGCGGTGGTGCTGCGTCGGAGGAAGGGTGGGGGCCGGGTGAAGCCGAAGGTGTCCCGGTCGGTGGTGGGGGTGTCGGTTGCGAAAGCGAATTTGTTTCCAGTGGTGGTGGTGGTGGTGGTGGTGGTACTGGCGGAGTTGCTGGATGCTTGGCGGAGGAGGGCGAGGCGGTCGACGACGGGGCCGCGGGTGCGGCGCGGGTGGTGGGTGAGGAGGTTTCTTGGGGGGGGGTTTTGTTGGTGGGGCTGGCCGACGACGGCGGCGAGTTCGTCGTCGGAGTTGTCCGAGTTGTCGTCTGAAGCGAAGTCGGCGGGGTCCAGGGTTGGTGGTTCTTCGGGGTCTTCGGCGTCGTGGAGGGAGGCGTCCTCGTGGAAGGAATCGTACTCGTGCGTCTCGGTCAGGAAGCTCAGGGTCTCGCGGATCTCGGCCAGGGTCGCGGGTTTCTTGGACATGGCCGAGGCGGGCTTGCGGCGGAGGTGGGGCGGAGGCCGGTTGTACGTCGACTCGGTGCTGGGGTCGAGGGGGCGTTTTCTTTTGTTGCTGTTTTCGGGGTTGGTGGTGTCGGGTTGAGATTCAGCAGGTTCCGGTTGAGGGAGGTTGTTGTCTTGTTGACTTCCCTCCGCGTCCTCCCCCTCCTCCACGAACTCCAGTCCCATGTCCTCGTCGTCGTCGTCGCGGTCCTCGATTGCGCGGAAGAAGGCCGCTTTCTTCGGGTTCTCCGCGATCTCGCCCATCTTCTCGTCGGCCAGGAGAGCCTTGCGCATCCGCGCGAACTCGCGCTGCTTCTCGCGGCGCCGCGCCAGGAGTTCGTCGTCCGAGTCGTCTAGGTCGAACTCGTCGTCGGCGTTGGCGCCGCGGCGCCGGCGGAGGGCCCCCGTAGTGATGTCCTTCAGGAGCTTGGCGACTTGTTTCTCGTCGGTGGTGCGTTGGTGGTGTCTAGTGCGTGAGTGGTTAGCTTGACCAGAAACAAAGGGCAGGGCACACTCACGCGTTCAAGGCGGCAAGTTGCTTCTCGTCCACGGTCTCCCCGCTGTGGTCGTTGATCATCGCTCGGTCGTAGGCGTTCTCCTCGTCATCGTCGTCCTCGTCGCTTCCACCGCCCAGTCCGGCGTATTCGTCGTCCGACTCTTCGGCGGCTTCTTCCACCACGTCCCTGGCCTTGCTCTTGCTCTTGTCGAATAGGACGGCGGGCTTTTGGTTCTTCTTCGGCGCCTTCATGATGTTGAAGGCATTGGCGTTGATCTCGAAGTCTCCGTTGTCTTCCTCTTGTTCTTCGATCATGGAAAGGTCGGCGGCGCGGCCGCCGCGCTTCAAGTGGCGCATGCTTCGTGTGGGGACCGGGGACTGGTTCTGGTCCACGATCACGGTGTCGATGGTCGATTGGGGAGTGCCGAGGAAGCGCTTCGACGGGTCAAACGGCGACAGAATGAACCCTTCATCCTGCGTCGGGTCGGGAATCTGCGAGAAGTTCGAGACGGAGCGTGGAGCCGGGGATTCGGACACTCGCGCCGTGGACGGGGCGTAGTGAGCGAGTATATCATGAGACTCGGCCGGGGGCACCTGGCTGTCCTTGATGATCACATTGGAGTCGGACTCGTGGAGTCCAAGTTCGGGCAAAGTGCTCGGCAGTGTGGGAACAGGCGTCTGTTGGCTGCGCTGGGGGCTTCCGGCTATGGTGCCCGCAAAGGCTTGCGTCAAGCTTAGCAGGTCGTTGGAGCTCTGCGCAGGGAGGTGCGGCCGGTCGACAGACCGGGTTCCAGGAGTGGTGGCACCGATGATGGGCTTGGCTGGGGTTTTCGGCTCTTGCACTTCGTCCTCATCCTCGTCGTCGCTGATTACCCGAGTGTGTCGCTTGCGTCTCTGGGTAGGGATGTCCATCTCCTCGGACGACATGACTTCTGACTTGTCGTCGTCCGATTCATCGCCTTCGTCGGCTTCGGAGTCGACCAATCCATTACCGCCTACTGGTGCGTCTGCCATTTCCTCATCATCGTCGTCGTCGCCATTCTCCCCATCCTCTGACCCCGAGTATTCGAAGTCCTCGTCCTCGTCATCGTCGTCACCGTCGCGCTTGGCAGCTTTGCGTTCTTGCTTGGCGATAGCGTCGGCTTCCAGACGTGCCTTCTCGACCAGGTTCTCCAGTTCGTCCTCCATGGCAGCGCGCTCTTCCGCAGTCTCGATATGAATACCCTTGGCTCTGAGCTCTTCGATCCTCTCCTGTCGCTCCCTGGCAGCCTGTTGTCTGGCCTTCAAAAGCAACGTGGCAGAGAGCTGGGCCCCGTTCATGCCCTTGGACTTGCGGTTGGGCGAGGTCAAATGCGCCAGCGCTTTCAACTTGATCATTGAAGCCGACTCCTGTAGTTTCTTGGCGGGGAGGTTTTCGAACGCCGCAATCCGGCGGCATTTGGCCGGGGATGTGACAATCTCCAGGTCACTGTCCGAGTCGTCTTGCTGATGGCGGGCCACTTCTTCTCGTGACAGCCTGACGCGAACCGCCGGTAGATTCAGCGCTTTCTTCTCCTTCTTAAGCGGTGGTGCAGCTGTCGACTCCACCTCCATTCGAGCCACAACCGGCTCCTCAGGCTGCGTCGGTGGGTTGGCGAGAATCTCCTCGAGCGTAGGGAATTCGGGCTCAGCTGCATTTTCGTTTGGGGTGTCCTCCGCAGCAGACACCTTGTCCGCGGGGCCCAGGACCGGCGACGTCCGGGGCGTCTCCTTGTCCTTCTGTGCCTCGACATCCGACGAATTTTGCGAACCCGCCGCGCTGGACGAGGTTTCGCCAGGCGGGGGGACAGCCGGCTGGCCGAAGTTAAACCGCGCGAAGAAGCTCTCCTTGGTGATCTTCTTCTTCGTCTGTGCCTGATGCGCCAGCTGCATGTTGCGACTCATCCGCTGCGTCTCGCGGTTCATCTCCTCCAGTGCCTTTTTACTGGCCTTCCGTGCTGCCGGCCGCGTCTGCTCCTGCTGTTTTCTGGCGCTGGGTTTGGCTTCGGCGCCCGATGATGCACCGTCGCCCTCGCCCTCGCTTGCAGACAAGCCCATCTCCGAATCGGACTGTCCCTGCTGCCTCGCAGCCCGCGCCGCAGCCCGTCTCTCCGCCTCCGCCTGCTCCTTCTCCTCGCGCTCCTTCCGCTTCTGCGCCACGAGGGCCAAGAACCGGGCGTTCTTCTTGGGTAGCTGTGCGTCGTCCTCGTCGTCTGTCCCGTTGGCATCGTTGTCCTCGTCATGAACCCGTCCCTTGACAGGCGACGACACGAAAAGCGGAGAGTACGCGCGGGTCCGCGGCTCCTCCTCATCCTCATCGACCTCGGGCTCAGGAAGTAGACTGGTCACACCTCTCCGTCTCGGGCCAGCCGTCGGGAGATCGTCGTCGTCGTCATCGTCCTCCTCCTCCTCTTCTTCCTCAACAGTCTCATCACTCGAACCCTTTCCCAATTCTCTAGTCATCTCCTCATCCCGCAACCTCCTCGCAACGCGCTCAAACGCCGTCGTCGCCCCCGAAGGACTCGTACCCTGTAACCGCGCCGCCATCCGCCCTTTAGGCCGTATAATCTCCTCCTCATCCTCATCCACATCCTCCTCATCCATCGGCACCGAATCCGCCGCAACAAACGAAGAAATCGTACTCTTCTTCAACGCATCACTAAGCTTGGTCGTGGAGCGATCAACAAGCCCCTTAGACTTCTGATCCTGTGTGGAATTATTATTGTCGTCATCATCGGAATCGCTATCGAACGCCGCAAGCATGGCCTTGATCTTTCGGCCCGGGGTGAGAAGCATCTCGGTGTCGGGGCCGGAGGACGCGGCGCGCGTCGAGCGCGGTGTGGAGGTTGTGGAGGAGGACATTATCGTAGCGTTTTCTTTGGTTGGGCAAGGGGGTATCGGTATCATAGACGTTCGTGTGGTGAGGTAGTGGAGGTGAGCATTTCTAATTCAATTCCAATCGGGCAAGGTAAGGTCGGGAAACCGGGGGCGATGTGAGTTGAATTGCAGGGGCGTTGGAACTTGATCAAGTGAAAGTGGTTTGGGTCAGGCAATCAAGGAGCGCCGCGGAGATGGAATCTGCGGGCGGACGGGAAGACGCGCCGCGCGCGCGTGTTGGCGTCGAGGTCGGGGTTTGTTATCGCACGTGACCCGCGTTGGCTTATCGCCACTGCAACTGCAGTCTATACTACGTGCATGCAGTATGTATCAGTGATGATCTTTGCGACGGCTACGTCAACTTAGGTTGTTGATTGTGCGAATGGTTTATTTGCCTTGTATTGTATGGAGGTTGAGGGTTAAAAATACAGCGCGCGCCGTGGGTGGATTTCTTTCTCATTTGGAACGCCAATCAACACCAATTCCCTAGCAAGCACGAGAAGACGAAGGAAGGAAGGAAGAAAGAAAGGTAAAAGGGGGAAAGAGAAAGTGTACAATAACTCGAAAAAAAGAACAACCGACGCTGTAGCAAATGCTTTCGAATGCATTCGAGAATCCCAAGTTCATGGCCCTGTTTTTGTCCCCTTCAATGTACGATGGCGAGTGTCGATGGCACGGCTTGCACAGATTCGATGGTCGGGTGCAAAGTTTCGGTCTGAGGGCAACCCTCAGTGCTGGCCGTGGTCTGAGGATTGTGTGTTGCGACGGAATCGCACCGCTAGATCTCGATATCCAACTCTATATCCAAAGCGGCGATGTTCTCGTCGTCCATGTTGCGATGGCGGATGGCGCCGCTCTTGACGGCCTTGCGCTGGCTGGCGCCGCCGAGCGGGGTGCCCGCGGTGGGCGTGCTGGCCTTGGACGGCGTCCCGGAGGCCGAGGTGTCCTGGCTGCCGCCGTCGCCGGGCTTGTTGGGCGACGGGATGGTGTTGCCATTCACATCGTAGTGCGTGCGGGCCTGGGTGCGCACCCGCATGAAGGGGTTGAGCGTGGCCTCGCCGCGGGCCACGGCGGCGGCGGCCTTGCGGCTGGCCTTGCGCTCCTCGAGCTGGGCGCGGCGCACGTTCTCGTAGTTGAGCTTCTGGTTGCGCAGGTTCAGCTCGGCCAGGCGCTCGTGCTCGGAGGGCTTGTCGGCGCGGGGCCGCGACAGGCTGGTGCCGTGCGCGACCTTGGGCGCCGCCATGCTGGTCAGCTCGCTCTGCAGCCGCTCCGCCTCGGCCTCGTCGCCGGCCGCCTTCGCCAGTTTCAGCTGCTTCTCCACGTCGACGCGCTTGAAGAATTGCGACTTGGTGTCGAGCGACCCCTGCTTGCGCAGCTTCTCGTTGAGCTCTTCGTTGGTGAACTTGTGGTTCAGGAGCCGGTTGATGTCCGCCACTTTGCTGGCCACCTGGGACTTCGTGGCCATCTTGCAGTCTTCAATGGCCATGGTCTGCCGGTAGCGGTTGAACTCGGCCTTGGAAGCGTTAGTTGATGGGGCCGGGAACGCGGAAGACGACGGATTACAAACCTCTGTGAATGGGGAGTCCGAGCACGCGATGAAAGGGAAGCTTTTCTCGGCCTTTCCGTGGGCCAACACGGCGTACTGATTTGTGGCAAATGAGCGGCCATTTGATCCCTCCATGGCGTACATGGGCCCTTCCTCGACGATTCCTGTCATCGTTAGCGAGAAGTTCCGGGACGAACCCAAGGAAGGACCTCTTACTCTTAATCAAACACACACGGTACTGGTTCAGACCCGTATCGCGGTTGGGCCCGATGTTCACACGAGCGTAGCATCCGGCGATCGCCTCCTCGAACCCGGGGTAGAAGCAGACCTGCGCGAAATTACTGCGACCGACGCGCGTGCGCTGGACGTCTCGCAGTTCGGCCGGCGGATCGTCCTTGGGAGGAGACGGGGAGCGTTCCCGATCGTCCCATTCGACTTCACTCTCGCCTTCGGCGTCTTCATCCGACAGCCTATCATCCCGGGAGCGGGCCTTCTGATCCTTCGCGGTGGGGTCCCGCCGGCGGAGCTCGTCGCGTTTGCCCTTCTGCTCGCGCTGCCGCTTGTAGGCCTCGATCGCCTCCGACGTCTCCCCGACCTTGCGACCGCCCAGCGTCGTCTTCTGCCGCGAGCTTTTGCGGTTGCCCTCGTCTAGGTTCGCGGCGCTCGCCTTCCGCTTGTTCTTCTTGGCCTTGCGGGCCTCCTCCCGCTCCCGCGAGGCTAGCAGACGGCGGAGGGCGAGATCCTGGTTGTGCCGGTCCACCTCCTGCGCGCGTTCTGACAGGATCTGCTCGCGCTGAATCTCGGGCATCGCCATGATCTCCTCCTTGTCCTTGGCGGAGTAATACAGCTTCTCGTAGGGGAACATGGGGCCGTCATCTTCGCCGATGTCGGCGGAACCTTCCGAGTCGGACGCGGAATCGGATTCGGACATGCTGGCAGAGTCGAGCGATTCGGCTGCAGAGCTGATCGGAGGCACACACCGTGTTAGCCAGCGGGGGACCTTCTTACTGTCTTCCGGAAGTGAACATCCGGGGGCAGCGGGGGTGACACTTACAGTTCACCGTCCTCGTCATCATGATGGCGGGACTTTCGACTACGTCGCGCGGGTTTGGCGATGCCTTTGCGACCCATGGTGGATGATGCGGCGGGTGATTGTGGTGGTGGTGAAGAAGAAGAGCGATCCGGGGAGGCGGCCTTTTCTCTGGTGGGCGGGGAAGACTCCTCGTCCGAGGAGTCACCCGCCAGGGCGAGAAGCTCCGCATCGAGATCATCCGCCATGGTGAATTGAGAGTAGGGTGAGGTGTTAACTAAGTGTGCGGGACCGGGTTGTGCGAGCCCTAGCAAAGGTGGCGCTGGCTCTCAGACGCAAAACTAAAAGAGCCCAATGAAGTCCTAGTTGTCGACCAGCGCACTCGAGGTAGTATATATCGTCTAGACAGGCTGTCGCTGAGCAGATGTGAAGTCCTTGGGGTGACCACAGGGGACGTCGAATTGGGGCGAAACCGCGCTATATAGGACCGGGGGTGCGCTGGGAGAGAACGCTGACAAAGACCAATCTGAGGTTTGCCGATTTATATAGTGCTGATAGCGTGGAGACAGAAGGGGATAATTTTGAGGGTGTTGCGCGTGCAGGATGGACACTGTCGCAGGGGGAGGTCAGGTTTAAAACATTCGATATCGGGAAGTGAAAAGAAGCGCCTGGCGAAGTTCACGATCCTCACTTGTTCATGACGTTCCGCTCCAGGGTTGGCGTGCCAAGGCGGTAAGCGCGCGGCTGCGGCTTTGCTGGACTTGAATGGAACGCGGGTTGAGCCACCTCGGAACGCATGGCAGCATAAGGCCACTTGACTGCAATAGAGGTAAGTTAAGCATTCTTTAAGTCTCTCACAAAAAGTCTAGACAGCGTATTAACTTCTATCGCAACAGTCTTCTTTAACACGCCCGCCCGCGATCTCCGAGAGTGTCACAATGCTGGCCAGAACTTCCCTTGCCGCATCTTTCCGACCGACGGCCGCGGCCACCACCCCCGTCGTGCTCGACTTCCTCGCACCATCCACGCTGCAACAGAGCCCCCGTCGCCTGTACAACTCCACCGCCACCAATCATTCCCCTCCCACAAGCCCGTCAGCCCCGAAGCCAGATGCCCCGAAACCGAGATACGCCCTGACCGCGAAGCAACGCGCATTCCTCGACAGCGCGCTGCGGGTCAACCAAGCCGGCGAGCTGGCGGCGACGCTGATCTACACGGCGCAGACGCCACAGGTCGTGCGCTCGCACCCGCACCTGCGGCCGCTGATGAAGCACATGTACGACCAGGAGGTCGGGCACTTCAACACATTCAACCAGCTCATCGCCAAGCACCGGGTCCGGCCGACGGCGATGTACCCGGTCTGGTATGCGGCAGCGACCTTTCTGGGCTGGTCCACGGGCGTCATGGGCCGGGAGGCCGCCATGGCCTGCACGGAGGCCGTCGAGACGGAGATCGGGTCGCACTACAACGACCAGGTGCGCGAGATCTTGGCTTGGAAGGCCGAGGCGGAGCGCCGCGGCGAGGCGCTGGACCCGGAGCTCGAGGAGATGCTGGCCAACTTCCGGCGCATCCGCGACGAGGAGCTCGAGCACTTGGACCACGCGGTCGAGAATGATGCCAAGGAGGCCAAGCCGTACGATCCCCTGGTTAACTTCATCCGCTATGGATGCAAGGCCGCTATCAAGATCAGCGAGAAGGTCTAGATGGAGTCTTTTACAAATGTGTTGGGGGAAGCTTTGCACATGCTATATGTTCGCCAGTTGTTGGGGAAAAGTCCGACGTTTACGGTATTTTTGTGTACGATGTACGATACATTTCACGGTTGCCCATTGTATTATATTTCATGGATCCATATGTGTAGTCTATAAGATGCAGACGGCTGGTCTATTTTCGCTGCAAAGCAAGTCGCTCAGGTGGTGGTGGTGGTGGTCCATCAAATCTCAACTCGTAACTGCTCACGCTGAGCATGCGATCCGTACCTCAATGGTGGGAGTGTCGCATACACACGCTGACCTCCAAAGTCCAACCCAATCTTCACTCCTCTTCCACCCCCTGCTTTTTCTTCTCCAGGTACTCGACGAAATTCCTCGAGAATCGCGACACCTGCTCATAAACCTCCTTGAACCCATGAACCCCCCCATAATAAGGGTCCTGCACCACCTCGCCCCCGCCCACCCGCTCATGCAGGGCCCCGCCCTCCCCGAAATCCCCGAACAGGCGCACTTCGGCCACCTTCACCGGGGCTTTCTTGGTGGCCGACGCCGCCAGCACGGCCGCGCGCGTCTCCTGCAGGTCGCGCAGGTTGTACTTGTCCATCGCCAGGAGGTAGTCGAAGGTCAGGAAGTCCTCCTTGGTGACCTTGCGTGCCGCGTGCACGTAGCGGGTGATGCCGTGGGCGCGCAGCGTGGTCATCGTCCGGTGGTCGGGCGCCTCGCCGGCGTGGTAGGCGCCGGTACCGGCCGAGTCGATCTGGTTGATGAGCGGGTGCGCGGCGGCGACGTGTCGAAAGACGCCTTCGGCCATGGGGGAGCGGCCTGCGGGATTGTTTGTTAGATGATGGCGTTTGTGGAATTGGGGGGTGATGAGTGCGGGGAGATGGGGATGGGGAGGAGGAGGATTGTTGGGCCTTACAGATATTGCCGAGGCAGACGAATAGGACGTTGACCTGCTGTCCTGCAGGTGTGGTGTTCGTGGCGGACATCGTGCTATAGTATATTGCTGTACTGTTTGAGACGGGCTCAGAAAACATGGAAGGTGAGGATGATAGGTGGAGGAGTGAACGCTTTTGTTCCTATAGTGGCTGACCGCGGGCGGGGGATGGGATGCGGGCGGCGCAGAATCTTATCGATAGCGAATTGATGCCTGAGGCGCAAATGGCAGCTTCCGGCGTCATATTGAGGACTGTACCTGACTCTTGCCACATGCTTGTTCATATGCTGGGTACCTTTCCACTTTTGGATCTACCTTTCGATTTGAGGCGGTTGGTTCAACTGTATGTAACGGCGACGTGCGGCAGTGAGGGATTTTGACGTGCATTGACAGTCCCGCCTACTGCCAGTGGTATCAGTGGTGGAAATTCAGATTCACATCTCAGCGTTGTTGGTCGACATGATACGGGATCTACTCGCAGCATTCATGGTGAACTAGACCCTCGTTGGTCCTCCTCAGGAATACACTGAACTACAAGACCGATATTGCCGTACTGCAATAAGACACTGAAATCTGGGCTTCTTGCATCAACTCCTTCAGCAACATGGATCCTCTTATACCGATCCAGAGAGGATACGAAATCCAAACCGGGATGGTTTACGAATACGAACAAGATAAAGTGAGACACAAGGAGCAACTATGACGTCGCTAGCTGGGGTTCAGAAGCTAACGCACATCCCCAGGCAACGACTTTCCTGAGCAACCGATAGGGCTTGAGATGGTCTATCCTCAGCTGATAAGAGGATGGATAATTATAGCCTGCCCGTCAGCCTGCCTTGCGGATATAAAAAGCCAGCCAGTGCCACACTGCCCTGTGGCTGTGAAGACCGAGGCCGTCCTACGGTTGGCCCAGTGACCACCCGTGACCACCAGTGGAGAACAGGACAACCTTGGCCCATGGCGCGCTTCCTGCAATAGATCAACTCTATCCATGGTTCGCCAGTCGGATTGGTATCAGGGACGCATTTTTGTGTATCACATTTGATGATGAAAAATGTGACAGCCTGGGACAAGTGAGACTCTGGGGAAGAAACTTATGTTGCCCGGAAGACGCTACAGAGTGGTCATATCAAGGCATCGATCCCACATCTCGTCATATGCATCGTCCTCCGTCGCCCAAGTGGAGCCTGCACCATGTTTGTTATGATGATGATGATCAAGCCGTCAAGCGGAATCTCATTGATCTCATTTATCTCATTAATCAATCACCCGCCTGAGGCTAGTTATCGGGACTGATCGTCCCCGCCGTTCCTTGGTCAACGGACTTGATCTTTTCCCCTCTCCCAGCGTAATAGAATAACAATTGTGGTTTGTTTGATTGTACACTTCGTAAGCTGCTCGAGGACTAGTTTTACGGGCGTAGAAACGAAGACAATTCCGGGTAGCCCCAACCGGTGACCGTGGCACTGCTAGTTACCTACAACCTACTTTCCCCTCCCCCTCCCAACCCCCCGGTACGAGAAAAAATAAGCCACCCCCAATCCACTCAATATCAATCAATTCGTTCCAAAGGATCTTCCGTGTTCCCTCTCTCTCTGTCTTTCACATTTCTTGGCCAGAGTGACCTCTGCTTCTTTGTTCCTCCTCTCAATCATCCTCCTCCGAATTAATCTCGCCTATCGCATCTGAAACTCCCGTCGCGACCCCGGATCCCTCCATCTCTTCATCACACCTGCCGTCCGCTCGCCTGCTCACTCCCACATTCCATCAGCCCGCTCGGCGCAATTTGCACCCCAGCTTCCCTGGCTAGGAATTCACAAGGGGCATTGCCATCGAAACGATTAATTTCCCGAGTCACGATCGGCCAACATGTCATATAATCGCCTGGGTAAGTTCCGATCTGTCGGTGAAGCCGTGTTGCGCGGCAGTGGGTTTGTCGCGCATTTGTCCCCTTCTCCGCAACCAGCCCCCCAACGTGAAACTCTAGTCGGAGAGGTCGATCAACCAAGCTGCTACTGCTGCTGCTGCACAAAAAGGCAGTCTGCTTGTACTCGCTCGTATCCTGGTGCGACAAGGCGACAGACGAGCCACCTCTGCTAGAATCTGTTTGCCGTCGCACCTGCTTTCCTCTCATTTCCTTTGCGACCTTGCACTCCGGGTGGTTATATCGTACTGATCATTGACTACAGGAGACCCTTACGGGGAGGAGGAAACTCACACTCCCATGATGCATCCACATCAATTAGATGCCCGGTCTCCGTCGCCGGGTCGGCCATTGAATACCTATCAGTTGACCGACAATCCTTATCCACAAGAGCATCTGGAGATGCCCTCTAGCGACCGACTAGCCGAGCAACCGACAGTAAGAACTGCCATCTCACCGTTGAAACCGGAACGAAGAGCTAATCAACGGCATTGCGGGATGTAGTACTCCGTCGAGCGACTTCCCAACTCCTATGGTCATAACGAGGCCTACGAGCACCACCAACCGCAGGCTTACCCCGGCTATGAATATTCCATCGACCCCGAAGCACATCACGATGCGTACTACACTCAGCCCTACCACCCAGCGGTGACACCCGCGCACGATGACGATTACGATCTCGGACAATACCCGGAGCATCAGCCGCAGCATCAGCATACGTACAGCGACGACCATGTACCTATCCTGCAGCCGGACAACCCGTTCGGGCCGGACCCGTACAGTGACGAATACGAAGAGGACCCTACGCTGGCCCCGACCCATTCGCCCAGCCCGGTGCCCGTACGCCGATGGAAGACCGTGAAGGAAGTCCAGTTGTTCAACGGCAACCTCGTGCTGGACTGTCCGATTGCCCCCAAGCTGCTCAGCCAAGTGCCGCACGCCGAGCCCCCGGGCCGCGACGAATTCACCCACATGCGCTATTCCGCCGCCACGTGCGATCCAGCCGACTTTTTTGAGGAGCGCTTCACGTTGCGGCAGAAGCTGTTCGCCAAGCCCCGACACACGGAGCTCTTCATCGCCGTCACCATGTACAACGAGGATGACTTCCTGTTCGCCCGCACAATGATCGGTGTGTTCAAGAACATCGAGTACATGTGCTCGAGGACCAGCAGCAAGACCTGGGGTAAGGATGCCTGGAAGAAGATCGTGGTCTGCGTGATCAGCGACGGTCGTGCGAAGATCAACCCCCGGACGCGGGCTGTGCTGGCCGGTCTGGGTTGCTACCAAGACGGCATCGCCAAGCAGCAGGTCAATGGCAAAGATGTGACGGCGCACATCTATGAGTACACGACCCAGGTGGGGCTGGAGCTGAAGGGCACGCAAGTGCACCTCAAGGGCCGCACCGGGGTCCCCGTGCAGATGATCTTCTGTCTGAAGGAGAAGAACCAGAAGAAGATCAACTCGCATCGGTGGTTCTTTCAGGCCTTCGGGCGCGTGCTGGACCCCAACATCTGCGTCTTGCTCGACGCCGGTACCCGTCCCGGCAAGGACTCGATCTACCATCTCTGGAAGGCGTTCGACGTCAACCCCATGTGCGGCGGCGCCTGCGGTGAGATCAAGGTCATGTTGGACAAGGGCAAGAAGCTGCTGAACCCGCTAGTCGCCGGACAGAATTTCGAATACAAGCTCAGTAACATCTTAGACAAGCCGCTGGAGTCGGCCTTTGGGTTCATCAGTGTCCTGCCGGGTGCGTTCTCGGCCTACCGGTACGTGGCGCTGCAGAATGACAAGAACGGACAGGGTCCGTTGGAGCGCTACTTTGCCGGTGAGAAGATGCACGGTGCCAACGCCGGCATCTTCACGGCCAACATGTACCTGGCCGAGGACCGTATCCTGTGTTTCGAGTTGGTGTCCAAGCGCAACTGCCGCTGGCTGCTGCAGTATGTCAAGTCGTCCACGGGCGAGACGGATGTGCCCGATCGCATGGCGGAATTCATCCTGCAGCGGCGCCGTTGGCTGAACGGTAGTTTCTTCGCGGCGGTTTACGCCATTGCCCACTTCTATCAGCTCTGGCGGAGCGACCATAGCTTCATGCGCAAGTTCATGCTCTTGATCGAATTCATCTATCAGACGATCAACATGCTTTTCGCATGGTTTGGCATTGTAAGTACTCTGCTCGATCCAGCTCTTTCTTTCAATGCCGATGACTAATGTGAGTTTTCAGGGCAATTTCTTCCTGGTCTTCAAGATTCTCACCTCGTACCTAGGCGACTCGTCGCTCCTAGGCACGGTGGGAAAGATTCTTGGTGTGGTGTTCGAGTGGCTCTACCTGGCGACATTGGTAACCTGCTTCGTCCTCGCGTTGGGTAACAGACCCGGTGGGTCCAACAAGTTCTACATGACGATGGTGTACTTCTGGATTTGCATTATGATCTACCTGGCCTTTGCGGCGATCTTCGTCACCGTGAAATCCATCGAGGAGCAGGTCAAGGACAACAGCTTCACCTTCTCCGACCTGTTCACCAACTACCAGTTCTTCTCGATCATCGTCTCTCTTGGATCCACCTATGTGATGTGGTTCCTGGCCTCCTTCATCTTCCTCGACCCCTGGCACATGTTCACTAGCGTGAGTCTTCGTCTTTGATAATGATATCGCTCTCTATAATCGCACCCACTGACCGAGAATAGTTCATCCAATACATCCTCCTGACACCCACCTACATCAACGTCCTGAATATCTACGCCTTCTGCAACACCCACGATATCACCTGGGGCACCAAGGGCGACGACAAGGCCGAGAAGCTGCCGTCCGCGAACCTGAAACCCGGCGGCAAGGTCGACGTGAACATCCCGCAGGACGACGGCGATCTCAACGCGCAGTACGAGGCCGAGCTGGCCAAGTTCGCCACCAAGCCCCCCAAGGAGGTCCCCTCCGTCTCCGAGGAGGACCGGCAGGCCGACTACTACAAGGGATTTCGTAGTGCCGTCGTCCTGGCCTGGGTGTTCTGCAACTTCGCCCTGGCGGCGGTGGTGCTTAGCGCCGCGGGGCTCGAGACCTTCGACAGCGACTCGGACTCGACGCAGAACAAGCGCTCCACGATCTACATGTCCGTGGTGCTGTGGAGTGTGGCCGGGTTGTCCATCTTCAAGTTCATCGGGGCGATGTGGTATTTGGTTGTACGGATGGTATGTTTCTCCTACTCTTTCTGGTAGATATTGGGATGGCTTAAGCTAATTTTTGGCGTCTAGTTCCGCGGAGAGTAAGCGATGAATGGTGACGTTAAGAGAGCAAGCCAATGCCGATGTCGGTGAGAATGTGGCGGGGTCTGTCTGTCCCGATACACCGCCTAAGGAGAGGTGGCCGTGGTTGCCCGCGGGCGAGAGGGGCGTAGTAGATTCTGTGCATGAGTGAGTGAAAATGAGAAAACAACAATTGGTGGAAGGCCAAACGGCCACCTACCGTCAATCGGCCAAATGCCTTCTTCTTGTACGGGGCACTTAGCCTGTCCTCTGGGTCCCTTGCCCCATTGGAGACGCGGGGCGGGTCGTGGACTTCCCCTGCATATTTCATCTTCATCATCGCCGCGGGTCTCGCTTGGGGTGACGACGGTGCTCGGTCATTGTGCTCGAGACGTGTAGGAGCGGGGGCGGGCATCTGGCTTGGCGAACAGGAGGCGATACTGCTGTGGCTGGTGCTGCCGACCTTGCAACGATGACCGATGAGCCGAGTCGGTATCAGGGACAGCGACCGCGCATCCGCACCGCCCGTCCCAATGGCATCAAAGCCGCCGCCGCCGGCCCCCAGGGACGAAGGCAGGGAAACACTAGAGGACGCCGCGTGCGCTGCCGGAAGCATCAACATCAGCATCAGCTCAGCAACGCCCGAACCTTACAACCCGGCACCACCAGACCACCCACCATTCCGCGCCAGACCGGGCGTCGCCCCCTCATCCACCACCCGATCCAACGACGAGACCGACCCCCGACTATCCTCGTGTCCATACTCGACCAACCGGGGAAACGAAACGATCCCCATCGTCGTCGACGTCGTCCCCCAAGACCGAAAGATCTCCTCCAGCGTGCTCTCCATCTCCGCCCCCGCACCGCCAGATGATATCGTCCTGTGCCCCTCGAGCCCAGCACTGCACCCATCCCCCGCCCCAGCCGCCGGAGAGCCCGTATTCATCGGTACCCCATCAACCATGAACTGGATATGGGCGGAATTCCCAGTATCCTCAGCAGCTCGTGCGGCCGCGGCACCCCCGGGATCCACATTCACACTCTCTCCAGCCTCTATCGCATCCACCCGTGCCGCTGCGGCGGCGGCGGCGGCGGCGGCGGCACGATCCGGCGTCTCCTTCCGCTTGACGCGCCATTTGCGCTGTATGCGTAAGCCGGGGTACGCGCGCGGCCGCGGCAGGCTTCCGAAATGCACAGTGTGGCGCTTGTGCGTTGTTTTGGGAGGAGTGAGCAGGTCCAGAGCGGCGGCGTTCTGCTCTAGTTCCAGTTCCAGCTCGGTGAGCGGGAGCGGGCTGCGGTAGCCTCGGAATGCTTGGAAGCCCTACATTGTCCGCAACCACAGGGCCAGATGATTAGAACAAGTGCAACAATGACTGGACTGGGGAGGGAGGGGGGCAACGGAGGAAAGTAAGAACAATGGGGCTGGGGCGAGCGAGTACATCGTGATATTCTTTGTCTGTGACATTTTCATTTCTGGTTTGTTTTCAATCAAGCATTGAGAGAGACAAATATGATTCAATTATACGGCATGGTATCAATAGGCATAAGCGTAGGCATAGGCATAAGCGTAGTCACACACACAGAAAGTCAAAGTTCACACACACAGACACACACACACACACACAAACACTTTCACTGTCTCTCTGTCTCTCGCTACCCAGAAAAAGAAGAAGAACAAAAAAGAAAAATCAAGAATCTACTACCTTCTCAGAATGGCCCCCGATCCCGCCGCCCTTCAGCTTACTCCGGCCGCGCGCGAACAGCCCCTTGGCCGCCTCGCCGGCCCGTCCGCCCAGCACCCCGGCCGAGTGCAGCAGCTCCTTGCCCCGCTGCTCGACCTGCTGTTTATTCATCATGGCGCCGAGCGGGGCGGACGGGCGGCGCGCATGGCCGCCAGCGCCACCAGAGATTCCGGAAATTCCAGACCCCGACGGCATCCCCGACGACACGTCGAGCTGCGAGGAGGACCCGAAGTTGCCGAGCGACGAGAGCTTGGGGAACTTCTTGCGGGGCACGCTGACGGCCGGCACGGCGCCGCCGGCGGCCAGCTTGGCGCTCTTGTCGACCACGTCCGCGTGCTCCGGGTGGGCGTGCACGGTGACCTGGATCCAGTGGGCGAGGCCCGTGTCGATGGTGGCGAACTTGGCCCGCGTGTCGTTGAAGGCCTGCGTCCGGGCCTCGGGGGTCGGCATGCCCAGAATCTCGCGGAAGCCTAGGAGGGTCGGTTCGACGGAGGCCGGGGCCGTGGGCGTCCACTGCGGGATCTGCTGGTGCTGGTTGTGATATTTCTCGGTAAAGGGCGGTGCGTTGTTGCTGTCGTGGTTGTTGTTGTTGTTGTTCTCGGTGTCGGCATAGGTGTCTGGGATGGCTTCCGCGTGGTAGACTTCGGGCAGTTGGCCGTCGGAGATGATGCTTCGATCGTCGGGGACCGGGGGCAGGATGGTGAGTTTGGGCTTTTCGATTTCAGGCCCAACGGAGCTGTCGCTCTCCTCGGGGGCCTTGTGGAGGGGCTCCTCGGGAGAGATAATCTCCGCTGGGATGGCTTCCGCCGGTATAGCCTCCGCCGCGGTGGGACTCGTCACCTCAGTCTCCGAAGAGGATTGGACGGGAGTCTCGCGGGAGGCAGGAAACTGTCCCGGCATGGGAGCAGGAGGCGACTGCACACCTGCTGCCGGCGCAGGCTCCTCGGAGGAGGATGAAGACTCCCACGAGAAGCGCCGTGCTAATTTTGGCTTGGAAGACTCCGATGACGGGGATGTGATTGGCTCGGAGGCAGCAGGAAGCACATCCTCAATGGTGGATCCCTGAAGGGCAACCGGAGAGGCGACGTAGTCTGGAGTTGACTGGTCAAGGGCTACGGGGCTTGTAGTAGACTCTGCAGCGCTCCAATACCTCTCGTATTCGCTAGGGATGAGGCTGTCCTGGCGTTCAGCCTCTGGCCGACTCGCAGGCTCCTCTTCTTCTTGCTCCTTTGAGGGGGTTGTCTCGCAACTCAGTGTCCGCATGATCTCCTTACGCAGGCGGTCACTCTCCGTGTCTTGGGGCGAATTGTCGGTGCTCATGGAAGGTATAATGATAGGCACTCCATCATGCGTGAGCGCAGGGGCCGACGTCACAGGATGGGACCCGATACTCAGAGGAGCAGGGTGATCAGGACCGGGTGCTGGTTCGTGCGCAAGACCTTCTTGCGGCGTTTGTTCGCCTGATTGTGAATCAAGGGAAGACGCGACCGGTGTCTCAACAGACATCTCGCCTGCTGCGGACGGATGGGCGGTTTGAACATTGGTGATCCTCGGGGTCCTCGAGGGGCTATTGTTCGGACTGGGAAGGCTAATGTCTCGACGATGACCCGGTTTGAAAACTAGATCACTCGCATCCTTGGGTGGGGGTGTTCTCTCGCCCGGCTCTTCCAGAATCGTGGGTGTTTTGATATCGCTCTGGCTGCGCTGCGGAATGATGGGACTTATCACCGAGGTACTATCGCTATTCGACCGTGCGACGCTGTCAACCGTCGTACTAGGAGTGTCAGGCACATCGAAGGCTTGATGAACCACCGAACGGAATCCCATGGACGGATTGTGCTGCAGTTGGTGTTGCTCGGGCTCTGGCCCTGGGGCTTCTGACGCAGGGAAATACGAGTCGCCCGAGAAGTCCGGGTCGAAGCTTGAAAGACGCTCCACATCTGGAAGCTGAATTGTCGGTGGGCTACCTCCTGCTGCCTCAGGTGGGTGAGAGATTTGTGGCGCAGCGCCTTGCGGTCGGAAAGGCTTGTAGTCACCTGTCCCGGCCGGTGCTTCGTTGCTGGATGGTAAGTGGAGTTCGGCAGACGTCAGACCCGGAACAGTCGCTGTCGTATTGGAAAAGCCTGCGCTTGACTGAGCGCCGTTGCGATCCTGCGGCACCGCGCCTTCGGATCTCATCCGCTTGTATATATCGACCGGGCGAACGATCGGGACGGTCCGTGTAGCGGGCTCGACGACCGTCGCTTCTGGAGGCTGAGCACGAATCGGTTCTCCTCCAAGAGTCGCGACCTGGTCCATCGATCGGGATCGATCCATCGAAGGGAGTGGCGGTCGGGAGGTATCCCTCGTGAACATGCTCGGAAGATCCCCGGTGCTTTGATTCAGGTTGTGTTGCGGAACCGGTGGAGGCTCGTCGTCATCATACTCGCCGTACTCATCGTCGCCCCAGTCGTTTCCATCGTACGAGTACTTCTTTGCTTCTACCCAGCGTTTTGTCTTTGCTCGGTTGACATTAGGCTTGAATGATACCGGTGTTTCTCCGCGCGGAACTGGCGACATGGGACTTTCTGTGTTGGAGGAGCTGCAGATCGAGGCGTCGGATATATTAGTACAGTCCAGTGCACCGGGTGGCCGAAAGGGGTGGCTGCATGGACTCACAGCTTCTGTAGCTCGGGCTCGTAGGGCTGAAATGGACGGGCCATTGTTCTCACGCGACTAACCTGATCAGCAAGGCTGGATCAGGAGCTGGATTCAACAGTGCAGGTGGAGTTTGAGATCGATGATTGGCATGTCCAGCGCCAAGAGCGAATGTCAGAACTGAAACGAGTGACCCCAGTCGAAGGCGCGGTGAGCGCAAGGTGTTGAGCGGGTGTAGCGGACAGAAAAGAGGGCGCGAGGAGAATGGTTTCACAGAGACGGAGATGACGTGGGAGAGGAAGAGGAGGAATGGGGGCAGTGCGCCAAGAGACGAGGCGGTGCACGGAAAGAAGATTGATGTGCAGATGGGAGGAAGCAGTTATTTTTAAACGCTCGATGAAAGAATTCCTCGGACGAGCATCCCAGCGCGATGAATGAGCAGCGATAATGTTATTTGGGGTGGTTGGGAAGTACAGATCACAAGGAAGAGAGAGTAGAGAGTAGAGAGTATAAGGTATAAGGTATCGATACTGCCCCTGATTCCACCCAACCTCAACGGTAATTGGCTGCTTTGATGGCCGCCTACCGGCCCAAAATGGATAACCTGTGGCTGGTGTGGAGCCTGGTGGCTAGTGCAGTGGCTAGTGCCGATGTGGGGTGGCTGGTGTGTGCACGTGGCTGGGCTGGCCACTAGTCCTAAATGATCCTACTGTAACTGACCAGTTGGTGAATCTGCTGCATTGCCGCTTTCGTCTTCTCTCCATTCCTCTCGTTCATCATCGCTCTGGATTGCCTACCATGACGATCTTGTAATTCCGCTTCTTTTCCTGTCAACACACTGACTCTCCGCTCCTCCTTCCTTCTTCCCCTCTCCCCACCCACATAACGTGCTCTCACTATCTCTCTATCTCTCTCCACTATCTCCGCACGACGAAACAAACGGACACGTCTCCAGTTGCCTGCCTCCTTATCGATTAGTCTGGACTCCGTGCCGTATAATCGATCCCCTCCCCATCGCACCGCACCGCACCGCACCCGACCGTTGGTTCTAGATTCGGCGATTGGCATCCTTTCGACCCTCTTCGGCGTATAGTGATTGTGCCTCGCTTACGGCTCACGTCCATCGCATCTTCGCTCAATCGACCTCCCCGTCCTCTTCCCCGTCCTCCTCCACCTCCCGTCCTCCACCACCACCACCCAACGAACGACCCTCACCCGCACAATGGCCGGCCCGTCCATCCAGGATCGCACGGGCGAGTTCCACGCCATTCTCGGCCAGGCCCAGAAACGCCTAGCCTCCAGTAAAGCCGGCCCTCAGCGCCAGGCCCTTCTGTCCGATGCGCAGCGTCGACAAGCCAATGGGTCCGCCGATGCACAACACCCGGGGAAGCGACGGTCGGAGTTTGCGCGGAGAGCCGTGGAGATCGGACGCGGGATCACGGCGACGACCGCCAAGTTGCAACGGCTGGCTGAGTGTGAGGCCCCCTCCCCGAAACCTCGAATACTCACTTGGCAAAGGCTGACTTGAGAATCTTGGGTGTTAGTGGCAAAACGCAAGACCCTCTTCGACGACAGACCGGTCGAGATCTCCGAATTGACCTATGTCATCAAGCAAGATCTCGCTTCCCTGAACCAACAGATCGCCTCGTTGCAAGCGCTCACCCTCTCCCAACATCCGAAGAACACCCGCTCCAAAGCGGACCAGGAAGGCGAGCATAATGATAATGTATGTCCCAGAAGCGAAAGGCCCGCGCTACGAGACTAACGATGAACGCAGGTGGTCGTGATGCTGCAAGGCAAACTGGCCGACGTGGGCGCCAACTTCAAGGACGTCCTCGAAGTGCGCACGAAGAACATCCAAGCATCGCGCTCGCGCACCGAGAACTTCGTCTCCTCCGTCTCGCAAAAGTCCCACACGGCCCTCGACCCCCAGCGCTCCGACTCCCCGCTTTACAATCCCTCCGGCCGGCGGACGCCCCAGCCCGGCGGTGGCGGCGGCGGCGGTGGCGGCGGTGCCGACCTTCTGACCCTGGAACCCACAAACCCGTCGCCGCTGGGCCGGCCGTCGATCCACTCGGACCAGCAGCTCCTCGTGATGGAGGAGGCGCAGACGAACAACGCCTACATCCAGGGCCGCGGCGAGGCGATCGAGGCGATCGAGCGGACGATCAGCGAGCTCGGCGGGATCTTCGGGCAGCTGGCCCAGATGGTCAGCGAGCAGTCGGAGATGATCCAGCGCATCGACGCCAACACGGAGGACGTGGTGGACAACGTGCAGGGCGCGCAGCGCGAGCTGATGAAGTACTGGACGCGGGTCTCCGGCAACCGCTGGCTGATCGCCAAGATGTTTGGCATTCTCATGGTAAGGCCCCCTCTGCTTGGATTGGACCTTTGGCTGCAACAAAGGACACGGAACTAACTAACCCATCAATCAGATCTTCTTCCTCCTCTGGGTGTTAATATCGGGATAAAGACGCCCTTCCCCTGCCCCTTGGCCCCAAACTCAACCACGAACCACCTCTTCCCCTTCGACCCCTCAACATAATGTAATAATACCAGGTCCATGTTCGTATCTCGCGGTGCCTGAACGAAATCATGTAGCCCACCTTCTTCCTTATTTTTTTCTTCTGTTACACCATTTCCTTTGTGATCTGCGTGAGTGCATGGCCTGCCGCGAACCGCAGGCTTCGCCCCCTTTTTATCCAACCCTTTTGGCCATGGCTAGATTTTTCTATGTGAAAAAAAAAAACCTGGATTGTGATTTCTGCCAAGTGCCCATGTCACTACTACCAATTCCCTCCCCCCAAGTTTCCTCCTTCTCATCGTGCTTGACCACTGCAGCGCAAGCATGAGTTCATGTGCATAATAGGTTCACGAGTGTTGTTGTTGTTGTTGTTGTCGTTGACTGTCCGGGAATTAGATTCAATGGTCACCTACAACCCACGCTATTCAATGATTCCCGTTTAGAGTTGAGGAATTGGAATAGGAGATTTTTCGTCAGGATGCGTTCCCGCTTGAGGTACGGGTCAGAGCATCGATGTATACACAGTACATATAGGCTATAACACAACATCGAGGATATATAAGTATACACAGCGTACAGGCACAGCACACTCCATGTCCTACACTGGAGGGAGGTATAACATGTACAGTACATCCCCACGAACAACCAAGAATCAGCCGCCCCAAACCTGGAACCGAAAACAACCGACTGACCTACAAACAACCCGCACACCCCAAGCGCGGGCCCCCACCATGCAAAACGCCCACCACCTCGGCCGCGTGCGCCGCCAGCCCCCTTTCACGGATCTTGCGCTCCGCCGCCGCGAACCAGATCTCCTGCAGCCGGGGCACCATCCCCGAGTGGCCGGTGTCCGGGGGATCGTCGTGGCCGTCACCCACCAGCGCCGCCAGGTAGTCGCCGTAGTCGCGGCGCATGTGCCACAGGAAGTCCATGCGGTGGGACCAGTGGGTTGTCGTTGTGGTTGGGGAGGTTCTGTGGGGTAATTGGTGGGGTTGTGATTGTGGTTGTGGTTGGGGAGGTGGATGTTCATGGGCTTGGTTGTGGTGGTGGGGTTCGTGGCTGTGGTGGTGCTGTTGGCGGTGGCGGTGGTCGTGATCAGGCTTCTCCTTCTTTTTCCTGGGGTCTTGCTGCTGCTGCTGCTCGGTGGAATCGGCCGCGACGGCGACAAAGAGATCCACGGTGCGTTCGAGGGTGGAGGTGGTGAGCAGGAGACTGACCCAGGTTTGGGAGGAGGTGTAGGGGATATCCGGGGCCATGAGGTGGCGGACGGTGTGGATGAGGGTGTGCATGGTGTGGTGGGTGGAGAGCAGGACGTCCGGGTCGGTGAACGGGGGTTCTTGGAGGATGCGTTCCTGGCAGTCCAGGGAGTGCGTCGGGGTAGTGGTGTCGGCGCAGGATTCCAGGAAGTAGACGAGGTAGGTTCTGGGGTGTGGCCGGTTAGCCTTGGACATAACCACAGATGAGTGAGGGCATACATGGAAGGGAGCAGGCGGGCTTGCAGTGCGCCGACGCCCTTGCTGTAGACGAACTCCTTCTCTGTTTTGGAGGAGGCCCATAGCTCCCGCGCCGTGGGGTCGGTCTCGAGGTAATGCTGCACCAGGTATTCGGCAAGGTAGAAGGACAGCCGCACGCAGGTTCGCCAGCACCGCGTGAGATCGGTCAGGTAGCCGAACGAGTAGTCGGGCGATTCTTCCAGCGTGCCGCTCGGGGTGTAGTGGGGAGGCGGCGGCGGGAAGAGATCGGATATGAAGGTGAGGTCGTCACCGATGGCGACGCTGGGTTCTCGACGCCCTTGAAGGTGGTATGGATCCTCTCGCCTCCGATGTTGGAGATAAGCTTTTGCGATAGCAGCCTCATCGTGATAGACCCGCTGGTGTAGGAGGCGGCATGTAGCCGAGAAGGAATGGATCTCTTCCAGTTCGCACTGTACCAGGATCTTCACTAGAACATCCACGGGAAGCTTCTCCCAGGCCGTGCGAGTGTTCCCCGCGGGCTTTGAGTTTCTATGTTTTAAGTCAGCGGGTGTAACGAGTTATTTGTTGACATATGGGTCTGCGAGTTACATAGGGGACTTTCTTGGCCGCTGGGACGACGGATGCCGTCTGGCTTGCCGCACAACTTGGCGCAGGTGTTCAAGGAAATGGCTCATTGTCAACAGGAGCCAAGACCATCGAGAGTGTCTTAATCAATTGAGGTTCGAGAAGTCCGCTTGACGCTCATTTTTGAAGGGCAGGATTGAGGTTATGATTATTCAGCTGCTCCATCTGCCTCTTGGGGAAATGCTTAGCCGGATGAAATCAGATACGGGTCCGATCTTCGCTTGGTGGACCCGACTCGCGCTTGGATCACCACTTTCGCCAAATGTGTCACATTGACTCAAGAAGGAATCAAGGATACGAAATACTGCGTTGAGTTGTACCGGTGCTGAAATTGAGGCGAGACCGGCCTCAAATTATGTTTGCAGCGGCTCGCAACAAGCCATATACAAAACACAACAAGCGCAACAATGTGTACTCCGATCCCACCCATCGACCCGAAACGTGATTGAGTGGAGTACGATATCGTCACTGTGGACACCATGTCTCGCGCGCTGAAACAGTGGCGACCCTTATTCATATACGTTGCAGTGGGGTTCGCCATCTTTCGTGTACTGGTGCTGGAAATCCTCAAGCAACTGATCCCACTGCGTCCAATCCATGGAGCTGAAATTGCTGGCCTGGTCCAGATCAAGCGTCTCGAGTCCCTGTTCATTAGGAAAGGCTTCCCCGACGAGCTGATCTTGATTTCGGCTGCCAATGCCTATCGGAGCTTCTTCGTAGGAGATTTCCGCACTGATGTCGTCAGCGGCCAATTGCTGCTTGCCCTGCATGTCGCAGATTGTAGACACAATAGCAGGGCATGGAAGAGGAGGCCTGTTGCAACGAGCCCGCTCCGCTGCATGTGCCTTCCAAGACTTTAGGATCAAGTTCTGCAAAGCCACATTGAACGCTATCCTCTGTTGTCGCCCCTTCAAATCGCGGAAATGTCGACTGCAGATCCGATCGATGAGGAACCACGCCCTGTCCGACACCTCCCTATCAACGCGATTCCGTAACTCATAGAGCATGTGTATCAGTGGTGTCCAGGGAATATGATTCTCCACATGCCAATTATACCGCTGGGTGATATGGCTCGTCTGCACGAGATCACAGTTTTCTGCCATGCGTACGCAATTTGCGAAGATCCGGTCTCGATCAGACTGTGAGTTATGGCTTCCCCGTTCAGCGTGTTGGCGAGGGTGATGTGCAGAAAACCGGAGCAGAGATGTGATCGCATGGATCACGATGGTAGTCATCTGGTGCAACGGGATCGAGGTGTCACAGTATTTCAAGTATTTCGTCTCGTAGATCTGGCCAAGCTCATCAATCGCCCGATCCTTCTCAGCTAGTGAGGTGGCAGAATCGCTCAAGAAGCTTTGGCCTGCTAGTAAGGGGCCTGGCTTTCCGGACCATCGATTAAGCCACTCGCCAAATTCACAGCGGGCCAGGCAGAAGATCATTTCGGTCGCTCCCCTATGCTCACGAGGCCTTTCCGTCATCCGCGGGTCTAGATCGCAGTCGTTCACATTGGCCGGACGCTGCACATCGGCAGCCATCAGGGATGTCTGGGCAGCAATGCCTGTGAGCTGTGCCGTGGTAGCGTCTAATATATTTAGCTGAAGCCAGAGGCGTCGACGCATCTCGGTCTCGAAGACAGAAAGGCCATGGTGGGATCCATCTCGGTGGAGTCCAATACGCTGTGCCACACGGATAGCAACACCGCATAGAGACCAGATGGACTGTGGATCAGAGAATGCTCGCATCGAAAGCTATAAGCCACTGTCAGACATATAACCGAGCCGACTTTAAATACGGGCTTCAAAGCAGAAAGCGGAGCTCCGTCCCTGATTCCATACATCTCCAAGAACAAACACGTACCAAATACAACAGAAAGGCCTGAAGAACCACAACATCCGACGTCCGCAGAATGCCAGCATTCGCCAAAGCAAGCCGAGCACCACGACGGAAGCGAGACAGGAGGGCGACCTTGCTGTCTCCGAAAGCCTTCTGAACGTCAGGCGCGGTCATCGAGATCAGCGCAATACAGTATATACAGAACATAAGCGCCTCGAGCCCTTTGGGCATGGCGCGCAAATCCCCGGTGGCATCGATGATCTGCTGCTGAACTGTGGGCCCATGCAGGATCTTGATCAAGGGGTGCACGTTCTCCAGAAAGACCTGCCAGAGCTTGAAGATATGCAACGGCGCGGGATGTAAGTCCGTGATCTGCGTCTTTGTGCGTGCACCTAGAATGAGAGAGGAATCATCGCCTGTTCCCTCTAGCGATTGGTCCGAATCACTGTAGACGGACGCATCGCGTAGCACGTCCTCCGCGGAGGGCAGCTAGGACAATTTAGCACCCATTCTCAAATTGTGAAGAAATGGCTCCAGAAAAGTTTGATCATTCCATACCTCAGTGCGGATACTCGACCACATATTCCTAACCGACCAGTCAGCTGATCCACCCCGAGGCATCTAGCATCTGCTACACACGAGCAAACATACCCATCAACATAGACCGACTTCCCCCCTTCTGCAATCAACATACCCTGATCGTTCCGATTAGACGCAAGAGAAGTGTTAGACGTAGCCATTGGCGAGAGCAGTCCGCGGGTATCACCCCCAGGGCCAGACGAGCCCGTGGTTTGTCTGGAACGTCGGGGGCGCCGTGGACTGTCCGGACGATGGGCCTCGTCAGAGGGACGCCTCTTCCGCCGTCGTGGAGGCGCATGTGCCCGGTAGACGCATTCAATTCCATTCTTGGCGCACGCGGAGCAAGGGTCCTGACGATCACATCGGACTTTGCGCCTGTTGCAGACCACGCAGGACGGGGTTTTGGGCGTCTCGCCCCGGACAGCTAGCGGGATGTTTTGGGGGGTGTTGGAGCTCACCATTGCTGGCTAGGATGGAGTCTGATGGAGGTCAGGTCATTTTAGGTGGGTATGAGATAAGATGATGCTCAACAGTCACGTTATATAGGAGATTCTGGCCGGACGGGTTGGGTAGGATAGGGAGGTGCGGATGAGGATGTTGATGAGGTCGGGTTTGCGGATATATTTTGGGCGAGGTCCCGTCGCGACAAACAAGCTAGGCCTTGGCCATCCGACGGATGAACTTAATCCGTGAGGTATACTTAGGCCCGACATCCAGCTTAATTTCCAAGTCGCTCATGATAATTCATCATACTCCCTAAAGCAATTCTATTATCTGTTGCATGAGAAAGTATTGTAAAGTCTCGCAAGACATCAGACTGCGATGCCTTTCCCTGGAAAAAGAGTATCGACACCGCGGATAGAACACGCCATGGTTGAAGCTTATTCAGACTAACTTATCTAGAATAAAGACGCAACTACTTTCATCTGCCCAGCAGATCCAAGGATAGGCGCTAACAAAAAGAAGAAAACACAATGACAACATGCAAACGACAGCCAGCGTTCCTTTCAAGCGGGGTATTCAACACACACAAAATTCGTAAGTCATCAAGCTGCATTAGCAACACGAGCGCAGGTCCAATTCACCGTGTCGGGATAAAATGCTGAGAGTCCTTCTCCTGCTGGCTGAACGACTCACGGAACGCCGCAATGGCAGCGACAATCGCAATCGCGATGAACGCAAGCGAAATAAAAGACCAGAGGACGCCCCAGCACTGCGAAGAGCCACCATACCGCTTTGCGAACTGGCTGGCGTCCGAGGTATTCACTTTGCGAAGGATCAAGTCGTCACACTATACAGAGCACGATTATCAGCAATGAAAGGGGGAAAAGCAGTTGCACGACCACGGCCGACTCGAACACGAAACAACAAAGACTTACAATATCCCAGACGCTATAGAGGGCCGACATAACACCGATGAAGAGCTATGTGCAGATCCAATTAGCCGCGAATTCTCCCTCTCAACTTCCAATCCCAAGGGATAACTTACCACCACCCATTTCAGCGCCTGGCCATGGGCGATGAACCAGCACGCGACCAGCAGTCCCACCGCCAGCAGAATCGTGACGATCGTGAGCCAATCCTTGCGCGCCCACCACAGCGTGAGCAGGAAGCACACCCCCAGGACGATGCTGGCGACCTTGCTGGCGACGATGTCGAACCCGGCGAATATCAACAGCGATCCGATGATCGACGAGCCCAGGTAGCCGGCGGGCAGGGTCACGGCGCTGATTCCGCCCGACATGTGCGTGACGCCGCCCTCGTGCGGATCCAGCGAGATGCTTTTGACGCGGCCACCGGTGCAGCATGCGGTGATGGCGTGGCCAAACTCGTGGAACGCGATGACGAGCATCTTTTTGTCCGGTCGCAAGTCAGCAAGAAGCCGAGAAAGAAGAAGAAGAAAAGAAAGAAGAATTGCAGCAACGTTTTGCCTCTGGGAATTTCTCACCTTGAACGGCCAAAGCGACCAGCGAACATAGGGCAGATTCCACAACAAAGCGATAACGACAACGTATGCACCCATCACCCCGAGGGTCACAGCCTGAGCGTGGGTGACGCTGAGATCGCGCTTCATCAGATGCGGCCCCGCCGAGTGAACGGACCTTTGATCGAGGAGCATGTAAGACGGCGCCATGGCGGATGGGACACAGTTCCTTGCGCAGAGGTATTCTGTAATTTGTAACCGGGACTATAACGCAGTGTCGGAGTGAGGCGCCGCAGAAGGCGTCTGAAGAACGAAAGGGTATTTATCTGTCTGAAAGTCTGGGCTCTCTCTGTTGCCTACGCGTTCTTCACGGTTTACAACCCGCCCTGTAAATTCTTTACCCGTTTGGGTTTAGCGTGTGGCTGGGCACGGGGGTATTTTTAGTTGGCTTTTACGTGGCGGTGACAAAGCTGCTGCTGCTGCTGCTGTTGCTGCTGTTGCTGCTGTATTCTCTGCACTGCCGATGTCATTCAAGCCCTTGCAAGACCTCGTCTAACCTGATCAATGTATAAAGACATCATAGAGCAACATTTTCCTTATATACCGACAGTATCACAATCCCATTCCAAAACATGGCATTCCCGAGGCCGACAGCCGTTGAGTTGATACGGATGGTTCCACTGCCCCAATTTTCAGGCCCAACCTTGAAATCGATCCACCCACCCGCCGCTTAATTTCCGCACTCCACAACCCAACTCTAAGTTCTCTGGTACAGTACGTACTCAGTAACGTGCGTTTTAGCTAGTCTACGCAGTAAAGCTCATAGCCTCCAAAAAAGACGGACGCATCATCCAAACCAAGACTACCGTCAAGGAACTAGGTAGGACAAGCCCGTCGTCAGCGTGCAGCAGCCAGAATGCCAGGAAGCAACGATGGAGAGAGGGAGGGGGCCTGGAGCAACGACGGAAGAGTGGGTCTTGTCGGCCTGGCCTATTCAGCCCTACAGCAGGGTGAACTGCGTCAGTGGCGGGAGGATCTGGCACGTATCTACCGAGGACTGTGGACTAGTCCTGGAAGAATGGGCTAGTCGCTGTAGGCGATGCGCCTCGCGTTCTTGAGATCATTGGAGTCCCACTGTAATTTTAGCATTGGCATGCATCTATTGGTGTGGTGCAGTCGGTATATTTTCTCGGGCGGGATCCGCGCGTAAGTATCTGGACCCCGGGAAGTACGGGGACTGCCCCCTCGAACCGATCGTAGAGAATTGCAGTCACTACTAATCTTGAGAGATGATTGATCTGATTTGGTCTTATTAGAAGACGGAAGATGACGAAAGGCAGACATTGAAGGATATGTACAATGGGAAGTAAGCAATACCATGTTCTGTCCATCGCGGGCTATTGTAGTCAAGAACCGCAAAAGAGAGGTGCTGTACCGAAAGAGAGCCACGAGCTTAATCTGAAGTTACCGGGCTCAGCCCCTAACATACCACTTGAACAAGTAAGTTCTTATACCAGTACGAAAAGGGAACCATTCCAGGCGTATGTAAAAAGTGGAATACTCATTGTGCGATTTCGACGACTAGAACTATGTATTGTACCCAATGGGATTGTAGCACACTCTGGGCGGCTGAGGATAGTAACAACATAGGAAACTTGATTCCGGTGATATCCTCACTGAATAAGGGGCATGTCTCATCCCCCAGAAGAAGTAGCCCGGGTAAGGGCCAAAAGAAAAACGAACGTGAGCTGATCCGATGCGATCCGAGGTATCATGTCCGAGGAATCATGACAATCTAGCGCCAACCAAGCTGGGAACGCCCACGAAACATATCCAGCCAAAACAATCTCCCCAACCAGGGTCATAATCGTAACCGCAACGCCATACAAGGCAAAATCATTAAGTCATAACATCCTGCCAGCACCTCCCCAATGAACAGAAGAAAGCAGGAAAAGGTAGAGCAACCCAGACCAACAACATCAAACTATACTCCCCCCACCCTTACCCCCCCTCCCGCTCCCCTCTGTCTTCCACACCGTCCACGCCCCGGTGATCATGACTTTCAACCCAAAGGCAAACCACAGGCTGCTCGCTAGGGTGGCTACCTTGGAGAGACCACCGGCGGTCATGGCACCCAGGAACAGGGCCAGGAACGCCCCGACCCGACGGTCCCGCTTGGGGTTCTTCCGCGCCAGCAGATTCGGGTCCACCAGGAGATCGCACAGCAGGCTGGTCAGCACCACCGTGGGGATCTCGTCGAACTCCAGGATGCGCGAGGCACAGACCTGCCCGCCCGCTTGGAAGGCCAGGAGCGAGATGGGGATAATCTGCATCCACTGGATGGGCGCACGCGGGTCTTCGGGTCGGGGCGAGACGACCCTGAGCTCCACGAGGAGGGCGGCGACTAAGAGGCAGATCGACTGAACCGCAAAGGAGAGGGCCAGGGAGGAGCGACGGCGGGGTGGACCGAGGAAGCGCGACGCCTGGATGAAGATGATGTTGCTGGCGATGAAGGTGCAGAGCGCAATGAGGGACTTGGCCCACAGGTAGGCGGGGTATCTCGGTTGCCCTGAGGCCCCGAGGGCGATGAAGACGGTGTTGCCTGTACAGCAAGGTGTTAGGAGGCTGAGACAAACGTGACGTGTCGATTGCGGGATCCGAGATGTGAAACAAAGTAGAGCATGGTTGATACATACCTGTTTGCATGCTGGAGAAGCTGCCCCAGGCATTGAAGGACAGTCCGTCCACCAGGCCACTGACAAACCCGCAGACGATCAAAGGTACATCGGCATAAGCAATATCGATCTCGGCCTGGAGATGACGCGCTACTCTGCCATAGAAGGGTGTCTCTCCGTCGTCATTCGACTGAGCAAGGGAGACAATCGTGCTATTGCCTGAGGACCAAAGGCCACCTCGGTCCTCACTAAACTGCAGATGTCTGGAATAGGCCGTGACAGCTGCCGGAGCGGGCTGAATGTCATCGGCGGGAGATTGATGCATGATGAACTGAGACAGGCAACCGAGACCCAGCGCCGATGAAGAGGAGAATGATTGAGAAGCTGCCGCCTTCATCCTTGGAGCCAAACCATGGCCATCCCTATATACAGCCGCCTTTCGTACAAAGTTTGCCATCCCCACCATACTGCCTCCACGCCAAGGCACTGATAAGAGCCAGTGCAACCATGTGTCCGTGATATTTTCGTCTGGAGAGACGCATGCCTACCAGAAGCCGCGGATGTCGTGGTACACCGCCGAAGCAGCGGTTTCAGATATCAGCCCAATGTCCATCGCATATCCGCATCATCCTGGCGCGACACATGGGGTTGGAGATGGATATGCCATGTCCAAAGCAATCAGGCGACAGCAAACTCGGGTCTCAGTCTGCATGATATTGGATATATCACATCGCCTGCCAGAGGGAGCCGCTTGGCAAACCCTTGGCACAGGCTTGTAACTTGGCTCCGTGGATGGCCTCCAAGCCGCCGGGAGGCTCTAGACATATGTCGATCACGATAAGCCAAGATCCAGCGCAAGAGAGTTTCACCAAAAGCTGACCGGGACAGCCAGCGGGATCTTGGCAGATACGAGTTGTTCGGAAGCGTTCCGTTTTCTCATTCGAAAAGATGCAGACATCAATCATCTAGATGCCGAAAACGAGACACTTGGCCTGTCAGCAATGCTCTGTTGGGACAAGTCACGAGACAGTTGAGACAGTGGCGGAAGGGCTCACGATAATCTCGTTCCCAAGTACTCAGAACCCTGCGTATTTCTGCTTCTTCTTTTCTTTTTCTTTGGTCCTTTGCGATCTCTCATGCAATAGGACGATAGAACGCAACTCTGGCGCGGAATTGGAGTTTGATCTGCAATGAGCTCGACCACCAATGACCGTGCAGCTCGGATTCTTCAGGTGCTGAGCCACGCTGGGCAGTTTGATATCCATTCTTGGCACTCTTTTCCGCAAGAAGATCTGCACCAAGGCTCTCAGGCAGAAAGGTAGCCAAGATGCCTGGAATGCCGGTTGATGACTCCTTTCATGATGTCACGGACAAGATTAAGTTGAGACAGACATCACATGGGACAATCACCCTTGCACCTCCCCGTTATCTACGCAGTGCCCAAAGAAGAGAGTTATGGATCGGATGATTCCCCCAACCCTCATCGAGTATGGTGGGTCGCAAACCATGATGGTATCATGAAAACATAACATAGTGATCATGCCTATGAGACTAACATAACAGTCATAAAACTAACAGCAGTCCGTACGGTATCAGGTTCCCTTTGTTGGATGTGATGTACATCTGGTGTTTTTCGATGTCAAATCATAGTGATCGTAGCTACAGACGCAGTGCGCTTATATGCAGGTGCCATGCTGCGCGGACATGACACAAGGGTTCATCAGCCCCAGAGAAGATCCCGTCCAGCGACAGGTATCCCAAGTCCCCGGATGACCCGTATTCGGACAATCGCAAAGAATGAGGCAATGGTGTAACGCGGAATTAAAGATTATGTTCATGGAAGGGGGTATCTTGAGGCGTCTCGAGGTATTGACAGGGGCGGCATCCGACTTCCTACTCCGGCAAGCCCTCCTCGCCCGGCACCCGCCTGAAGGTCAAAGTCCGGGTTGTTCTCCAGCAGCACATCATGCTTCTGTTGAGCCGGAACAGGCGGTGGTCGCCAGCGAGGATTGATAGGCCGTTGGGAGATGGAAGTGAAGTGGCTTACTTCACTAGTAGTGGGTGAGTGAGGGGCCTCAGCCGATTCATCCGTCGGTTTCCGCTCACCAATGGCACCAGGTGTGAGGGCAGGAGGCAACCGTGGTGGGTTAGCTACTGCCGACTCGTTGGGATTCACAAATCGAGGATCCACATCTTCAAAATAGTCCGTTGAAGGCGAACGTGCGTGTTGTCGCGTGGAGCCGTAGCCATGCGCCGGCGAGGGTGTGTGGTGAGCGGGGGCATCTGCTTGCGCCCAGCCAGCGCGCGGGTGGTTATGCGAACTGTTTGGTTGTTAGAATACATAATCACACATTATCAATCTGAGTAAAGGAATAGCTTACGGTGTCCGGCTGTAGAGACTTGTAGGGCTTATAGGCTCAGGATATCCATCGGTTGACACTGCATGCGGCTGGGAATCAGACGTCACCCCATGCGACACAGGATCCGCAGAGCCCAGTCGTTTTGGCTGCGGCTGCATCTCGATAGCTTGTCCAGCCGCCTCATAATCCGCAGATACGGCCATCCCTATCGGACCCGGAGATGGCTGTCGATGAACACCCGCGGAGGGTGCTGGACCGCGGTAATCATACTCAGTCTCAGGAGGGGGTGTCGGCCGAGGCCCTGGCGAGGGACCATAACCACCCGGCTGAGGGGGTCCTCGATAACCTCGACCCATCGCTCCTGGATGTCCACCTCTCATCGGCCCGCCCGGTGGAGGTCCTCGTGGTCCTGGCCCGTAATAACCTCCCCGGCCGTATCCTCCTCGCGGGCCATATCCGCCACGTCCACGTGGGGCAGATCCTGGAGGAGGGGGACCTCGTCGCGAGCCCATACTGCCGTCGGAATACTGATTGCGCAGTCGAGCATCGGGAGGTCCGGGGCGCATCCGCGGCCCGGGTCCTTGGACAGAAGGAGGAGCGCTTTCGATGTGATCCGGTGGGGCATCGTAGGCTATTACATCACCGCGCATATTGGCATATGCACCAGTGGGCAATGCAGCATCACTAGGGGTATTCCGAGCGTTCAAAGGGGTGCGATCATCGTCGCTGTCATGGGTTGTTGTACGGAATGTAGTGAATGTGGGTCCAACATCAGAGGTAGGAGGCGAACCAGTAACAACCGGCTCCTTGACATCGACATTGAAGCTCTCAGGCTGACTCAAGCCTCCTGCTGCTGCCGCGGCATTCTGACGATTGTAAAAATTCTCCCCGCTCATTTCAGCATTCTCTGCGATGCGCCTCTTCCTCGCCTTGCGGCTCACCAGTGTCCGGCGCATGGCACATGTGACCACCCCGCAAGTAACAAGCAGAATGGTGGCCACAAGCACAATCCATCCTCCCCATTTGAGATGCGGAACAAACAATAAGATGTCGACGAGGAAAGCTAAAAGAGACACGAGCAGCGTGGGGAGGAGTAGAATTAACAGTGCCAGGAGATATCGTGGCGAATGCGACGGGGCGTGAAAGTGTGCTGCTGCCGCCAGGCAAAGACAAATGAGCGTGAGAAAGGCTGCGATGGGGTGGACAATCAAGATGGCTGAAAGCGACTTCCGAGTGCTGGGCGGGATATTGAATTCGCTGCTGCTTGTGTTGGTCGTAATAATGTTATCTGTAACACCAGTCGTGAGTTTCCGTAAGCAACAACCATATGAAGACCGGTCTAAGAGGAAGGGCAAGAATGCGCCGGGCAGAAGAGAAAAGGCAACGAACCGTCGGCATAGCCAACATGGATGCTGGTACACTGGTCACCTTTGCAGTAACCGAAAACACCATAATCAACATTCTCGAAAGTCGCTAAGGGTATGCTTTTGACAATCGGAGTCGAGATGACGGAGATGAGGAGAAGAACAAATGCGATCAGCAGGAGGATAGTAAGCGGTGTCGCGGGTTTGAGAAGCATGGCGACTCGAGAGCGGAGCGACACTGTCGCCGCGATCGAGAGGCGGGCGGGGAATCAGAAGTGGCTGGCGTGATGCAAATGGCAGGAATTGACCACAATTGAGTCGAGCACGCTGAGTGGAAGTGCAAAATGATCACCAGAAAAGCTCAGAAGATGTTTTGTAACATCGAGTGCAACTCTGCAAGGACTTAATGATTGCCCACCTCCTGAGACATAGAGAGCAGGGGAGGCGGGAAGCCTGAGGAATCCGCGACAGAAGTGGTGACAAAGAAGGGTGGGTTCGGAGATTGGAGGAAGGTGATGATCCAATCCGCCCTAGATAAGGTATGATCTAACTGGTTACTGACTAACTGGATCTGGCAAAAAGAAAAAAAAAGAAGGGTAAAAGAAGTAGAGAGTAAAGACGAGTTTAATGGGAGATAATGCGGGGGAATGGGGGATTCGAGAGGTGAGCGGGAGTGGAATGAAAAGGAGGAAGAAGAGGTGAAGAGGCGAATATTGTTAGCGGAGAGAATTAAAGAAGGACTGGAGGTGAGGGTAAGGAAGGGTAACTAAGGGTAGGCAGGAAGGAGTTAGAGGAGAGAGAGGGTGAAATGAAGGAGAGTGGATGGGACATGCATGGGACATGGGACATGGGAGGAGAGAAGTTGCCGGTAGAAAGACCCGACTAAACCGTCTGGACTGGACTGGACTGAATTGAACGAATTGAACGAATTGAACGAACACTGCCCGCCGCCGCAAGTGCAGGGACGGCCGGGCGGAATTGCAAGATTTCTGGGGCTCTGATTGGCGCAATGAGCCAGGATTCCTTAGTCATCGCCGCCACCCTCCAACTTGCTCTACACAGATGGAGTACGCGAGTAATCATTCTTTTCCTACATTTCCCTGTCACTGTCACTGTCACTGCCACTGCTCCTGCACTCGAGGGTTGGCCACTTGAATCGTTTTTTTCTCTTGAAGAATTTACGGACGAACCAGTGGTCCTGCCCGTTGATCTCTATCTGGAAGTGGCTACTGTACTAGGTAATCTTGCTGCCTTTCCACCCACTCTTGCTTTCCCCCCACCCGCTAATTGCGCCAATGCGTATATCCACATCTCTCCACGTCCACGGTGCCGCAGTCAGCTTGGAATGCTGCCCCCCTCCCCCCTCTGCGTGCCCACGCTGAGATCTCTTCTGATTTGTCGAACCAGAGATAACAATGATGGGGCCGAGTCTCACGCACTCACTGTCCTGGTTTGACATCTCAGGATCCCACGAACCTCCATGCTTTGTGAAATTAGGATGGGCTTCCCAGGATGATGGATCATGGACCATTTGTGTGCCCGTGAGCGTGAGTCTATTTTTAGAAGACCCCAGAAATCAGGTACAGTACGCACCCGTTTACATACATACCACTCATCTCTTAGGAACCATAAGATGACATGCCGTCTCAGAGCCATGTATCCGAAGACAGAATTCAAACGGAACTCAAATGGATACCGGCAGTGGGTGAGGAGAGGGAGGCATCGTGGTGACGCGGAAGTGGGATCGATGACGATAGCTCACCCATTTTGCGACAGGCGCTTTCTCCACGAGAAGCCGAATTTGTGCTATACGCCATGCCAAACAGAGGGTTGATGAGTGTTCTTGACCGCTTGCAAGACCATAGCCTGCTTTTTTTAAATTCTCGAAGAACGGCATATCAATTCCCGCGAGGCTGCGTGACAAACAAGCTCAGTGTAGTGTGCAACTCGCCTGCATCGAACTAGTCGTTTGACAAGATACGATCCAGATGAAACAAGATGCGAATAAAACACAATGGTTCGAATCAGAAGCATATAGTGAGATTCTTTACCCACCAACTACGTATTTCATCGTAGACCACTGCACACAGTACGGGGGGCGCCCAAGTTGAATCGATCTTGACAGGTGTGGTGGGGGGTGGGTGGCCTTGGGATGGTTCGGGCCGTAATCTTGGCAATCGAGAGTCCATCGAGATTGAGATCAATCTCTCTCTCTCTCTCTCTCTCTCTCCTTCTCTCTGTGCCACCGCAAACAACCAAACAGACAGACACACCACGGAACTCATCCGATCAAAGCCTTTCCCGTCCAGTCTAAGCACCTTTCTCCAATAGCTGGCGGCCATGTCGACCCTAGATATAGCAGCATCCTTTATTCGTTGGACCTGCGGTGGCTGGGCCGCGGAGGCTGGGAATGACAGGCCGGCAGCCGTATCGCCAACCACCTCGGACGGTCGATAGCAGCCCAATTCAGAGCTCTTTTCTCCCTTGCTTCCTCCCCCCGACCATCTTGTCTCTCTTATCTCTCCCTCGACCGGCTCGGGTCCTACGCGCTGGGAATGTCCATGAGATATCTCATACCGCGTTGCAAGTGAGCAATTGAAACACATAGTTACATTCCTCGGTCGATCCCGACCGCCATGTTAGCTCCGGGATCGGGCAATGTGAGTCTACGGACTGTCAGTTGTAAGTGGAATGTCGGATTTGTTTGACAGCCAGCCAGCTAGAGATCTCACCCAACCTTGGTCGATTGTGGTTTGAACCGATGGCCTGACTCCATGCAGCAAGTAGACCGCAGATGATACACACCGAGGATCAACAGTCCGTTGCCGCTTCAGATGACTACTACTCTTTCTCAAGCCAGAGCTCCAGCGCAAGGTCTCGGACGAGTGGCAGTCGAGCCAATGTCGTGCGCTATGCAACCCCCAACTCTCGACCTGCATCCCGTCCTCCTTCCCCTAGCATATCAAGAACGCATCTCGCCCCGCCGGTGGCTGGTGCGCCATCGCAACCCTCTATAGACTCCTCGAGCGACAACAGAATCTTTCTGACACCCGCGTCTCAGACGATACGCTCCGTCGAGGATAGACAAATTCACCTGAACCCCATGTCCCATATCACATCCAGTCGGGCTCCCGCCGACAGCTACGCGGGACGCCCACCAACTCCTGGAATGGACGACTCGCCTTATATTCATTTCGCCATTAGCCAGCTGACGCGTGATGAGGAAGTGGCGGGCCCCAGGAGGAGAAGTTCGATCGTGAGCCGTGACTCGCCCGCTGAGCCTCTACTTTGGGATGATGGCTTGGGCTGCTTCATCCGCTCACATGGACCTTCCTCAACCCCGAACGTCAGACACCAGCAGAAATCTCCTATCTCCGCAAGAAGGTCGCCCCAGAAGTCGGTTGACCCGGAATCTTTCATCCCAGTGGATCCCCCAGAGGAAAGCCTACTTTACCCTGCGCTGGACTATGTGCCTCCTGTGTTGCGCACATGGGCACTGGCCGCCCTCACTATTTGCTGCCTGCTCATGATCGCCGGGATTATCTTTTGCAATATCTGGTCCCCAAGTCACAAAGGACTTTGGGATTATGAGAGACAAGGCGGTGCCCATTACTTCGTCATGCAATTTCTACCGCAGATTCTCGGTATGATCATCACTATTTGGACGTTCGTGGTTCAAGCTGCCGTTTATCGCATCATGCCTTTTGCTATCATGGCATCGGAGCGGCCGTTCGACCGCATTCTTCAGAAGCTGCCAGTCGTGTCACGCAACTTCATTCTGCCGGATTTCTCGCATTTTCGACATGGCGAAGCCCTGGTTGGATTCTCCTTGCTCTCAATGTGGCTCTCGAATTTCATCGCATTGCCGCTCCTGAGTTGTTTGTTCCAGGCCAAGTGGTATGAAATTGACGGCCAGGGCACGTGGCGATGGGCTTCCGTTTTGGCTGTGGGCTGGACGCTGGTGGCTATTTACGGATTGATGACTATTGGGCTGGTTTTGCTCATGCTTCGCTTTTTCCGTACATGGTCAGGCTTGATGTGGGATCCTGTTAGCATGGCTGATCTCATTTCGGTCATTCAACGGTCAAACATTCTGCACGATTTCGAACAGTCCGAAACATTGTCGCATGTGGGGGATTCACTCGACCCCCGATTCCTTCGACTGGGTTACTGGCAATTATCAAATCGCGGCGAGTTCTTCTATGGTATTGGTGAGGCTGACGCCCCGATCCGAACACCATCTCTTCACCACATCGAGAAGAATCTTCAGATGCAGTCACACGGTCTGTCCAAGGTCTCAGTTGATCTTGAGCGCCAGGGTATGGCCGAAAAGGGCGAATATCACGAGAACCTATACGCTCCTTCTGTTCGCTACCGCTGGATTCCATGGTTTCTCAAGGACACATCCGTAATAGCTTGGACGGTCATCATATGTGCTTTATTCGTCGCTTTTGTACTGGTTAGCTTTATCCATGACGCGATCCAAGGAGGCTTCCCCCCACGGTTGCCCACATTGCCTTCCACCGGTGGCTTTTCGTCTTCCAATTTCTGCTACAGCTTTGTGCCGGCTCTGATCGGAAACGTCTTTTTTCTCGCATGGCAGCCCATTGACGTCTTCTTTCGTGCGGCGCAACCCTTCGCTTCTTTGTCGTCACCCGAAGGTGCACGTGCAGAGGAGAGCCTGCTGCTGGCGTATCCGTCGTGTCTTCCTTTCCAGGTGACGATCCTGGCGGTCGCCAACAAGCACTACAAAGTGGCCTGGATCTCATTCATGAGTAATGCGTCTGCCGCCATTCCCATTCTCGCTGGGGGCGTCTTCATTGCGTTGAATTACCCGTCCGAACACGCAGTCAAGATTGCAGCATCGATGCCTGCTTTCTATGCGATGGTGGTATTTTGTGCACTCTATACTGTGTCCTTCTTGTGTATCTGGCCTCGCCGTCAACGCTACCTGCCTCATGAAATCAGCACGCTGGCCGATTTGATCAGCTTCCTCTACCAAAGCCCCCTCCTCGCGGATAAAATCTTGCGCGAGCCTAGGAGCAAAGCAGACCTAGTCACGCGACTGGTTGTCGCACCACCTGGGGACCGCGAGCATTCTGTGTATGGCTTTGGGATATATGTCGGCCGCGATGGCAAAGAACATCTGGGAATTGATCGCCTTGACCGCCCCGGCCGGACCGATATGCTGATTAAGACAGAATATACAAGGTAGTCCGGTTGCTCGCACAACAGTTGAGGAGTTGACGAAACCTGGACGGGCATGCACTTGATTCCTGCGCTCAATCCGCAGCTCCTTCCTTTATGCAAATGATTCATGTATTATGAACGATCGATGAACTTACGGATATCCATACATGTGTTACGGTGTTACGAGCCCAACTTTCCGCCCGTTATGATGACTACTTAATGATAATGAGACATATTGATGTACTGATGTATCTATGAACTATGATATTGCTTTTTTTTGTAACTGTTTTTCCAGTTGTTTACCAGGTTTCATGTTATTGCATGAATCGTTTCAACTTGCTACGTTAACACCTTTCGAATGGCACGTTCGGGGAGCATTGGCATTCATCATTTGCTGAGTATATTTCGGTGGACACATTGTCCTTTGGTGTGGATGTTCTTAGTAAGGAGTGACAGCTCGGCTGGTGGACTCATCACGTGAGCATACAAGACTAACCATGTCTGTTATAGTGCAGGCTTCCACTCGTCTCAACTGTACTGTACAGTACCTGATCTGACCATCCGAACCACCCGGATACATGCTGCACTTGACTTAAATGCTTGTGACGTCCAGATGAAGACAGAGATCAGCGTGACATCAGATACATGTGTCTCTACCCCTTGGTCTTGACCAATGCACCTTGAAGTGCCGCGTGTTTGATATTGCCGCACGAGTGAAGTACACGGATATCTAGTCCGATCCCCAATTTGTGGGCTATCCAGACTCAGGGGCCTCCACCATGGTCTATCGTGGAAAGCCAAGCACCGGGTGTCAGAACTGCCGGACGAGGCGCATCAAGGTCAGTGTCTCAGGTTCTGTAAATGACTGTGGCTAATCCCCACTCAGTGCGATGAAACTCGCCCACACTGTAGAGCTTGTGTGCGGACGAATCGGTCATGCCCGGGGTATCTGGATCCATTTGATGTTATGCTCCGAGATCAGGTCGCCTTCAAACGCAAAAAGCGAGACACTCATGTCTCAACTGCAGTTCCAGCGAGTCCGGCCAAACTGGCTTCTCTAACCAGCTCGGTGATTGCGGCAGCGCCTGAAACCGCCGTGTCCACCAATGTGACTAGGGCTGGTTGGATGGACATTGTGTTCGACAAAAGCTGCAGTATACCGAAAAGCGTAAATCTGCCTCTGGAAGACACGGTGGCATCATTATTCTTTAGCTCCTATCTATATTCACCCAAGGATCCACTGATTCGGGAAGGGTTCATGGAAATGGTGCCCCATGCTTACGCAAACGCTCAGCCTGGGTCGCACTTGAAACTCATCACATTGGCGGTGTCTTTTTTCTCGGTGTCGGCGTGGACGGGCAATCGATCATATCTCCGAACTGCCGAACACCTCTGCGTTCAAGCGATATCTAAAACCAGAGAAGCGATTCAAGGCGGCGTCGACCAGAATCAAGATGAGATTTTGATGACGGTGCTCTTGCTATTGATTTATGAGGTAGGTAGCCTAATCATTTATTGAATGCTCGGATCTGACGATCTGGCTAGGAATTTTCCGCTATGAAGGAGTGCAGGGCCCCGGGGAAGACCCATTTACGTGGCGCAATTGCCTTGATCAATAGTCGGAGTCAAGATCAGCGGGAGACGGACCTCTCGATAACGTTGGAAAATGCAGTGCATGCACAACTTGTAAGCTGTAGTGGTGTGCGACCCATCAGAACTGTTTGACTAATGATTCAGATCAAAACAACCAAAGGGCTCGCGTTTCCTGTGATGCAGACCCCTAAGGTCTGGCCGCCCGCGCCCGTTGCCCCCGAGTCGGCGTCAACCCAATTGTTGATGGCCACATCTGACCTGGTCAGCCTACGACAGGCATGGGACAAGCTTGCCTTGGACCAGCCCGCCGCCAATGTCCCAGAGCTCGGAGAGATCCTCGTTCGGGCAAGGCATCTGGACACCAAGCTTGTAGCTTGGACACACGCCCTCCCGTCCCACTGGCACCCCGTCTCTGCCACCATGATATCAGATTCCGTCCGCAAGGCAGGCATGTACAAGAACCGATGTGACTGCTACGCGGACATCTGGATCGCGAGCACATGGAATTTCTACCGCGACTCGCGCATTGTCATCCAGAACATCATCCTCGATTGTCTGCGCCTCCTTCCGCCGCCCATCCGGAGCGACGAGATTCAGTGCGCCCTGGACATCATCCAAGACCTTGCCACCGGCATTTGCGCCACCATCCCATACTTCCTTGGAAGCCAGTCGAAGCCCGCGCAGATGGGCATGGAGAAGATCGACTATCCTGAGGCGGATGCTCGACGGGTCACCGCGGGCCACCGGCAGACATCGCCACTTCTGGGGGGATGGCTGGCATCGACGAATCTGTTCAATATGACCATGCTACCTCTGACGGATGAGCTGCATGCCTGGGTCTTGGAACAGAAGCAGCGGGTGCTGCGGATCTATACCTTTGGCTCCGTGGAGGGCGTTCGATAATGGACAGTGTGTTGTACATGGCTATGCTTCTGGCCAGTCCAACAAGTTGTTAAAGAGTCTCTGCCTTCACTGGATCTCTTTTATTGGCAATTGGACCGACGGACGGTTTTAAGTCGACACCAGCACATGTGGAGATGGCATCTCACTCGAGCTCTGATGCGAAACTCCGGTACTCTGACGAAGCGAGAAACTCGGTCGGATAATAGGTATGCTGCACAATAAAGCGACCCAATGTGGCCTGGGTGTTATGCGCATTACTGGCGAAGTGGCCACCGTCTTGACCTACAGAGTACCCGCCAGTTCTCTCCCGGCTCTACCCATGTCAATGCCAAATATTGAGCATAGACCACCCGACACTTCAGCGGCTCGTTCTATTTCAAAGTCGCGCAGCTGCTGATGAAACGCTCCACCAGAAGCAATCGTCCAGAGCAATCTAACACATGACCGGACTGATGATTTTCACGCGGCTTTAATAGACTAGCCGCGCAGACTCGAACTGCTTACTATTGTTGCTGCAGTAGAACAGAGGCCATATAGGTAGAGCTTCAGTATATATTGTACAGATGCACACATACAAAGACAATAGAAATCTGATACCTGGGCTCTTGGAAAGAAAAGAGTCGGCTTGTCCCAGCACCACCTAGCCATAAGTTAGACATCGTCGTAGAAGACAACGCCTGTACCCTGCTTCAACGAGCAATTAATATATCCGGACTCTTGCACCCCAAACCACAGCTGTCTTCAAGACGCGTACTCGAGAAAGGCTAGAGAAGTGGTTCACACAGAACAAGCCACCATTGGATTTACGCGCCGAATCCGAGCTCCGTTCTGGAAGCATCGGTAGCGGGCAGTCATCGAGACGAACGATTTCACAGATCCAAAACACCATCATAGATAATACTATTCACGCAAACGCAGCACGCAGAAATCACTCAGAGGGAACAGGACCGAAGCGCAGAGAAGAGTGAACATGACACATAGACGGAGTTAGTGGAGATAGTGGGATTACGAGTAAATATTTATCTTCCTCTGACTAAGCGCCATCGCAGCTCCTCTTTCTCCTCTTTCTCCTCAAGCCGCTACATCCCCTCCTCATACTCACCCTCAACAACACAATCACAATCACAATCACCACCAAACCAAACCAATCAATCCTTCTCATGCGCGCACGATAAACCTCAATTGACCCACCACCAGCCCTCCAACAACCATCTTCCTCCTCCTGACTCAAAACCCACCACCACAAAACAAAATGGGCCTCCTCCGCTACTTCATCCCCGACCAACAAAAACCCTCCCCCTCAACAACCCCCTCAGAAACCCCCTCAACCACCACCTCATCCTCCTCCTCCTCCCCCCCCACCCCCGCCTCCCGCCCAGCATCCGAAGAATTCGACCCCCCGCTCCCCAAACTCTGGACCCCCCAAACGAACCTCAAACTCCTCCTCGGCGGCACGGCCTTCCTGGCGCTCAGCATCATCACCACGCGACGCGCAATCCGCCGGCGCCGGGTGGCCGCCATCCCGCCGTTCTACACGAGCGCGCCGTACCACAAGCCGAGCGTCAGCGGGGGCGTGGAGGCCTTCGAGGCGCTCAACCTGGCGACGCTGAACGTGCTGGCGTTCGCGATGATGAGTACGGGGGGCGTGCTGTACGCGATGGACATCAACAGCGTCGAGGATATGCGGCGGTATGTGCGGCGGGCGTCGTTGACGGAGGAGGAGGCCGCGCGGGGGGTGGGGGAGGGGGATCGCGAGATGGAGAGGGAGGTGGAGGCTTGGGCGGCGAAGGTGCTGGGGGAGAAGTTTGGGAAGGAGTTGAGGGCGCAGCGGGAGAGGGAGTTGGCCGACGCTGAGAAGGGGGAGAAGGGGGAGTGAGGGTTTCCTTTTCTGGGGGTAGCAGGGGGATGGATGGATAGATAGATAGGTGGGGGTGATGGGATGGGATGGGATGGTGTTTATGGTGCTTATGGTGCTTCGGGGATCGACTGGGATATATCTCTACTTTTGCATGACAACATACCCTACTCTTGGATTTATCGCATTTTTACGGTACGGGCTGGAGCTGAAGCTCGATCAAAGACGTACCAAAAATACTATGATCATGTTTATGACAACGCTGGGCTATGCCTACTGCTCCATCTGCTCGTATCGCGCCCGCGCCGTCTGCCGCGTCTTCTCCAGGAACTCATCGTACCGACCCCGCGTGTTGCGCCCGGCCTCCTCCGTCGCGTCGCCCAGCTTGCCGCCGTGGGCCCCCAAGCCCACCCCCTGCGCATACACCTCGGTCGCGATCGGCGCCGTCATCCCCGTGCCCTGCGCCCCCAGTCCCGACCCCGCCGACCAGCCCATCTTGCTGAGCAGCGACGCGCCCTTGGACGCCGCCGGTACGGCCGGCTCCTCTTCCTTCGCCGCAGGGGCCGCGGGCCGCGGCTTGGCACCACCAGCCTTGGACCGGCCGAATGCCTGTCGCCGCTCGCGCGCACGGTCGCGATACTCCGTCGGCTGCGGGATGATGCCGTGTTTGACGAGCTTGCGCGTGGCATGCGCGATGCGCTCCTCATCCAGCAGGTTCTCGCGGTGCATCTGGCTGAGGCGTTCGTGCAGGTTGACCTGGGCGGTGGACTTGAACTTCCGCATGCACAGGTAGCAGCAGTTCTGGGCGGGGTTGGCGTAGGATTGACTCGGAGGAGCGGCGGGGTCCATCGGGGATGCTGCAGCTGCAGCCTCCGACGTCTGCTGCGGCTCCGCGCCGCCGGGTTTGTCCTCGCCATCCTTCTTCTGGATCCCGTGCAGCTCCGCGTGGCGGTTGCTCCAGAACTGCAGGTGCGACGGCACCGCCATCTTCTTGGCCGCTGCACTCGCGGCGGCGTCGGCCTTTCGCTTCTTCGCCTTGTCGGCGTCCCTGCTGCCCTTGGTTGGCCCCTCCTGACCGGCAGCCCTGTCTCCCTTGCCGCTGTCGAGCTCCGCGGTGGACACCGTGAGCTCCTTGACGTAAGCTTCTTCGTCCCAGTACATGAGTTTCAAGGCCGGGTTGTTCAGCGGGCTGAACGTGAATCGTTCATTGCTGGGGGTGGGATTGAGGACTGGGACAAAAACACCAGCATGGATGTAGCTGACGAGGACCGGCCTCGAGGAGATGGTAAACTTGTCGAATGAATTGAGTCGGGTGATGGCAGCTTGTGCATCCTAGGGCTATGTTAACCAGGCCTTGGAGAAACTGTGGGCGACATACCTGAATAGTGGCGAATTCCGCAAACCCATAGCGCCAGCTCTCGTTGGTTTTGCGACCCCTCACAAGCAGGACACGGCGAATGGAGCCATCTCGAGCCCCGAGGTTGGAGTCACCCGTGGTCGAAGCCACTTTAGCTCCCTTCTTTGCACCTCCTGTGGCATCATGGCTGGAAGACGAAGGACGGTACAGCTTCGCCACGCCCTTGGCCAGAAGTTCTTCGGTGACCGACGATTCCAGTCCGCGGAAAAGCAGGAACTGCGAGGGTTGGTTCTCGGGCGCCGCATCATTATCGCCGTGGTTATCGACTCTCGGGGCCGGTAGTCCAGGAGGACCTGCGGGGCCGCCATCTGACCCGGATAAGCTTACTTCGAATTGATGTTCCCATGAGCAACATACCAGGTCGAGGTGCTTGACAACGAAAGCACTTTTGCCGAGTAGAATAATTGACAATAGCACACTAGACAATTTAGCTCTTGAATCAAGCTGAAAGTGGCTTAATTCCGGCCTTACCATCATGCAGGTCCAGTCAGCCTCCGCGCGCGCCCGAGCACGGTCCTCTCTCTCGCGACTGTAGGCGATGCGCACCTTAGTGCCGCGGTCATTATGTGGATTGGGCCCATGCAGATAGATGCTAGGGAAATTGCGTTCGACGAAAGCCCGCGACTGATTGAGATCTCGGAATCTCAAGAAGCCCAACTGACGTGACACCTCTGGAAGGCATGATTAGCTTGACGGATAACAAAAACCAAGCATCACTTACTCGTCTGTCGATCGCGAATGACACGGACGTCATCCAGACCATTCACATTGTAGAATTCCTTCAGCTCATTCGTAATCTGTTCAAACCTCGTCCAGACATCTCAGCTTCCTGCCATCAAATAACGGTGGTGTTCCGGGGAGTGCCGCTCTGGCGCACCGGCCACGGCAAAGAAACATGAAAAGGGAAAGGATTCGTCGCACGTCTTCTTCCACCATATCCACCGGCAACCCATCCATCATCACCTCCCGACTCTCTTGCCCGTGATGCGAATGCCGGCCGCGGCGGGGGCTGCGACTGCGGCTGCGACTGTAGCTTCGGCTCCGGCTGCCATATCCGGGGGAGCGGTAGCCCTCGCGATCGCGGTCTCTGTACGCCGGTCTGCCGCGCCGCGGTGGAGGGGGGGAGCGTGAGGAGCGGCGGCGAAAGTCATCGCGGTCCCGACTGCGGTAACGAGGTCTCGAGCTGGGTCGATCTCTGGTATAGTCTCCTCTTCGCTCTGAAGCTGGTCCCCGGGGAGGAGAATGGGGTAGATCTTCTCATGGCGAAGCAGAGTCAGTTACTACCATGTCCAAAGCAAAGGATAGATATGTGGACGGTTCATCACAGCATAGCCTTCGCCCTGTGCTAGTGGTTTGCGGGGAGGAGGGCGTAATACCGCCAGGCGAGCGCGATCGGGAAGGCGAGCGATCGTCGTACATTCGGCCGTCCCGGTCATCGCGGCGAGGAACAGGTCGATGCGGAGGTCCCGAAGGAAACCGGTTGTCCTCAGGATTGAAATGCGACATGATGGACAGTCATGGAGAGTTGGACGAGGGAAGAAGTTGGGATGCGCTTGGGGGAGATGCCGTCCGCGGCATAAAGGCGCACGCGGCAGAATCGCTGCCCGCTTGGGACACCGCTTACTGATGATGGTCGAGTTCATCTGTTGTGCTACTAGCTCCTTTTGTCTTAGCGGCTCGAGCCTCATTATCCATTGAAGATGCTCTTCAGACACCAAGAATTGATTTCTTGCTGAAGTATACATGCTTTTGCAGAAATTCACTGAGGATCATAACAGTTGCCTTGTCATAGAAGCCATCGACAGGAAGCTCAGTCGCGTTTTCCCGCACAATACGAGTATGATTGTGCTCTTTCTGTAGATAAGCATTGTTCTCTCTTCGGTGATATGACATAAATATTGGCTGGTTGGTTGGCTGTTAGGAGTCCGTCTCATACCTAGGTGGCTCAATTGCGGTCAGTCTAAATTTGGTTGTCTCGTAGGCTACCACAATGTGATGCACTGCATTCTTTAATTGTAGACGCGTGATGCAGATACGTTTGAAGCAAGAATTCAGTCTTAGAAAATGAAGACACACATTTTTTAGCTGATGAGCGTGATGGACATGCTGACTGGGGATGTCCACGGGAGCCGAGCAGCCGAGGGGGGACAGCGCCCTGTAGGGCTGAGCCTTCCGGGCCAGGGTCCTTCTTCAGCACCGAACACTGTGTCTGAACTGGTGGCAGGACACACAGCCACGTCTGCATGCACCTCGTACTTTCGACCACCTCAATTGGTCTCATGGACATGGCCAACTCAGTTCCAACACGCCAGACAAATGAAGTCATCAAGTCAGAGCTGACTTTTACATCTCCTCGGGCCCCGAGATGCCCACCCCCCGACCCTCTTCCAAGCACCCTGATTTCTGTTGCCTGGTCTGACTGCCCAATCGGCAGCGATGGGTCAGAGTCTGGTGGAGATCGTAGGGTTCGAATGGTTTCTCTTACCATACTTCTTCGAACTTCAAGGCTGTCCGTATGACATGCGCAGCGCAATCACCAGGCCAGGGGAAGAGGCGCCCCCATTCCAGGCAGCAAAAGTCAGCACCCGCCGTGGCTGAGTTCTAAACTCTGCCGTCCTCTTCGGTCCTATTTTTGAGCCACACACAATTGAGAGAAACTCCCGATTCGCCCTGGATGGACCGGAGCCCATATAAGACGGTCCATCCCAACGGTAACGGTTAAGACGTTCGCCCTCGGTGGATGGAACTCAATTGCCCACTCTTGGCAATCACTCCTACGCCATGAAGCTCGCGAAGTTCTCGCTTCCGACGCTGCTTGCTCTCGGGTCTATCCCTGGTATGACCCTCAGACCGTGTTCAGCCGTGCAAGCACTGAAGCACTGACTTTGGACTTAGCAGGCAGCGTTGCTGTACCTACTTCGGGAGATGTGGCATTGGAAGACCTCTCAAGACGTGCCCTCCCCAACGCCCCTGATGATTACACTCCAAGCAACGTGACCTGCCCCTCCAGCAGGCCGACCATTCGAAGCGCAGCCGCGCTGTCGAAGAATGAAACCGCATGGCTGGATGTGCGCCGTCAGCAGACCGTCTCTGCCATGAAGGATTTCTTCGGGCATATCAACATGAGCAACTTCGACGCGGTATCGTACATCACCAACCATGCTTCCAACGTGTCCAACCTGCCCAACATCGGTATCGCTGTGTCCGGTGGCGGCTACCGGGCTCTGACGAACGGCGCCGGTGCCATCAAAGCCTTCGACAGTCGCACGGAGGGATCGACTCGGAGCGGCCAACTGGGGGGTCTTCTGCAGTCCGCAACGTATCTCTCGGGCTTGTCTGGAGGTGGCTGGCTTCTGGGCTCGATCTACATCAACAATTTCACCACTATTTCCAATCTGCAGACCTACAAGGAAGGGGAAGTGTGGCAGTTTCAGAACTCCATCATCAAAGGCCCCAAGACGAAGGGCCTGCAGATCTGGGACACGGCGAAATACTACGAGGAACTGGTCAAGGTCGTGGCCGGGAAACGGCATGCCGGATACAACATCTCCTTCACCGACTACTGGGGCCGCGCGCTCTCGTACCAACTCATCAACGCCACCGACGGAGGACCCAGCTACACCTGGTCCTCCATCGCGCGGACCCAAGATTTCCAGGACGGCAAGATGCCCATGCCGCTGCTTGTCGCGGACGGCCGCAACCCCGGAGAGGTTCTGATCGGCAGTAACTCCACCGTGTACGAGTTCAACCCGTGGGAGTTCGGGAGCTTCGATCCGTCGATCTTCGGCTTCGCGCCGCTCGAATACCTCGGAACCTACTTCGAAGACGGGCAGGTCCCCGCCAACACCACCTGCGTGCGCGGCTACGACAACGCCGGATTCGTGATGGGGACGTCGTCGAGTCTCTTCAACCAATTCATCCTGAAGCTCAACACGACGGACCTGCCCAGCACGCTCAAGAACATCGCGGCCGAGATCCTGGAAGATCTGGGGGAGCGCAACGACGACATCGCCATCTACTCGCCCAACCCGTTCTACCAGTACCGCAACGCGTCGGTCGCGTACGAGCAGACGCCGGACCTCAACGTCGTCGACGGCGGCGAGGACAAGCAGAACCTGCCCCTGCACCCGCTGATCCAGCCCAACCGGCACGTGGACGTGATCTTCGCGGTGGACTCGTCGGCCAGCACGGCCAACAGCTGGCCCAACGGCAGTCCCCTGGTGGCGACGTACGAGCGCAGCCTGAACGCCAGCGGCATCGGCAACGGCACCGTCTTCCCCAGCATCCCCGACAAGAACACCTTCATCAACCGGGGGCTCAACACGCGGCCCACCTTCTTCGGCTGCAACAGCTCCAATATCACCGGGCCTGCGCCGCTGGTCGTCTACCTCCCCAACTACCCGTACACCACCTACTCCAACAAGTCGACCTTCCAGCTCAAGTACGAGATCGCCGAGCGCGACGCGATGATTACGAACGGCTACAACGTCGTGACCGTGGGCAACGGGTCCCGCGCGGCGTACGCCGACTGGCCGACGTGTGCCGGCTGCGCCGTGCTGGCGCGGTCGTTCGATCGCACTGGCACGGAGGTGCCGGCCGTCTGCACCAGCTGTTTCGAGAAGTATTGCTGGGACGGCACGCGGAACAGCACGGAGCCAGCCGCGTACGAGCCGAGTGTGTTGCTGGCGAATGCGAAGAAGTCCGGCGCGGGAGGAAGGGAGGCGTTTGCAGCGAGGTGGTTGTATATAGTCGTCCCGGTAGTTGCGGCGTGGACTGGATTGGTCTAACCCCCAGCCAGACCCAACAGATCAAATGCATCACAAGTAGTTTCAATGGGAACCCTCACAGCTATAAGCTCAAGTCACCCTCCCACAACAGTAACCGTATACCCAAACCCCCAAGCGACCCCACAGAAAAAGACAATCTCTATCCAGCAAAAGGCACCCCCCGCACCACCCCCAACCTCAGCCCGACCACCCAGAAATACAACCCCAGCGTCCCCACCGCATCCAGAAACCCGTATAACCCCAGTCCAGCCCAGTTCAGAGCCACCAAAAGTCCTCGGAGTACGGACAGGAATGCACCACAGGGCCACCGGAGGACAGACATCAACAAACCCGCCACCCCGCGGACAGCAGACAGGGATACCTCTGAAACCCACCGCAGTATCAACCACCCCGCCCGTCCCAGCACCCTCAGCAGCAAGCCGAGCAGCCGCAAGCTGACCCTCCCAAGCGACCGCACTACCGCAGAAGCCATAGTCCTAACGCGGCCCTTGAATCCACAGGCTTGCTTCCCATCCTTGTTCCCGGGTGCAGGAGCAGCAGCAGCAGCAGCAGCAGCATCAGGAACAGCAGCAGGAACAGGAACAGGAACCGAAAAAGCCGTAGACATACCCAGATACCCGCACCCACCGGGGATAGCAGCCACCCTCAACCTCCCATCCGGAACCGGAACCAGAACCAGATCTGTCGGGGTCGGCACACTGCCACTCACTCGCGTGGTTTCATTAGGGGCCATAGCGAGATCCAAAAGCGGCAGGACGCTCGTAGCTGGGGAATAATATTCCGTCCCGATCCCCGAGGCGCGCAATCGCAGCAGTAGCTCAGTGGGTTGTTGGGGCAGGAGCGTGTCCGGCGTGGTGGATGGTGGTGCGTGAGGGTACTCGGGGGGTGAGGTGAGGGTTGTGGGCGGGTCTGGTCCCCATACTATATTCTCATGGTTAGTTTCCGTTCTGACAGAAGAAAATAGTGGGTGAGGAGGGGAGGGGTGAGGTACCGGGATGAGAAGGCCAGGTAGACAATTCTTGACTGGGGAGTGGGCAGGTTGATGTTCTGGGCATGCTATCTGGCTGGGTCGGGTGTTTTGGGTGTTGGGCTGGGAGGTGGAGGTGGTTGTGGTGTTCAAGGTTGCTTGTATGGGTTGGAGGCTTTTGCTCGTAGGGGTTGGAGAGCTGAGGGTGGGAGGTTCAGGTGAGGAGTTGTGTGGGTGATGGATGTTCTCATTTCTGGGGGGAGGGGGAGGAGTTGTGGGTTGTAGATTCATAAGACAGAGGAATTGTGGTGGAGGGGATCGATGGTAGTTGAGGAGAAGAGTGTTGAGATGAGGTATTGCTGGAGAGCGGGTTGTCGTTGTTGTTTTATCTTATTTTGCAGATGTTGTCTGTGCCAATTCTCCCGGCCACGGTGGACATTGTGAATGTATTTGCTCTGATATTTTTGGTTGGGAGCATAAGGTTGTTAGACTTGGGACCGGACTGAGTATCAACTTCACAGTTCGCCGGCCTTGCTATGTGATTAGAACAGCATTTGCATCCTTTCTAGTATATCATTGCATCTTTCTCCCCACCCCTACCCAGGTCAGGGGAGGTATCCCAATGGAACCATATCTGATACGCAATCCCCAGGATCTAGATGCATGCCCAAGACCCCCTCAAAAGTGAAGGCACATCTTATTAAAAGTCTTGCTAATTCATTCAAATCATTTTCAGCACGTCATCAGATCATTTCACGCCGGCACCAGCACAACCACCGCCTCATACGGACGGAGCGACCATTTCCCACCACTCTGGAACCTCCCCCCAGCCGATTCGGCGCTCTCGTATGTGTTCAGGACCACCCCCTTCACGGCCTCCACCCCACTGGCGACCGGATCCCACTCCAGCGTCTGGTCGGTCCAGTTGGCCAGCACCAGCGCCTTCTGGTCCTCGTACTGCCGGGTGTACGCGAAGACCTCCTGGCTCTCCCGATCGACCAGCGTGTAGTCCCCGTAGACAAAGATATCGAGGAACTTCTTCCGCAGCCCCAGCACGGAGGACCAGTAGTGGTACGTCGACTGCGGGTCCTTGACCTGCGCCTCGGCGTTGACGCGCTCGGAGTCGGGATTGACCGACATCCAGGGCTTGACGTGGGGGCCGGTGAAGCCGCCGTTCGGGCCCGCGGACCATTGCACCGGGGTGCGGCCGTTGTCGCGGGACTTCTTCTGGTATTCCTGGCGGGCGATCTTCTGCGCTTCGATGTCATCGGGCTTCTGTTTGAGGAGTCTGTAGTTCGAGTCCAAGTTAGTCTCTACTACCACAGCTTTTATTTCTCTTGCGGGACGAACAAACTCACCTATGCCAGTGATTGAGACAGTCAATGTCCTTATACTCGCTGATATCCCACTCCACGGGCACATTCCTCATCCCCAGCTCCTGGCCCTGGTACACAAACGGCGTGCCAGACTGCAGCGCCAGGATCGTCGCCAGCATCTTTCCCGCCTCGGCGCGGTACTCCTCCTTCGCGCTCGTGTACCGGTCAATCGAGCGCGGCTGATCATGGTTCTCCCAGTACAGGGCATTCCAGCCGTCATTCTCGTACATGAACTTCTGCCACGTCTCAAAAAAGCTCTTGAGATCGGTAAGCTTCCAGCTGCCGGGCTGGAACTTGTCGCCGTACGGGCCGTGGTCGATGTCGACGTGCTCGAAGTTGAAGATCATGTTGATCTCGTTGCGGTCGTAGCGCACGGCGCGGAGGACCTCGTTGGTGTCGCGGACGAAGGGCATCTCGCCCACGCTGAAGGCGTCATATTCTTTCAGGATCTGGCCGATGCCCTGCAGGTACTCGTGCAGTCGCGGGCCGTTGGCGTAGTACTTGTCGCCCCACTGCCAGGGCGTCCGCGGATCCTGGACCGGCGCGTCGGGAAATCGCTGGTCCTTGCTGATGAAGTTGATGACGTCCATGCGGAACCCGTCGGCGCCCTTGTCCAGCCAGAAGCGCACAATCTCGTGCACCGCCTGGCGCACGGGCGGGTGCTCCCAGTTGAGATCCGGCTGCTCGGTCGCGTACAGGTGGAGGTAGTATTCCTGGGTGTGCTCGTCCCACTGCCAGGCGCTTCCTGCAGGGGTGGTGGTGGAAGTATTAGCCTCGTATCCCTGTGTTGTCAAATGTAGAGCCGAAACGTTACCTTGGAAGTGCGAAACCCAATTGTTGGGCGGTTGGCGGTTGCCCTGCTCGTCGTACCGCGCCGGCTTCCAAACGTACCAGTTCCGGTACTCGTTGTCCTTGGAACTGCGCGACTGCTTGAACCACTCGTGCTGGTCGCTGGTATGGTTCACCACGAGATCCATGAGCAGCTTCATGCCCCGCGCGTGGCAGCCCTGGATCAGGTTCTCGACGTCCGCGACCGTGCCGTACTCGTCGGCGATGCTGTAGTAGTCGGAAATATCGTACCCCATGTCGACCTGGGGCGACTTGTACGAGGGGCAGAGCCAGACGATATCGACGCCCAGGTCCTTGATGTAGTCCAGCTTCGAGACGATGCCGGGGATGTCGCCGATGCCGTCATCGTTGCTGTCTTTGTAAGAGGCGGGCCAGATCTGATAGACGGAGCTCTCCTTCCACCAGGCGCGGTGAATCTGGGAGGAGGGTTTGGGCATCACGGGCTTATTGTGAATTATGGGGGGTAGTAAGGGATGGATGACCGTGAGAATTGAGGGTGATTGAAAAAGGAGGGGTCGATCATCCTTCTTATTTGTTTGTGTCGCTGGCAATGAGGGGCAGTGCTTCTGTGCTGCAGGTGTGCTTGCTCCATCGAAGATCAACTCGGGTGTCTCGCATGCGGAGAAATTCTCGGTGGGTTTGGTTGTCCACTTCTCCGGGGTGGTATGCCACTCATGCTTCAGGCTTGGGTGGATCAATTGTCCACACTCTTCCAGTCTCTAATGGACATCTGGTGTGTAATTCCACCCACCTTTTACGGACATGAATGAGATCATTGTGATAATCCCGTGTTGTTTTGGAGGGGCACCGTAGATGCGACCCGGGATGGCCAACTGGCAACCTCTTACCGCCACTATGCAGCTCATCCACTTATCCTGAGAAAAAATAAAAAAAAGAAAAAAAAGAAAAAAAAAAAGGCTTTGGCTTACATAAGACTGGCACCGGCCATTCCGTCATTTGCGGGAAACGAACGTCTACAGTGGACTTAGTAACTTACTGTAGTTATCCAGTGTACTGTACTTCACGAGGTTACAGAGAGACCTGCGAATGCTTTTTCTCCTGCTATCTGCTCCAACGCTATGGCTGAACACTCTTCTCTACTAGCCGCTTCGGCATCCGAAAGTCCACCAGCAGCCCGATCTCGATCTAATGCAGCTGATCGGGTCATTGCCTGCGATTCATGCTACAAAAAAAAGGTCAGCCCTCCTCTCCACCACTCCTGCCGACCCTCGCATCCTCGCGACTGACCGTGCGACCAAGATCAAATGTGAGGCTGACAGCCACCAATGTAACTATTGTTTGCACCGTAATATTGCATGTACATTCAATCGCCTGATCCGGAGCTCCAAGAAAAGGTATGAACCGAACAGCAGCCGCCCTGAATCTCAATTCTGATCTACGGTCTCAACGTGCAGAAAGGCCCGGGACCAAATGGCCGTCAGGCGCTGGTGGGATGAGCCGCCCGCCATTCAGCCACATTCCTCCTCCTCCTCCTCCTCCTCTTCTACGAGTATGTGAGACGTGCTTCCTGCGTGATATCCTGTCCTGTAACCACTGTCTAAAATGTCCCACCCGTCAGAGGTCTCAATGGTCAATCTGGGGCTGATATATCTCAACGGGAAGCGAGATACCGCCGACGAGGGCCGGGCGTGGATTGAATCTCGCACCGGGGAAATCGTGAACATGGATCGATTGATCACCATGAAGCTTCCGTGGACCCGAGTTGAGTCCGTCAGGGACTTCTTAGCCGTCCCTAAGCTCCCCGCTCGCCCTATTGTGGAACGCAATATTGCTGCATACTGTTCATCATATCAGAGCCTCGTGTTCCCGGTGATCAGTCAATCACTCTTCACCGAAACGCTGGATCTCGCGTACGGAAGCCACGGCCCTGGCGTAGACAGTGCCAAGGCCTGCGTCTATGCATTCCTGTCGGTGGTGGCGATATTTGGCCTGGAGAAGGACCTGGGCGATGCGCTGGATTGTGAAACGTATGCCTTGGCGTCCCAGAGCTTCACCGTACAGATCATCAACGAAATGACTGTAGACGGCCTTCGAGCGCTTGTAATGCTTGTAAGTCAATTCTGACTGAAAGCTGGCCGAGGACGGGTGTGCCTGATTCGGAGAACCCGAGAGGGCTAATGCCATGAACAGACGCAGCACCATTACTTCCTGGGGGATTTGCAAAGGGCGGCAGTCTCCGTGTCGATGGCCAGCCGCCTAGTCTTCAAGCTTGGGGCGCATGAGGGAGCGGGCCCCACAGTCTACGACAGGAGCCTACCAGAATGCCACTTGCGCGATCTTTTCTGGCTGTGCTACTCTTTCGATCAGGATATTTGCCTCCGAACTGGACAGCCACCGTCGACAGCCGGGGTGTTTTGCTCCCTGGACCTTCCGACGAACTACGCCCAGCTCCAGGACACCAACCTGCAGCACCCCGAGCAGACTTTGACGGTCACGGATGCCACGCTCCCTCTCTATCCCTGGGACCTTCGTCTCTCTCGGCTCAAAGCCGAGATCTACGAGGCGCTCTATTCGACGACCGCGTGCCAGCGATCCAACTCGGAGCTCGTCGCCCGAATCCGTAGCCTGGACCAGGCCTTGGAACACTGGCGCATAAGCCTAGCTCGGGAAATCCGGCCGACGCTGCATTTCTCCGTCGGGATGTCCGTCGACGGTAAGCTGAATACCCAGGCAGTGATGCTGCGACTGGCATATTACCACTGCGTCACGATCATCCATCAAGCCACCGAGCGGCATCATGATGAGCCCGGGATATGCTCGAGTTTGAGTCTCGCCATTCGGGCCAGCCGGTCCAGTCTGGCCTTCCTCCAGACCGCACTGCCCGTGGTCAAAGGCGAATGCTTCTGGTACGTCTCCCTGTCATGATTCAGATTTATGATTCTCGGGGGCAGGCGTAGACTGACGCTGCGCATACATCTCGACAGGGTGATCATATTTTACGCGATCACTTCCATCCTGACACTCTTTCGCAACATCCTCAAGAACCCACTGGATCCGGACATGGCGGATCTTGTGGCTGTGCTGCAGGGTGTTCCGCATCTGATCCGCGAGATTCCCATCCGGACGCTTACTGTGGGCCCGATGATTCATCTCAGGTTCCTCAACAATTTCGCGACTGAGCTTGCGAGGCTCGCTACATGCGCTATAGCCAAAGCTGAGCGTGAGGTTGCCACATCGTCGGTCGCAAGCCACGAACTTCCTGGACCGTGAGTGCGACCCGTGCCTCTTTGTGCAGCCGCGCGTGTCAGGAAAAGAAAAGAGAAAGGGTACGGGTGGACGAAGGACCGACAAACTTCGTTCCCACCTGGTGCCTTTTCAATGCATCATTGGCCGGTCCTAAAATAACTGGACTTTCAACGGGGTTGGCCCTATACCGCAGCAAAGCCCACCCAAGTCATCTTTCAAAAGTATACGTGCAGGGGTTGGCTTTCGCCCAGTGACTAGACACCAGGCATCTATTCAAATCAGTCTAACGGTACGATAATCCCCTTTATCTGGTATGATGAAATGGACTCACGACAAGAAAAGAATCCAAAAGAAAGAAAAGAAGAGACGGGAAAGAACCATGTATGAAACAAATCCCTCCACCATCGCAGTGTATAATTGAATGCCTTGGCGGACTATCAATCCACTAACCAGAGTCGTGAGCGCACACTCCGCCACCCACCCACACCCCCACCTTAAGCACCGACATAAGGCTGAACCGACCGAGCTACACTGCAAAGCGGCTCCAGCCGCGAATGACGGGCCCATACTTCCAGAAGGTATACGGTACCGGGACCATAAGGGCACTGATGATCCCCAAGATCGTCAAGGTCCAGTGCACCCCCATGTTCTGGTAGAACGGGACCCCGACCACAGTCATGCCCCCGGCCGCACAGTAGCGCGTGATAGTCATAAAGCCTAGAGCGGAGGCGGCATAGGCCTCGTACGCATCAATCACGTACATATAGCAGGAGATGAATAGGCAGATACTGCCGAAGCCGAAGAGCGAGGAGCCAAGAATTGGGGACCAGACCGAGATGGAGCTCTACAGACACCAAAAAACCACAACCCCGACAGGACTCGTTGTTAGCCATGTTCCGCGGGAGGGGGGAGGAAAGGGAGGAAATCCAGGGGGTCCCAAACTCACGTAGTCAGTCCATCCCATCCAGAATAGACTGATTGGGATGGCAGGAGCACCAACCATAGCGTACCAGAGCCGATCTTCAGGCTGGATGAAGAGAGAGGATTCAGACTCCGCGTCGGAAGTGTGCGCGCATCGCTCTCTGGCTCCATCGGCTGGACGATCCTCCTCCTGCTGCTGCTGCTGCTGCTGCTTCTTGAGGCGTCGGCCCCGGTGATGTTGCTGGTACATCAGCGGCACCAAGAGCCCGGCGAGAATGATGCCCACGTACATGGCGACCCAGACAATGTTTGTCAGCCCCTGCGACAGATGATGGACGTCCGTGAAAATGTATGGATAGCCGTCGAAGAAGGTAAAGAGCACGATGTAGAGAATTGTCATATACAGCGCGAGGAGCAGGATGATCGGCTCGCGGACCGCCAAGGTGAATTGCCGCGCACAGGCCGACGTAATCCGGGAGAGGATCGAGGTCTGTCCCAGGTCCAGGTCCATCCGGGACTGAAACCGGGCGTCGCCAGTGAGGCGACGGAAGTGGCGGGCCTTCCAGCGCAGCAGCAGCGGTGCGAAGGTCTCCGGCTGCAGCAGGACGATGAGCGCGAGAACCAGGCCCCCCATGATCAGGACGATCCAGTTCACCCACCGCCACGACAGGGTCCCTTGGCCCATGTACGAGGCGATCACGGGGCTCAGAATTGCCCCGCCGAAGGAGAGGATGGCGTACCCCGGGAAACTCAGCGTCTTCTCGCGCGGGCTCCAGATGTCGGCGACGGTGCCCCCGGCGCACGTCAGCGGCGGACAGCCACACACGCCGGCCAGAAACCGGCATGCCAGCTTGGCGCCGATGGTGTGGGACAAGCCTGAGCCCATGATGAACAACATGAACAGGGAGGTGAACCCCGTGTAGACCGCGTTGCGGCCCAGGATCTCCGACAGAGGCCCCGAGACCAGCGAGCCCGCCGCGAAGCCGAGGAGGAAGACCGCGGTGAACAGCGAGGCCACCACCTCGCTGACCCGGTACGCGGCGCTGCTCTGCGCCAGCACGGCCGACTCGATCGACGACGACGCGCTCACCGCAAACGCCAGCGCCGACACATACAGTGTGGTCAGGACTCGCGTCCGGACGCGGAAGTTCCGCGGATTGAGCGGATCGTCCTCACTGGTCCAGCCCACCAGAAAGAGGGCCTGCGTGCTCCCATGGCTGGGGGGATGATCCAGGATCTGAACCCCGGGGATCGGGAACGGGCCACGAGGCACGCCCTGCCGATGGCTGTCACCGTTGGGTTCTGGTTCTGCTTCCGAAACTCTTTGCTTCCAATCTGGGCAGGCCTCGAGCTGTTCACGGACCGCACTCTCCAGGGCACGGTATTGGCGATATGACTGCATGACGAAAGATGGAGGTGGGCAGGCCGAACGAAACACGATCTTGACTCAAGGAACACACACATACAAAAAAAGAGAAGGAAAGGAAAGGAAAAGGGGAGCAAGGGGGGGAAGATTATCCAAGATAAACCATCAATCTTTACATTCGACCGAGAGCTTGTCCAGACAATGAATGAAAATGCCTGATGCATGGCTCTGGCATGGCTTGTCGAAACCCTAGCATCCCTCCGCGTAGTAAGCGGTGCTTCAACCACCAACTTTTGGTGCTGCACGGAGTTACGGAGTACATGTACAGTACATACAGTGTATTCATCATAATCCATGCTCTGGGCATTGATCAACTGATAAGTAACTACTAAGTGAGTTAGTTATCTACTATCTCTCCTATTTCCAGTGGTAGGTATCATTCAGGTATCATTCAAGGAGAAAGAGGAAAGGTCTTCTTGAGTCACATGACCGTTCCCCTTTCTCACCCGCAGTCTATGGATTGATCCCCTTTGCATCATGTCAGTTCCCACTGCAGTTTACCACCGGAGACTCCAGCAGATGTGGATGCCGGAGAGTAACTCCACCCTCGTTGGCCCTGGTGTTGCGTTCCATAATGCCGAAGCTAAACTGGCCCAGCCGGCTTGCAACTCTGCACCTGCCGGTCTTTGCGCATTGCTTTCGGGCCAGTCCGTCCTGTTGAGGTATAAATGGAGATCGATACTCTCTCTCTCTCTCTCTCTATCTCTCTCTACAGCCCATCTTCTCCAGTCCACCTGAAGAGCCCTCAAAACCGATCGCCCTGCCTGCCCCCATCTAGTCCCACCGCTGAAACTCATCCCCCCAACGAGGAATCCATGCCGTCTCAATCCCCGCTGCCTGCGGGCTCCAAACTCTGGGTATGTATCTGAACTGGCACGCCATCGTACCCGGTTAGTGTGGAGAATTCACCGGCTCATCCGCAAACTGACTGCGTCACAATCCCCAACAAAAGCTACTCGACCTCGGCAGCCTCGACATCGACGCCTCGTACGTCCTGTCCGGAGCGAACGCCCGACGCGGTGCGGCGGCGGTCGTTCATGAGAGCCGACCCTGCCTGATGATCGCCGCGCTCCTCTACCACCCAACCGCGGGCCTCCTGCTGTTCGACACCGGCGCGTGCGAGGACATCATCAAGTCCTGGGATCGGGAGTTCCTGGAGTGCGCCCCGCGCGTCTGGGTGCAGGGAACCCACTCGCTGCCAGCCGCGATCCGAGCCACGGGAGCCGGCGAGATCACCGATGTCCAAGCCGTCGTCCTGAGTCACCTGCACCTGGACCATGCGGGAGGGCTGGAACATTTCTTGGGAACAGGTCCGTTCTTTGCAATCCCGCGTTTGATAAGGGTGCGGTCCGAACTGATCACAATGCGCGGGGCAGATGTTGAGATTTGGTGCCATGAAACCGAGCTGAAGAACGCCTTCTGGGCCGCGGCGACCGGCCTCGACAGCGGGCTCTTCCGGCCGGAGTACCTGCGGGCCGACCTCCTGAATTGGAAGACCGTGGCCGAGGAGGTGGTGGAGCCCTGGGCTGGCGTGGTCCTGCATCGCTGCCCGGGCCACACGGAAGGGCTGCTGCTGGCGGAGTTGACGCTGCCGGTGGCGGGCACCGTGGTGCTGACCGGCGATCTCTTCCACGTCAAGGAGAACTATGAGGAGGGCCGGCCCCAGGGATTCCTGATGCGGGATTACAACATCTGGCACCGGAGCAGAGACTATGCGCGGAGATTGGTGCACCGCACCAACGCCAAGGTCTGCCTCGGCCATGAGAAGAGCTACTTCGACCAGTTCCCCCGAAGCCCCGATTTCTTGACCTGAGGGGAGGGGAATCCATGGTTCTGGTTGGTAGCACCGATCGTGGTCGGTTGAAGGAAAGGAATTGCAAGGCAAGGCAGGGGCAAGCTGAGCACGGGGTTAGAAGAGCAATTCATTATTCCGTCAAAACCTTTCCCCCAAAAGCTGTACTAAGGCGGATCTTCGCGCAAGTATAAGTATAATTGCCTTGACCAATGACATCTTTCTGGCTATGGGGACTTCCCTCCTCCGGCCGGGGGCTCCAGATGCTACCTACAGCTACAGATCACTGATCCCTATCCCTGCACTACACGACACTAGAATCTCAAGTCCCATCCAATCTGCGGGCCTAAGCGAGGCAGATGGTCGGCCACGCTCTGGACATCCTTGTCGCCTCTTCCGCTCAGGCAGACGACGATATTCTGCCCTTTGTCCATGGTGCGAGCTAGCTCCATGGCTCCCCAGACGGCGTGCGACGACTCCAGGGCGGGCAGGATCCCTTCCAACTCCGCCAGGGCCCGGAAGCCGCGCAAGGCCTGCGCATCGGTGGCGGCCAGGAATCGAGCGCGCCCGCTATCCTTCCAGGCGCTCAGCTCCGGCCCAACGCCGGGGTAGTCCATGCCGGCGGAGATCGAGTGGGTGGACGAGACCTGCCCGTGGGGGTCCTGCAGCAGATAGGTATACACGCCGTGGAGGACGCCGCGGGTGCCGGAGGTCAGCGTCGCGGAATGGCGGCCGGTGTCCAGCCCATCGCCGCCGGCCTCGACGCCCACGAGCTGGACGTCCGCGTGGTCCCGGAACGGGTAGAACATGCCGGAGGCATTGCTGCCGCCGCCGACGCAGGCCACCACGGCGTCCGGGAGGCGACCAGTGGCGGCGCGCATCTGGCTCTTGGTCTCGGTGCCGATGACAGACTGGAAGGTGCGCACAATGGTCGGGAACGGGTGGGGGCCGGACACGGAGCCCAGCACGTAGTGGGTGGTGTCGACGCGGGCCACCCACGCCCGGAGGGCCTCGCTGACGGCGTCGCGCAGCGTCCGCCCGCCCGTGGTCACGGACACCACCTCGGCGCCCAGCAGCTTCATCCGGAACACGTTCAGCGCCTGCCGGCGGACATCCTCCTCGCCCATGTAGATCACACACGACAGCCCGAACTGCGCGCAGAGCGTGGCCGTGGCCACCCCGTGCTGCCCGGCGCCCGTCTCGGCGATCACCCGGCTCTTGCCCAGCCGCCGCGCCAGCAGGATCTGCCCCAGCGCGTTGTTCACCTTGTGGCTGCCCGTGTGGTTCAGGTCCTCGCGCTTGAGCCAGATGGTCGCCCCGCCGACGTGCTCCGTCAGCCGCGCCGCCCGGTGGAGGCTGCTGGGCCGCCCGAGGTATTCGTGGTGGGCGCGGTATTCGTCCCAGAAGGTGGGATCCCCGCGTGCGGCCTCGAAGGCGCGCTCCAGTTCCCCCAGGCAATGGATGAGGGCCTCGGGCACGTACTGGCCCCCATACTCCCCGAACCGCCGGTTGGAGGGGGGGGAGGAGGAGGAGGAGGAGGAGGAGGAGGAAAGCGGATTGCGGGCGGATGCTTCGCTGCTGGCGCGGTGCTGGTGCTCAAATCCTCGGCGCAGGTCCGTGATCCTCTCTCGAGGCCGCCGCCCCGTGATTCCGGCCAGATATTCCTCGGCCCGCATCGCAGCCTGGCCCGCGTCCGCCTCGCCGATGACCTTGACAATCTGGCTCCCAATCACGCAGCCCTGCGCGAGTCTCTGCACTGCCAGGTAGTGCTCCCGTGTGCTGAGGCCAAAGCCCACCACGATGGGAGTCTCTCCAGCCCAGGTGCGGACCCGACTCGTCAGCTTCGCCAGGTTCCCGTCGAGTTGCCCCGTCGCTCCGGTCACGCCCATCCGCGAGACGACATAGATGAAGGAGTCCGCCATCTCACACAGCGTCTTGACGCGTGCATCCGGCGTAGCAGGGGAGATGAGTTGGATGAACGAAAGCCTATGATCCATCCCCGGTCCAGTTAGCACGCTGCCCCTTCTTCCCAGTCACATATATTCTGCTAACCCCCCGTCCGAAGCTTTTCTGGGGAGAAAAAGAAAAAAGAAAAGAAAGAAAGAAAAGAAAGAAAAAGAAAACTAACTCAGACTCAGCGCACAGCCCGCGGAGCCGGCCTGCTTCCTCGAGGGGCAAATCCGTCATAACAAATCCATCGACACCCGAGTCCTTGCAGTCACGAACCATGCGTTCCTCGCCGTACTGTAGAACGGGGTTGTAGTATCCCATTAACAGGAGGGGAGCCTGCATGCCCCTTTGCCTCGCCACCCGCACCATGTGCAGCACTTCCGGGACCGTGGTCCGATTCTCCAGGGCTTGGACGTTGGCTGCCTGGATGACGGGCCCATCGGCGATGGGGTCCGTGAACGGCACGCCGAGCTCAATGATATCTGTTTCCATCGGGAGGCCGCCACGATGCCTGTTAGTATAAATTCGGGATCATAACGGTAGTGAGGATGGCATGAATGGACAAGAAGGAAAGGAAGGGCGGATGATTGAAAGGACGGGAAATGAGAAAGAAAGTGCGGTTCTCCATACCAGCGCCTCCGCTCTCAAGGCCAAGGAGGATGTCGACTGTCCCGTCCAGGGTAGGGTAACCGGCCGTGGTATAGGCCACCAGCGCCGGGCGCTGGTCGGCTGCCGCTCGAGCAAAGGCCTGTCGAATGCTCTCCATCGTCGTCGGGAATCGCTGGAGGGGGGCTGATGTTTCCGCCAAGTGAGGTTATTCGTGGGCTGGGTGTCGTGAAAGAACCGGTCCTCCAAAGCGCCGTGTGTGTTCTAAATAACTGGCGGTATCTTCCCAAGATCGGTTTGCCATGGCCCATGGCCCATGACTCATTAGCAACTCTTTCCTGCCACTGCAACTCCCATATTTGCCGAGATGTAGCACTGATCGCCAGACTTTTCGCCGGTGATCGATAGTCCAGCTGCAAGTCCTCCGCTGACAAAGCGGAGGGCGCAGTCCGCGGGAGCCCTACCTCCTCCTCCCTCTACCTCGGAAGACTCGCGTCTCTCTCTCAAGGAGTGGTTGCTGGAGAATTACAGCGTGTAAAATAAGAGATTTATAAAGACCAGCGTCGAGGACCGACTGACATGGCAATGGTGCAAAGGACCTCTCCTCAAGCTCAAGCTCACGCCCACGCTCACGCTCACGCTCACCCATACCTGATTCTCTCTCTCACTGTATAAATAACTAGACGCTGGAAATGTCCTCCTTCACCTACTACTCGGGCCCTGGCTTTGGCGAGCAATGTCGCCAGCAATACGGCTTCAGTGACGCCTGCATTATCGGGGATCGCATGATCGTCACCGGCCAGAGTGAGTCCCGAACGTTCTTTCACAGCTGCAGGACAGCTGCCAAGAAGCGCCGGCCGCTGACCATCTCGATATTGCAGCCGGCATGAACCCCACGACCTGCCAGACGGCGCCGGATCTGGCGGCCCAGGTGGCTCAGGCCTTTGCGAATATCGGGTCGCTGATCGAGCGAACCTTGCGGCAGGCCGAGCATCCCGCCCATCAGGCGGGCAAGTCGGGCTGGGAGTACGTGGTCAAGCTGCACGCCTACTTTGTCGGCCTGTCGGCGGTGCGGGACGACGCGCGGGCGCTCATGGTGCGGCACATCCAGCAGGCCTGCCCGCATCATCCGCCACTCTTCACCATGGTCGGCGTCGAGAGCCTGCCGTTCCCGGAGCATCGGGTTGAGCTGGAGGCGGACGTGTGGATTCGTTGACGGGTGGGCCGGCTCGCGGTCGTTTTCTTTTTTCGATGTGGTCGTTGCTTAGCAAGACAGACAGCTTTGTATTGTCTTGGATGTACACATCTGCACTGCACGGTACTATACTGTACCGCTCCCGAGAGGAATGAACGATCCGCAATTGAACAACGCCTTTTGTCTATCTACCACTGAAGAGAGTGAGGGCGATAGGGAAGTGATTGTTGGCTAGTAGCAGCCGAGACGTTCTTCAATCCGACTCCGAACCGAACGGGTCGAGACCGTCCCCCCCCGCCCCCCCCCAACTACGTTCAGGTGTTATCTATACGGGGGTTTGCCGTCCAGCCTTAGGTTAGAGCCGAAACCCTTGAAACATGCTTGCATGGGGGATTCTGAACGGGTCCAGTACAGTACAACAATCCCATCCAGTCAACTTTCCCGTCCCATGCACCCACCCCGTTCACCACGGCAGCTGTTCGCCGTTATGCCTCAAGAAACGCCCGGATGTTGTCAGCCGTGTGGCCCGATCGATCTGGAAAGGGTCAGCCTTCAGCCACTGTCATCACCCATCGGGGCTCCCTTTTGCGAGGAGGAAGAAGTTCGCTAGTCCCACTGACCTGTTGCACGATACCGTCCACGCTCTGGTCCACGGTCAAGGGGGCCATTTCAAGCCCTTTGGCGTGGGCCCCGCGGTTGCCCATGTCCGTCTGAACCAACCTTGCACAAAACGTCAGTGACTGACTGCCCAAGTCGACCCAGAGGGCCTCTGCTCGCGCAAGAAACCGCAGCTAACTTTCCAAATCGCAACTCACCCGGGATCCACGGAGAAACAGATCAGATCCTCGTGTTCCAAATGCACCCGGCGGACCAGGTAGTTCCCCGCCGCTTTCGACATCCCGTAGGCAGTCGTCAGGGACGCGCGGTGCTGCTCCAGGCCGGCCAGACTGGCCAGCTCCGTCGACACGTAGACGAACCGGGGCGGGTGGTGGAGGGGCCGCCGATCGGTTGCCGGCGGCAGCAAGAAGGGGCGCATCGCGCGGAACAACCGCAGCGGGCCCACGGTGTTGACGTCCAGGTGCGCCTGCAGGTCCGCGTCCGTCATCGCGGCCAGCGGGCCGTAGTGGTCGCAGATCCCCGCGTTCGCCACGACGACGTCGATCCGCCAGATCTGGTGCTGCCGCTGCAACAGCCGGCACGCGTGGCCGAGGCTGTCCGGCTGGTCCAGCCGCAGAGGTAGCACGATGAGCCGGCAGTTGGGCCCGCGGGGCAACGCACGCAGATGCTCGGTGCGCTCTGGCGATGCATCCCGGCACGCCGCGATGACCACCGTGTTGTTGTCGTTGCGCAGGTATCGAGCCACCAGCCCCTGGCCAATCCCTACCCCCGCTCCGTAGTCGGTCAGTCAGTCGATAGTTAACTAGATCCCAAGAGGTACCGAGGGGCTCAAGCAGGATCTCCCATCCTTGGGAGGGACGGACGGACGGAGGAACTGACCTCGATTAGCTCCGGTGATCAGAACTATAGTCTCCATGATGACAGGTGGGAACCACTTTCCCGTGTCTTCAGAGTCTTCTCTTTAGGGGGTTAGTGCTATAGGGGAGGTATGTGTACTGGATACTGGGTAGTGCTTCGTCCAGTAAAGACTAAGTAGGTACCAGGTAGGTATATATAGAATAAGAACGGCCGAAGGGGGCCGGCCTTGATTCCACCGGACCAGGAAGTGGAGCGGCAGCTTGACCCGGGTTTGTCGGATGATGATCCCCAACCCCAGAATCAGGGATCAGTGACAACAAAACTCTCCAGTTCCGATCACTAAGCGGCATGGAGGTCTCAAGAAACGGCTTGTGGGAAGAACCCTCCGCATCCGATCCGAAAGCGAGGCCGATGGATGGACTGTACGGAGTGAGGTAGTTATCTGAAGTGGAGTCAGTCTCTCCAGCTCCCGATGAGTAAGCGGAGATCAAGAGGTTCATTGGTTGGTGTAGGTGAAGTATAAAAGTACCTCCTGTACCGTACCTACGATCGAGTAGCTGTGTCGTTCTCAGACAACCTTTCTCTGTCTCTTCACACAGTGGCACATCTTCTACATCCTCTACACCTTGTACACCTTATAATCCATCATCGGACAGTGGTTTGAATATGTCTCCCCGCACTGTTGTTGTTATTGGCGCCACCGGCTCGCAGGTTCGTTCGTTCCTTACCATCACAGTCAGCCCTAGCATCAGTAGTACGCATAGTACTACACCTGCCAACACCACAGCCTCCCACTACTTAGCCACCCGACTGACTACTGACTGCTGACTGGAATGGTAGGGCGGTTCCGTCGCCAGGGAACTCCTCAAGCACCCAGAACGCTACAGCGTCCGGGCTGTGACACGCGACCCCAGCAAGCCCGCAGCTCGGGAGCTGGCCGCCCTGGGAGCAGAGATTCGAGCCGCCGATCTGAGCGACGGGGCCGAGGTGCTCGCCGCTGTGTTCGCCGGCGCCGAGGCGATCTTCGCCTTGACGGACTTCTGGGCAACCCAGTCCACCGAGGCCGAGGTTGCGCAAGGCCGGGCGATCGTGGACGCCGCGGCCCGCACGTCGACCCTGGGCCACTTCGTCTGGAGCGCCCTGCCCGACCCCGAGCAGCTCTCGGGCGGAGAACTCCTGCACATCCACCACTGGAAGGGCAAGAGTCGGGTCACCGACTATATCCAGCAGCAGTATCCGGCCCTGTGGGCCGTGACCACCACCGTGCTCTTCCCCAACTACTTCGAGAATTGCCTGACGCACCCCGACCGGTACCTGTCCAAGCCTGTACGTTGGCCCAAGTCTCCCAAGTCCCTAGGGTAGGGGTAGAGTACCCTCCTACCGGTGGAACATTGCCTGACAGTTGGTTGGCGGGTGACACAGGATACGCACGGAGTGTATAACATGAGCTTCCCGCATAGCCCGTCCACCGTCATGCCGAACGTGTCGATCCGGGATACCGGGAAGCTGGTGCAGCGGGTCCTCGAGTCTGGCTCCACGTACTTCACCAAGACGATTGCCTTCTATGCGCAAGCTCTGGCGGAAGCCGACAAGCTGGCTGCCATCGGTCAAAGTATGTGACACACACACACACACACACACAGCTCCCCCGCCCCAATCCTTCCATCACAAGGCTCACCTCACCACAGAGTATAACCTCCCAACCAAGTATCACACCTTGAACCCGGATGACTATCAGCGACTCCTCGAGACGCGGGACGGCATGTCTCCCGAGATTGCGCTGGACTTCACCGAGCAGCTGCTCATGTTCGAGAAGTTCGGCAACGTGTACGACACACCGGCGTTTGTGCAGGCTAAAGAGGTACGTGCCCCTCCCCCCACCCCTTCCGGCGCTGGTCTTGAGGGCCACAAGCTGGTCGCTGAGGCCACAACGCAGCAGCCGATACAAAAGTCAGCCCGCTAACTCATACAGATCCCCGGATTGGAGCTTCAAACCTGGGCCAAATTCATGGCAGAGAATGATCTTCTTGTCTACATGAAGAAGTCTTGAGGGGTTTTTGTGGGGGGAGGGGGGGGGGGGCTGTCAGGTCGGAGGCCGTGCCTTGTAACAGCTGGCACCCAACAATCGCCTCCGGTTTGCAGTATCTGGTAGGTTGAGCCAGGGGGGGGTTGATATTGTATACTATATTCCTCTGTGCAATGACGGCGGGCGGAGGAGGAGGCTAGGAGCAAGCTACGCCCACTTTTGAAGGACATGAGTGGGTGGAGAGGGGATGAGGTGATCCTCTGTTGTTTTGGAGGGGCACAGATGCTGGAATGGCCAACTGGCAACCGCCACTATGCACTTCTGGCCAAGAGAATCAACCATGGCGTGCAGATTTGAGTATCCATGATGTCGGGCATGTGAACTATAAGTCGACGAGCTGTGCTTCTAGTAAACAAGGTTGCAACAGCCAGTGGAACCTACCCAATGGATATAGCATCAACAGCGTTGCGGAATCGATCTCGAGCTGAATCTGGATCATAGACACGGATTGAACTTTAGCGTACTCTAGACTTGTAGATAATTCAGGCACAACTATAAACCGGGATTTCCCCGCCGGCAATCGGTTGAACTCCGTCCCCGGCTTACTACCATTGACTATAAAGGCAAGGCCATCATCTGCATAAGCACGAAGACTGGTTTTGATCTGATCTTCCAAGTTGAATTCGCATAAGTCCAGGGCCCCCAGAACCATCGATTACAATATGGCCATCTACCACATCGGTACCTCAACCCCAACTCCGCTATCTCTCCATACATCCCAGTCCACCACACTCACTAAGTACCTATTCCTGTAACTGACAAACCCCCGGCCAGTCCTCTTCCGCCTCAAACCCGGCGTCAGCAAGGCCCGAGTCGACCATTGGTCCAGCCTAGCCAAAGGCATGGTCGGCCAGATCCCTGGTAAGCTCGAGCGACTCCCTTCCTACCCGTTTGTCATACAAAAACTAAGCCCTCCCCAGGTCTCCGGGAACTCCAGGCCGGCGGCCCCCTCGCAGCCACCGCCGCCAGAGCCAAGGGCTTCGATATGGGAATCGTGGCTATCCTGGAGAAGCCAGATGATGTACAGACTTATGCTGCGCATCCCGCGCATCTGGAGTGGGTGGATCCGCTCTGTCATCGAAGAAGCTCAAAGACTAATCGAATGATGTAGGGTGCAGAAGTTGAGAGAGGAACTGTGCGACGATGCGTTGGCTTACGACTTGGAGTTTTGAGGCGGAAGTAAATAGACAGGGGCTCTGCCTGGGCAGGAGGAGAAGGATGGGGGCTAGGAGCAAGCTACAAGATGTACATACTGTCAGGCATTGAGATTTTGAATACACGCGACTATCTTACACTGCATCTGAACATCTGCCATGCTCCAACTTTCCCGGATTTCACACTGCAATCCCGGTTTATCCCGGGATATTACCAGCTTCGCAGTAACTATTCAATTTCTCCAAAAAAAAAAAAAAAAAAAAAAAAAAAAGATGCAAGTTCAATGACAAGCCTTGCCGTACTTCCGTAACCGCCAATAGTTGTACGGCAACGGAGCCAGATAGCCCGCGCCCACCGACACGCCCGCCGCCAACCAGAATTGCGGATCCCCGACAGCGACCACGCCCCCCGTCAGATGATAGTCCACCGCATTCTCCGCAATCTCCATCGCCAGCATCGAGACCATGCTCATCCCCATGGCCGTCCGGCAGGCCATCGCCAGGGAAAGCTGGTCTGCGCCCCGCCAGAGCAGATACGTTTCAAGAATGATGGAGGTGGTGATGCCGGAGGCCACTGGTTACGGAGTGTCTGAGGTCAGTCGTTGGGGAATCCCGGCATACAAAGACAGCACATACTGGATAGTCCCATGATGGTACCCATCCCGAGACCGGGGGCCAAGCTTTGCAGCATCCACAGGGCGGAGAAGTCACCGATGGTGCAGCCGATGAGGCACCGGAGGGTGTTGATTCGGGCGCGCTTCCATGAGGAGCGGCAGGTCCAGAACGAGCGATTCAGGATGGAAGATGGTGAGGGCTGTGGCGCAGAGCTTGCGGAGGTTGTTTGTGGGCTATGTTCTGTTGAGTTGTGGCATGGTTTCGATCCTTCCTTGGGTGGAGAGCATTGCTGGTGGTATACTCGGGAGCCAAGGAGGGAGGATAAGGACGGAGGTGATCTTGTCCGTCGAGAGATGACACTTCTGCAGTGAAGATACATCTTTATCCTGCGATTGGTGGGAAGAGTGCTCCTAGGAGGTTTCAGGTCCAGGCACAGAAATGCAAAAGGGCCGGGTTGGAGGTTCTTTATTGCGATAAGATTCTGCCTCCCATTCACGCGAAAATCGCGCATTCGGCGAATGCTTTCGGGGACTTGGTTAGAGTATTCTTCTTTTGCAGATTTTGGGAGAAATACACCCGAAGTTCAAGCACGGAGGATTGGGATTAGCTTACTTATGCCTTTCTGTGTAAGATTATGCCTCTGTTGCCCTCAGGCTTAGCTGGTTGATTGGTAAATTGTGTGGCGACTACAGTATAAAGTATACACGGCTGAACACCACGGATACTACTTCCTCAAGTAGCAGGTTACCGCTGTGGCTTTGCGTTAGATCGAATGATTTGCACATCTTTCAGCAGCAGCGTACTGAATTGATCTGCGGTGGCTCGCAAATTCCACGCTTTACGTTCTGGCTAGGAAATGTTGGGGGCAATACGTTGCTTCAGAAGTGCGCACGAGAGACTAGATTCGTAGGTGGTAAAAGCCAATGCCATACAGCCCTGACACGCTCCAGAAGGATTATGGGAATCCTGAAATTCACTTGAGTAGACACAATGAAAGAGATTTATCCGAAGTCCAGATCCATGCGCCGTCGGGCTCGCTCCAGAAATCTAGAGAGGCTGACTCAAATGTCAACAGCAATCCATCACCGGAGACTCGGGACAACTTCCCGCTAATCTTGATCAGGTAAAGTCACTACAGCCTCGACCGCCTGCTTGTTCGGTCAGCTCCCCGCTGAATGATCATTGATAAGCTATCTGAATGTAGTCATCGCATGTGGGCTCTTTGCCAGCCTTTATCTATTTTCTATTCTTGTCTGTCTGCCATTGATCTCGACTGGATCACGTATACGAGGCCTTGGGCTCCTCGAGCATTCCCTCTACAACCATTATCTCATCAAACTCATTGTCGAAACTCCACTCCCAGAACCTCCAACCGAACCACCGCAACAACCACCCAGAAACATCACCACCACCCACAAACCCCGCCGAACCATACACAACCACAAACCCTCCACAAACCACAAACTACAAACCACAAACCCACCATGACCACACCAACCCCCCCGCCCTCCGGACCACAAACCCAACAACAACAAAAACAACAAATCCAACCCCCCCAAAACCAAGAAGACCCCCTCCCCCCGCACCTAAACCCAACGACCTACCCCCGCACCACGACGAACCCAACCCTGAACACACACATCACGCTCACCTACGCCCCGCTAGACGCGACCGCAGCCCTGACGCAGGTCTCCTCGCCGCAAGCGGGGGCCAACGTGCTCTTCCTGGGCACCACGCGGGACACCTTCGGGGCCCGGGCGGTCGCCCAGCTCAGCTACACGGCGTACCCGCCGCTGGCGCTGAAGACGCTCGCCCAGATCGCGGAGGCCGCGGTGCGCGCCCACGGCCTGCTCGGCGTGGCGATCGCGCACCGGCTCGGCGACGTGCCCATCGGCGAGAGCAGTATCGCCATCGCGGTGAGCGCGGGCCACCGCGGCGCGGCGTGGCGGGCCGGCGAGGAGGTGCTGGAGCGGTGCAAGGCGCGGGCCGAGATCTGGAAGCGCGAGGTGTTTGTCGATGGCGGCGGGGAGTGGCGCGAGAATCGGGAGAGGGATCGTGAGGGGGCGTTGGTGGGGTGATTTTCCTTGCGGTTGTTTGTGGGGGGGGGGGGTAAGGGATTGCATACTTGGGTTGAAGGGCATTGGAGCGGTGTATATTGGAACTGATGGCGGGATGGGATGTTCATGTAGATAAGATAGGCATGGCTGTTGATTGAGGGGCGAGACCGCTCACACAAACATTCAAATGTCTTCATGATTTTACAGAGTAGGGTATTATATTGTACACACATGGCCCCCAAGACCAGACCAGAAAACGACGAATCTAATCCTTCCTCAAAGGCTTGCCCTCGCGCTTCCAATCGTTAATGTGCTCCATGATAGTCCGCGTGGCGGACTCGGGCGTGTCCTGACGTCCGATACACTCCACAAAGTCGTTGTCGGGGTCTGCGAACGCACGAGAAAATATCAGCCGGGCCCTTGTATATCATGACTCTGCACCACTTCCACCCCAAGAAAAGAAAACTCACCCATCAGGTAAAAGTAGATACTATGATCCACCAAATAATCCTCCCCGGGCTTGATATCCCGCGGCGTACTGAAGTACACGCGATACTGCTTGCACACATTGCGCACCTGGTCGTACGTGCCCGTCAGCCCGATGATGCCCGGGTGGAACTCCTTCAGGTACTCGCGCAGCACCTCGGGCGTATCGCGGACGGGGTCGCAGGTGATGAACACGGGGAGGAAGATCTTCTCGCCGCCGGTGGCCTCGTTGACCTTGTCGATGATCTCGGCCATCTTGTCCAGCTCGTCGGGGCAGATATCCGGGCAGTGGGTGAATCCGAAGTACACCTAACGGTTCATCCCCACAAACCCACCATCAGTGGTCTGTTCCAGTTGGCCGCACACGGGGGAGACCGGAGAACTCACAAAACTATACTTCCCCTTCAGATCCTCGGCCGTGAACTCCTTCCCGTCCAGATCCGTCAGCGTGAACGGCCCCCCGACCCGCGGCTTGCCCACCCCCTTGCTCATCTCCGCGATGCGCTTGCGCTCCAGCCGCTCCTTCTCCACCCGGAAGTAGATGATCATGCCGCCGCCCGTCAGCACGAACAGCAGCGCCGACTTCCACGAGAACGGGCCCGTCGAGTTGCGCGCCTTCAGCTGGCCCATCGTCGGGGACTTCTTGAGGTGGGCCCGCGAGGTCGAGAAGGCACGGTGGGCGAGGGTGGTGCCATTCTTCAATTGATTGTGACTGATGCTGGTGCGGACGGCGGTTTGGGTGTTCATGGCTGTCCGTGCAAGGGTTCGAGAGGCCGGGGACTCGAGCGAAACCAGGGAGGCGCGCGAGGCACGCGTGAAAAGGCGGCTTGCGGGTCGGATTGAGGAGGCCATGATGTTCTGTTTCGAACCAATTGATGGGGGAGAGGGAGGGTAAGGGAAGTTGGCCTGACTTGCACGGAGGATTTTGTTTCTCGGACGGGGAACGAACTACGGGCTACGGCGGTCGGGTCGGAGGTGGTGGTTTTGGATGCGCTCCAATCCGGCGGGCCCGCCGCCGGGGTTTGCTTGATGCAGTCCATTTACGGTTTAGTGCGGTTGGTACTCAGTACATACAGTACCCCGATCACTATCACGTGAATCTATTTACATAGTTATCGAACAGCTATGTTCGAGGACCATTTGAACAACTTGGCTCTACTTTTACCTTCTCGTACTTTCTCATCATCGTCATCATCATCTGTTTGGCCTTTTCCAACCTACTTCGCACGCGATCGTCCTGCTAACGCTGTTTCCAAATCCCTCACCTCTCAGCAGGGCTATCATCATGCAAACATGGGCAATATGAATGACACAGACCAGAAGACCAAGACAACCGTTGAAACGGAAGCCACAGATTGCCCCGAGGCTGATCCGAAAGAAGAATCAGGCACTGACAAGACACTGATATCGTGGAAAAGCGCCTACATTTCGTAGGTGCTGTCTATGAGGTGTTCTTGATGGTCAAAGCCGCGTACTCAACGGCGACTACGACCACCTTCTCTCCAAGCTGTCTGATGATGACTTGTCCAACTGTCCTTGAGAAATCACTGCTCGGTATGACGGCACCCCTGGGCCGCCTGAAGCGTTCTTCACCATCAAGTCTACCCTGTCCACGGACGAGATCATCGCCGATGTTCGTGAGCTGCCTGAGACCGACTGTGAGAGAATCCGCCAGCACAGGCTGTAATCCAATCCTACGAGTGTCGTATCCACCTTCTCTCGGTTCACAGACACAGTTACACCTAAGATCAAGGACCCTCTCACCTCCTGAAGACCAGGCTCGTGTTACACTTTGCGAATGTTTCTCTGCAAACAAGATGGAATCATGAACTTGGGTAGCATTACATTAATTACACCGCGTGCTTTCCTCGCAAGCAAAGACTGGATATCCATGGAGAGAATGTGTCCCATGCAAGCAACTCTCGCTGGATCTCAGGTCTGGGTCAAAAGGAATACGCGGGTCGAATATGACACATGGAATGTGATTGAAGGAGACACAACGAAAGCGGAGCAAGGAGGTATTGTCGTAGGAGAAACAAAAAATAAACACGACTGAAGGAGACGTAACAAAATGCAAGACGAGCTTGGGCCGAAGTTGGCCCTCAAGCGGTATGTACGGTAAAGCTTTCCATCTCACTGTACACTTCGGCTAGCCATACTGGCACGACTAGGCGTGGTGCGCGGCTCTTCTTCTTCAATGACATCGCTTAGGCGAGTGGGATGGCGATGCCGGGGAGTCATTGATTCCCACCCAGAGCCGACGCCCCAGCCCGAGCCACTGTAGTCGACAGCTTGGTTGTAGCCACCATAAATAGACCCGGACGAGGCAGGCAGCGAGCTGGGGGGGTATCCTGTTTCATCTAGTGAGCCATGTTCATACTCGTCGCTTCCTTCGGACATTGTCGGAGGATAAATAATTGGCCCTTGTGGATTACGGCGATAGCTGGCCCCAAATTCGTCTTCGCCTGGTTCACTGCTGGCTACACTAGGACCATATGATCGATCGTCATTTTCTGATGTGGGTCGAGCAGGGTAGGCAGGCTCTTGCTCGTAATAGTGCGCAGGATACTGCCTCTGAGTTTCTGCAGACGAGGAAGCCGGTGGCGGTCCTTCGACAAAAGAATCCGTGCCGGTGGGCGATGCAGCAGTCTCGCCATAGTATTGGCCTTCGGTGTCCACCGTGCTCTTTGGCGCTCCCTCCCCACTAGTGGCCCCACCGGTTGCATAGGGGCTCTCGCGAGTTTGGGGACGGGTGGTCGATGCCTGACGATGCGAGGCTCCAGTAACCATGGGCACCACTTGCACTCCTCCTACCAATGTGGGCTCGCCGTTACGGAGGGAGTTGGTCCTCTCGCGCTCCTCCTGCTCGCGCCGACCAAGTTCTTCCCAGGCGCGACGAGCCTCTTCTTTCGAGATTTGCAACTCACGACGCATCTCTTTGAGCAATTCTTCCGCACGCGACTTGTCGCTTTCAGCCTTCTGCAATGAAGCAAGAGCGTCCGCGCGGGCCTGTCGTTCAGTTCGGATCTGCCGCTCGAGATCTGCTTGCAACTCTTTCGCGCGTTCTTGTTCCGTGCGGGTATCGAAGAACCAGCGCTGAAATTTCCGCTCAGACGATGCGCGCAATCGCTGCAGCTCCACAACGGCGTGAAACAAATTTGCACCAGCCGCAGAAAGGTCAGTGACTTGACGAGCCATCTGCTGGTTAAGAGGATCTCGCTCGAGTGCTTCGTTGTTCTGTTCCAGCTTGCGAATCCAGTAGCCTGTCAATCCTTCCCAGTGAGAAGATAGAGTCTCCCAACGCTCGAAGGCATGCGGGAAAGGCACTCGACGAGATTGCTGTTGAGGTTGGGATCCCGTGCTTGGTTGATTAGACGCTGGGGCTTGGGCTTGCGGTTTGGAAAGCCCTGCAGAGCTCTGAGGCGGGATTTGGGACTGCTGAGCTGGATTGAATTGTCCTGCCGATGTCGTCGGCCTTGCATGACCATGTCCCGCACCGGTGCCTGCTGCCTGGGTGGGAGACAGAGGGTCTGGTCGTCGAGCATTGCTAGTCGACCGTTCTGGAATAGTGGTGGTGCGTAAGTCTTGCGCCTCCGGCCCTGTGGGAGCCCTTTGCGTCGCTCGCCGTTGTGAGCCTCTGTCACCGGCAACGCCAGCAGCATAAGGCTGCGCTTGCCCTTGAGCCTTGCTTTGCTCCTGCTCCCGATCCCTAGCTTCCTGTTCTGCCTTCTTGCGAGCCTCGCGATCCCGGCGCTGTCTCATGATGTCCGTTGGAGTCCGCACACCACTTGGCGGGTGTGGGTTGACAGGAACCGGGCCCTGGGCGGCTCGAGACGATCCATTCTGGGTGCGGCCATTGGCGCTGAAGCCGGTTGTACCTGCTGCGTCAGACATGGGCGCATTCACTTCTTCCCAATCTGTTGTGAAGGGGAATGGTTTGCGAATCGCTTCTTCCAGCGTCCAGAGGATCGCAGATGCTGTGCGCGGGGAAACTCGTGTAGACCTGCGAGGCCAGTACGAGGTGTCCGCCCGTTCAGGATGATCTTCCGGTGCCGAGTCAGCCTCTTCGTCGTGATCCGTATGCACTTCCGAAAGCGCGGGACGTAATGCCGCAATACCGTTGCCGTGGTCCGAGATTGACTGCACCAAGACAGGAATTGTTTGCTCTACTTCAAAAGGACGTCCGGACACATCGACCGATTGTGGGCGCTGAAAATGACGAGACGTTCTCCGCAACGATCGAGTACTTCCCAAAGCACTCAACGGCCGTAGGTCTGGGTCAAAGGTAGGTTCAGGTAAGGGTCGGGGAGCAGCCTGCTGCTGGCGTTGCGGTGAAAGAGTCGTCAACGTATGTGGATCGTAAACTTCGTAGGTCTCGTCAAACGTGCCGCGATAAGGATAAGACACTGCCGCAGTGGTATGTGAGCGAGGCGGATGCGGATGCGACGACAACGTGAGGGCTGGGACTTCAATTCCCTTTCAATGGGGCTCCAGGAACAGGAGGCTTGCGATCGTGAAGTGGGCTTGGTAACGTGTCAGGGGAGCTGCACAATTTTGGCACGACTCCGCTTCTTGTCCAGCACACGCACGATACACCGGCCACTGAACAGGCAGGCAATGGTAGGTCAGTAAGTAGGAGACAAGTGGAATGTGGGTATCTTCGGGGGATTGAAACACGGGGAGGAACAGCAAAGAGGAAGAGGAGAACATTTCAGAGCGAGCCACGCGACTGAAATTGACAGTGGCTGGTCGAATGAGAAGGGGTTTAGGGTCGTTGCGGGAAATGCGATGGCTGGGGAGGAATCGGAAGCTGCAGTTGAGCTCACCTGTTCCTGAAAAAGCGCCCTGCCAGACCGCAACGAGCACTACTTCAGAGGCCCGTGGCCGGCATGAAGTAGAGCAAGACAGCCCAATTGCCTCCTTACAAAAAGGGGAGAAAGGGAGCCTAAGCTATGAAGCGGTCTGGATTAAGGGAGTGTGAAGACTGAACACAACAAGCAAGTGGAAAGTAAAGAAAGAAGAAATTTGAACAGGAAGAATAGGAAGAATTGGGCAAGAGCTTGCTTGGGAAAGAAGGGAAGGTGAAACGGGGGTTTTAGCCGGTACCAAAGATGGTACCAAAGACTGTACCAAAGAACAGGTACTCCCTAAAGAACAGGTACTCCGTAGGAAGGAACGTACCAAACAATTGAGTAAATCTACCCGATCGCAAATCGATGGTTGATGGTTATGGATTCACCAACTCTGACTACTATCCTTGTCACCACTTGATTGCTGTTATACGCGATCAAGAACAGACAAGAAAAGATGACGTTGATTGTCTTCTGCGCAGCGCAAGGACCAGATCAGAATCCCAGACACAGACACACACAGACACACACAGACACACACAGACACACACATTCGAACTTGTCTTCCTTGCCTTCCAACAACAACCCCCCCCCCCCCGCCTTCACAGGTTGCACACAGCTCAATTAAGGCCGACTGCGACTCGTCGGACAACTAGCAGTCTGACTACCCAAGGTGATTGATTTCATAAGTCTGCCCGAGTGTACAGTACTTGGTATTTGAGTGCCGTTCCTTCTGCTGATCGCGGATTGATCGCCTTTAGATCAGTGTTGGATCTCGACAATCTCTGTCAGATCTTTCCTCCTACACGTGAATCAGACAAACAATCATCATCATTTACATCGATAAGAGCTATTGCATCATCACGACAAACCGCCCGGGAATTAAGTATATATAGAAACCCGCGCTAGCCAAGCTCTGCCCTTGCAATGGCCCAATCCGAGGCTGATGTGCTGGCGATGCCTGGATGGGGATTCGGTCCCGACCCGTCATCATCAGCTCGCCGCCTGTCAACTCCTTCTCTGCCCATTCTGTCGAGTCATGACTGTTTAGATGAAGTCAATGTTCATGTCGACTAACAACAGCCTCATCATCAAGTGTTGATCCATCACCAATCACGATAACTTCACGCAAGCGAAAGCGATTTGTCGACAGTTCAGCAGTTTCTGGTTTCCGGGCTCTTGCTCCTCGACTCCACATCGGCTCCATTAGCGGAGCACAGACCTGGACTTGCTGATGACGGTACCTTAGACTATTAACTAGTCCTCTTTTATGGTCGCACGAGAAGCCGTTGATCAATCCGGAGAAATTCGATCTGGACCTTTGGAGATCTATCACTACCTTACCACCCTCGGGTTCAGGTGCTACCAATAAGACTCAGCAAACGACACCCCTGGTCCATTTAGTTCGTCGTCCTGGGAAGATTCAGTCGCAAGAGTTGGACCCTGTGTTTGTAGTCACAATTCTTGCCGGTCGGGTCTCAGTTGGTTCTTAGTGGACGTTCGGAAGCTGAAGGGAACCAGCTACCTGGTCAGCTTACAACCATCTCCAAGCCTTCTGCGACAGACGAGTAAGATGCAAGGGCCTTTCGGCTCGGCTCCCAATTGACTTTGAGGAAAGCTTTTCCATCCGTCCCGGTTTCAGACCTATCGAACTGCCTTGCAGCCGGTCTCACACATAAAACTGCTTTGCTCACATTGTCTCCTGTTCAATTTGCCACCCAATTTGGTGGGAGCGAGGAAGTAATTGATGATTCAAAGAGAGTGGGGAGTTGGAGCGACGCTTGTGTCAAGGTCCCAGACCAAGTGCAGCTCACAAGACGGCTACGAGAACAACTTGGTCCGATCACTCTTCACTGAGGTCTTATCACCAAGGTACGAATCTAGACGTCGGCAAAGGGTGACAGCTGTGGTGCCCGAAACGTCGTGCAGAAACTGCCCGTGAAGAAACCCCAGGGAATTACATGTCACATCTCTCCGAGCAACAATCGACACCAATACTCTAGTATATGCATCGGCCCATGAGCGTAGGTGACACTCAGGGCGGCGATCTTATGCTAGCCGTACTCTGTATGCCGACTACGGCCGCGCTTCATGTCTCACGCAGGTCCCCTCAGAGGTAGATTTGCATCAAAGCATGCATAAGGTGAAATAAGACGATAGCCTGATACGCAGGTCCGGAATGTGGGCCTACAATGCGTTGCGTCTCCGACGGACCGAGAGTTGACCAGTAGGCAAGATTGAGGTATCTCGAATCTTTCATTCTTTCTGTTCTGATGTCCTTAATATATCTGGGACAAACTAACATGGAGAGTGCTCTTGACATAAACAAGCGCCACGAAATTGAACCTGCTGCTATCTTTGTAACGATAATCTTGGACAAACCTGCGATTCACTGAGACGGCTGCCAGCAGTAGTTAGAAAGGGTACTGCTGTCGTCGATATATATTTTCGGAAAGACACCACAAGATGCACATGTGGGCTTGTTGCCACCAGACGACCTCCACTACGCTCAAATCAAGGAACATAGGCAATGGTTAAAGTCTAACATTTACGACCTGCATATAGGATAAGCGCAGAATTGTCATTGAGAACTGTTTCCTATCTTACGATTGTCTGCAAGCGAGTGATGATTTGCGACAGAGAATCGTTCGAGCAGGGATAAACCTCCTCTCCAGCCTTTGGTCTGGGCGATGGTTGACCAGCAAGGACTCCAAAGAGATGCTCCTAGGCCAACGGGCCAGCCTGTCGGAGATTAAGTGAAAGAAGGATCTGTTTCTTCTTATAGCCAGACCACAATAGGGATGGCGTTGGAAGGCAGGCAGACAGATTTCGAAGCAGATCTGACTCCAGCTCCTGGGACCCTAATGCAAGCCCCCGGTATCATGGCAACCCGGTATGATAATCTGGAATGCGGGATAGACGGAAACTGATCTACAATTTTCTCCGAACTATGGTAACCAGTTACTGAGGCTTCGACAGGGTCTGGCAAGCTACGGAAGTTTTATGACGAAAGACCCAGATTTCAAAACTTGATCCGATCCATTGCAATCGGGCTATCGATGAACTGAATGAAGTAGTAGACGAGGCTTGACAAGGGATTTTGAGGGATGTTGCAAAGGGACGACTGAAAACACGATCAAGGGGAGAAGGATCAACGGCAGGATCGACGTATCACTGCGGAACTAAGTTAGCGAGTGGCCTGTGTCCCAGCGCCCCGGATGGGCCTGATCTCTCACATTTGCTTATCCTCTACCTGCCCCTCAAGCTTTGCACAGGGAAGACTTCTAGATCTTCTGTGCCTCAATTCGTCCTGTGGGTAGAGGTCTGCAATTTCCGTGTGTTCTCGTCGACTACCATACCTGGAGTCCACAAACCTTGTAGCTACTTGTGGATCGGCCCAAGCCTCGTTCGCACACAAACCAAAAAGTCCGAGCCAGTCCTTCACAATCCGTTTATTCAATGTCATAGCATCACTACGCGCGGTGCGGGAGAAATCGACGTGGTGGTTGGCGCCCTCAGGGCCCTCAGGGATACGAAAACCAACCGCGAAAGGTGTTGATGTCCTTCCTCTTTCGGGGGTACGTGCACAACAAGGAAGCTTAACGGGAATGGCCCCAAAAGAATTATACTTGGGTTAATCCTGGAGTTCGTGATGAGACCCCGCGTCAACTAAGTTGCGGATCGAGATTCCGAGCCTCCCTTGCTCCTTCGTCGAGGGGCGACCTGCCTTGCTGCACATCTTCATCCCTACCGAAGGACAGGAAGATGTAAGGTCTGATAGGTCATTGGAGTCTGTCCCCACGGACGTTGGAGCTTTTGTTTACACCTCTGAGCATTGGCATGCGTCGAGCTCCCCCCCGGCCTAGCCACCGTTGCAATGGTTGGATATGCCCTAGGTGGGCCAAGGCGATGTTGTTATTTTTGGCGAGATATGTATAAACATATTCTCCCCTTGGTCCTGGCCATTCTTGATTTCACTGTCACAATATATTCCTTCGTTTAGTTGATGTCTCTCCTTTCAATTGTACTACGAATCAACCACGTCTGTGTCTCATGCCTCTGATGAGCTACTTGCACGCCTGAATGACCACGACCAATCTCTCGCTTTACCACAGAACCATAGCCCATGGCTAACGGATACTCTCGCATGCACGGCGAAGTGAACGCCTCCTACAATAGCCGCAAGATATCGCAAACCACACTTTACCCCGACGCCATCCCGGCCAAGAAGCGGGCTTCATCATTCTATCCTGTTCGAGGTCCGGGGATTGTTGACGAGTCGAACCCAGATCCCTTCTATCTCGAGCACACTCTGGCAGAGGGTGGCCCTTGGGGCCCTGGGCGGCCGCACAGTCGCGATGTCAGACATAGTGACGAAGCCAGTCAGTACTTGATGCTGGCGTCTTTACACAACAACAAAGGCGGTCCTTTCGCAATCTCATCGCGTGGAGACACCACGAGGTTACGATCCAACGTCAACCGATCCACTCTGTCGGTAGTTGAGCTAGAGCATCAATTGAGCCTCCGCGAGATCACTGCCAAACAGCCCTGGGGAGGAAAGTTCCCAAGCTACGATCAATCGTCTTTTAGCTCGGTACAGACCGATGCGACGCCGGATTTGACACCCAGCAGTTCATTCTCTTCCAACTATTCCGCTCTCACGAACCGGGAGACCATAACTTCGGGGTCAGAATATCAGTCTTTGCTCAACCAACAAGCACCTCCCAGCCCTAGGCGCCAAGTATACCCGGCTTCATCTACCCCTGCCAACCTATCTCAGACAACGCTGACAACGGAGCCTTCAACACCGACGCGATCGTTGAAGACGCTCGCCGGGCCATCCAACGCATCCACAGACACCCTGGTCATGCAGAGAGTAAGTAGTCACGATCCCGCATCAACCCGTGGGAAGCCATTGCCCTCCCTGCCCAACGGCGTCCGCAATCGAACCAGCAAGCCCGGTAAGAAAGGGCCACCGCCGGCTATGCGTCCCCCAATCGCCCCGTCCATGATATCTCCACCTTGCTGGTACAACCCTGTGACCAAAGAGCCGCACGTATCGCATTTTGACCAGGCTATGTTCATTTCTGGGAATGACCGTCCGAGCCCGGTGCCGAGCCCAGGTCCAGCGTCACCATCCGTTGAGCGTCACCCGATGGCGAGGCGGCCAGCAACCTCACCGGCGGGGATGATTTGCCAGCACGAGCAGTCGGTATGGGAGTCCGACTCGGATAGCGAGTCGGTCGATCCGAGGTCCTTGTCTCGCAAGCCCATGGACACTTTGAAGAAGGTCCGAAGCAGAGTGCATCTTCGCGTCGCAAAGTCGGCCCCGAAGCTCAACAATACCCAAGCCCCAAGTCAACACCCACAGGGATTAGAAAGATTCCCTTCCACGCCCGATCTACCTCCGGAGCTGCTATGCCCGTCGCCTATGCGAGATCTCATTCGGTCACGGTCCAAAGACATCTTGCGGCCCACTGCGCAGCAGACCCTAAGACTGGTCGCGCCCTCCACGACGTCGCTTGTTCAACCGCGATCGCGACGGAACAGCAATGGGGCTGTCAACGTTGACATGGACCGCACGACGGCCGCTGCGATGCAAGCCAAGTCGCGACGGCGGCAGCGATCTGACTCATCGCCCAAGGGTCTGACTGAGGCTGAAAAGCTGTGTACTTTCTGCCGGGAGGACCGATCTGACAGAGCGATTCACCAAAGCCTCACCCTCGCGCGGCCCCCGCTCTATAAACGGGTTTGGGAGTCGTTGCGCGTCCTGGGCTGTCATGGCGATCTTCCTCCCCCGCGACCCCGCCGACCCATGTGAGGGTGCTTCTCGGTGTGGTTGACTTTGCGCGCGGACAAGTTTCGATTGGCGCTGAATAGGCTTCTCGAAACGCATTCACAACCAGTCGTCTCGACGACTTTGAGCGTTTTGTTTTCTTGATCCAACTTAATGTCTTATGATGCTACCTGATGAGCCTCAGATGTACAGTCTGGGGCGGTTTATGACTGGATGGATGATCTCGATGGCTTCTCCATGTCACCCCATGATATAACGAGACGCATGCGCTGAGGATGGAAACATGTATCAGCCGTCTCTAATGATGCAATGCACGTGTGCTGTGATGATGATCTATCACAATTGATGAGGCACGAACCGGTGCGAGGACTTAGCGTGGCCCTCAATTCTTGTCTCTGCTTGCAGCCTTCTCTGCTTACGGTCTTTCCCACCAAGTCGAAGCTTGGACGTTTCCTTTCGTATGTTCTTGAGTTCTCTCACCCACATTCACTCAACACATCTCTCCTGGGTGTCTCTACGCCTACCACTCCTTGACTCTTGACCTGACTCATGGTCTTCCACAATTTCCTAGTGTCTCAGTGTCCACAAAAGCCAGTAATTGCGGGCCATCATTTTTTGTTCGGGGTGTCAAGCATGCCTTGTGTTGCCATTGCCATACTAGTGTAAATCAAAACAAACAAGCCGATGGGCTTGCTTACATACCTGAATTGAATTTTCCTTCCCTGGAATGTGTGGGGTAACTCCGACCTGATTTTTCTTTTGTGCAGTGCGACGGTGCAACGAAGGGGATTGGGAATTTCAGGATCCAACGCCGGGATAAGGGTGGAGGATTGATGGCGTCTGGACCAAGGCACGATCCCTGGTTGTAGTGATGGCGTAGATCTGCTGGAGACAGGGCAGGATAGGACTTCACCGCAGGGATATCCCTGTGGAGGCCGCGGGGTCCGTGAAACCGGACGAAGTGATCTAAGTGATGAAGTGGGAGATGGACGAAGTAAGGGTTGCTTTGGATGTGATTGTAGCAGTAAGTTTGGGCCCGATGGAGTGTGTGGTCTGGATGTCTAGTCTAGTCTAGCTAGTCTGGTCTATCTCTGAGTGTGCAGTGATCACCCACTTGAGCTGTCCAGTTTAAACCCTGCGTATGCGGTTCTGCATAGGGAGAGGCATATGTATCTGTCCCTTAGATCGCGGATACCGGGTGAGCCTCCAGGTATATTCCAGTATCAGGATGAATGGACGGTGGGCCAGTCAGGTCAGTCGTGTAGACACCACCTCCACCACCTTGCAGCGCAGGTCAGCACAGCAGCACCGCCCTTGTCTCCTGTCGGGCTCCTCCAGCGCGCACCGCTCCCGTGTCGGGATGTCTCGCGTTGTGCCGGTCTGCATGTCTCATGCACGTACTGACGGACTGGTCCTGCAAGATGCCGCGGTTGAGACGGAAGTCCTTGAAAGGTGGGATCGGCGTTAGCAACTCCAGCAGCTCAGCTCGAAATCCATCCGTCCGTCCGATACGGTAGGTAGGGGAGGGCATATCTGTCGCGCCTGTCGCCGTCGCAAACCACAACGGCCTTTGACCCCTTCTGTTCCCAACACCACCCCCACGCAGGAAGAAGAAAAGGATCGCCCTCCAACCAGCCCCACCCCAAGAGCAACAAGAGCAACACGAGCAATCGAAATCAACCCACCACCTCCTTCAACTCCAGCGCCTCCATATTCTCCTCCCACAGCGCCACCTGCACCCTGCGTTCCCACGCCGCAACCACCGCCTCCGCCTGGCGGGCCAATCTCGTCTCCGGCATTTCTTGCTGTTTCCCAATCCCCTCGGCAAGCTCGCCCCCATCACCCGCAAGTTCATCCGCAGAACCCCCTACCCCCTCAAACACCTTCCGGATATCCAACTCCCGGACCGCACGACGATACAGCCCCAGCAGTTCCGCGCGTTTCTTCTCGCGGGGCGTTTCCTCCGGTGTTGGTGCAGCAGCAGCCGCAGCTGATGACCCCAACCCCGTTGTAGTTGCACCCCCACCCCCCTCACCAACCGCACCCGAGTCAAAATCCTCAAACCCAATCCCCATCGCGGCAACATCCCTCCCGGGAGCCCCAGCCCCCTTCTTGGTAGTAGCAGATCCACCAGCACCAACCTTGCGCACACCCTTCCGCGACGGCGCCTCCAGCCCGCGGATCGCGCCCTCGAGGATGCCCAGGATCGTGCCGACGCGCATGCCGAGCTGCGCGCCCACGGGGAAGCCCGCGTCGAAGCCGGATTGGACCTGCGTGGATTTCGAGGCGGCGAGGCCGTCGCGGTAGCCGGCGGTGACGTGTTGGCGGCGGAGGGAGGGGAGGTCGGAGGGTTCGTTCTGCGGTGCAGTGGTGGTGGTGGTGGTGGTGGTGGTGGTGGTTGAGGGGGGGTGGTCGTGGGCGTGCGGTGGGGAGGAGCCGAAGATGTCGTCGAGGGAGTTTTGCATTTTGGGTGATTGTTGTTGTTGTTGTTCTAGTGAGATGAGGGTTGGGGTTGGGTGTATGGTTTTGTTGGTAGGGTGTGTAGTGTAAGGTGTTTGTAGGTACGGTAGGGATGGTGAGGGGAGAGGAGGGGAGGCGTTCGGGATGGAAAAAAAGTTCGAGCGGGGAAATTGTTAGACGGGCGGAGATGACGGGTGGAGTCGCTTCGGGGTTAGTGGCGTGGCGTTAAGGCGGGCGTGCGTTAATTAAAGGTGGTAAGGTTAGGCGGACTCGGATCTGATATGATCGAATACGATTACTGTACTGTACTCCGTAGATTGCTTTGTGCTTTGTAGTGTAGTGTTTGTAGGGTATATACTGCAACTTCGTACTGTGGTTGAGTACTGGATAGAATCTCATTAGGCCTGGATATGGATACTATTTCTATTCCAGGTATTCCGTACTGGTGATCATCCACTGCAAGCCCAGCCCAGCTACTATAGGCCCAAACTCGCCGAACCCGATCCCGAACCCTGCCCGGCAACAAAGTCATACGGTGTTTCGGAGCGCAGTAATCTCCGTGCGCCTGGGCTTTCTTATATGAGCTACAGACAGGCAGTACACCGTGAAGCATGACCACACCTCCTCCTCCTGACTGTACTGTACTGTACCTCATGGTACAGCATCCCCAACCCAACCAAAGACCATGCCCCCCCGCACCCGCCTCCTCTACCTCCTCACGCCCCCGGCCCTCCTCACCTACACCACCCACCGCACCCTCACCGATCTCGAACACAAATACCCCGCCATCCCCCCATCGCAAGGCAGCACCGCGGCCCTGACCACCCCCACCAACCCCTCGACCCAACGCTGCGCCGAAATCGACATCTACCAGGCCCGCGTCCCGGTCCGGGCACTGTTGCGCGCGGAGGCGGCCATCACTGCCTCCGCCGCCATCACAGAGAATCCCGCAGCCGACAACACCACACCCCCAAACGTATCGCCAGCAACCCTCCAAAAAGCCTGGGCCCACCTCTTCCTCACCAGCCCGATCCTCCAGACCGAAGCGAAGCTCATCGGCCTGTGTACGCAGGGGACGTTCCACCCGGGGGATGTCGGGCTCTCGGCCGGGGGGTTTGGGCCGGTGGCGGCGGACGGCGACAATCAAAACAACAGTAACGCTGACGCTGACACGACCCCCCACCCTGCCACCACCGCTGCGACGACCAACAACCCCAACAACCTCGAAGGTAGAGCCGGGCACAAACGCCAACTCATCAACGGCGGCTTCACCGTCGAGCGGACCCCCGAACACCCCGGGGGTCTGCTGGCCAGTTGGCAGGTGCCGGACGGGGCGCGGAGGTTCTTTGAGTCCCTCGCTCACTGGGGGTATCCGTGTCGGTTGATGAGTGGGGGGCGGCATGAGTGGGGGGTTTCGGAGGTTTATTTTGTCAATTCGAAGGGGAATGGGGAAGGGCAAGGGCAAGGGGAATGGGTGGTGGATGTGCGGTTCGGGTCGGCGCACGACTATGAGATTGTGGCGGCGGAGGGCGAGCGACAGAAGGTCGTGCCGCGGTGGGTGGGCCGGTTGCATCGGGGGTATGCGAGGATGTTGCTTGAGGATGCGGTGCGGCGATTGGAGCGGTACGATTAGCTGGGGTGGGGTTGATATATTGGTTTGTAAGGGGGGGGGGGGAAGGGGTCTCCGTGGGGAGGACAGTCTGTAGTAGTAGTAGTAGTAGTAGTAGTAGTAATAGTAGTAGTAGTGTACTGTACAGTACTGGACACTACGGAGGAAAGTCGATATAGCTTAGCCCGAGCCCGTGTTCAAACCAAGTATGCATACATGCACTGCATCAGATACGATCCCCTACACAACAACACCCCACAGCTACAGCTACACTCCCGTGTACCGGCACAGGATCTAGCACTCCCCCCCATGCGCCACAACCCCCCACCCCCGCCACCCCGTATACTGGACGCAAACCGCCCACCCGCTCCGAATCACTTGTACATCGCCGTCCCCCGCCCCGCCCTCGCACCCCGCCCCATACAGACACAGGTCGTACGGGCTGCTCGAGCTGGGGCTCTTCCACGAGAACGAGTCCACGGCGCTGGCGTTCAGGCCCGCGTCCAGCGCGGCGCACCCGTCCGTGGCGGACACGCCCTGCCGGTGCCACAGCGAGAGGTCGAATGAGGTCGTGTTGGGGTCGCAGCCGGGGCTGAAGAGGCGGAGGTCCCACTGATGGTCCATTAGCATGGGGTGAGTTTCGATATACTGGTGGCTATTATTGGGGTTATGGTGTGGAGTAGTGGATTGTCTAGAAGGTAAGGGGTAGGGGTGAGGAAGCAGACGCACGTTTCTCGGCCGGAGGATATCCCGGGTATCAATTCTGGAATACGTCGACGAGGGGATAGCGAGACTCGATGACAGGAGACAGAGGACTGTCGTTGCGGTCAACGTAAGAGTGGATGAGATGTGCATTGTGACCCGGGGGGGGGTGAGGATGATATAACAGATGCGGGAGGGTTCCTCAGCCAGATGCAGCAGACAGATGCAGGTTTTCAGGTTTTCAGAAACAAGTGAGGAGGCGGGTGATCGTCAGGGTCCCCCATCTTTATAACGTTGAACGAACACGCAGGCGCAATTTCAGGTCGGCGGAGACAAGGCCCACTAATGCAGGTCTCCGACCATACACTGCGAATCACATCCCGTTTCACACCAGCAACCCTGTCAACCCTCCACCCCTGGTACTGACTGGTGGACGGACGGATGGAGTCACCGACAACCTTGAACGCAACCCTGATTCTATTAATACATATCTCATCTTCCTAGCTACACAACCCCCCACCTCCCTACTGCCGCCCCGGCCCTAATCGCCATGCCCGCAGAGGCAGGCCCTGCAGCTTCAGCACCGCCGGCTTGATGAAGAACACAAACGTCACCACCCCGATCACCACGCACAGAATATTCGTCGTGTAGTAGCCGTCGTGGATCACGTTGCAGGTGCCGCCCCCGTGCACACACCGGTTGCGGTCGGGCTCCAGCGCACACGAGAAGGCCTGTGTGACCAGCTCGCCCTTGAGCGCCTCGGCGCTCGGCGGCACCGTCGGCGGCACACAGGTCGCCTCCGTGAACATGTCCACCAGCTTGAGGATAAAGTACCGCGGGAACGTCCCGCCCAGATTCGACACCCTGCCGGAAAATTAGCTTGAGCTATGTAGACAGGGGTGGGAAAAACTTACGTCGCCAACATCGTCATGTAGGTGCCCCCGATGCTCGGGTCGGCGATGCGCGCGTGGAAGGCTGACACCGCCACAAACATGACCGTGTTCATAAACGTCGAGAAGATGTGCTCGCCGATCACCGTCAACAGATACCAGAACGGCACGGCGGCGCCCGCCGGGAAGATCCACACCGTCACCTGCGCCAGCACGGCCGCGGCTAGCCGGCCCATAAACGCCCAGCACCACAGACGCATCGGCGTGTACTCGGTCGACCACTTGCCTGCATAGTAGCCCAGCCCGATCTCAAAAGGAAAGTCGATCAGCACGACCAGCGCCATGTTGTCCTGGCCGAAGCCTTTATCTAACAGCTTCAGGCTGGTCACGCCGTCGTTGGCCTGGAAGCCGATCTTGGCGATCAGGTGCACCAAGATAATCGTGTGGATGTTCTTGAGCTTCAGCACGCTCCACATGCTCCGATAGACATCGCTGATGCTGTCGCGCTCGTGCGTGCGGTCCTCCTTCTTCATCAGCGCCAACAGCGTGGTCACCACGATGTAGGCCCACCCCCAGAAGACCAGGTACGTGCCCAGCGACAGCAGACCCCCGGAGGCCGGGACGCTGCGGAACCAGCGGTTGGCGAAGTCCTCGGAGTTGAAGGCCAGGAACACCGTGTACGACAGAAAGTGGCCCGCGGTCAGGCCGACCGTCTGCGCCGTCGACGCGTAGGAGATGTTGGGCGGCGACATGAGCGTGATGGCCCAGCCGTCCACCGCGATGTCCTGCGTGGCGCAGAAGAACACCAGCAGGAACCACCAGTAGGTGAACTTCCACACGCCCGCGCCGCCGTTGGCGCCCGCCGCCTCCATCATCTCGTCGATGCGCCCGCCCAGGTAGATCATGGCCAGCCCCGCAATGACCTGCACCGGTGTGATCCAGCTCTTCCGGCGCCCGAAGCGGCGGCTCCAGATTGCATCCACGATCGGACTCCACAGCAGTTTGAGCGAGTAGGGGTAGGAGGCGAGCGAGAAGATGCCGATCTGGCCGTACGAGAGGTAGGGCTTGAGCAGGAAGGGCACCGACCCCGTCGCCAGGCCCATGGGGATTCCCTGGAGGAAGTAGAGCACACACAACAACATGAAATTTCTCCGGTCGCTGGCCGGCAGGTTGGCAAACGAGGTGTTCGTCATGGCGGGGGTTTGCGGGGTCATGGGGGGATCGTGGTCGAGGCTGAAGCTGGGACGCGCCATGAGACGGTTGGCCCGGCCAGCAGAAGACTCAATGGAGGTTTCCCTCTTGCGCATCTCGATGGAGGAATCCATGCTTTCACTCGCGTAGCCGTTCTGGCCCGTCGATATGGTCAGCGAGGGCTTCGAGCGACGTTTGGTGACCGTGCGGCCTTTACGCTTCATCTGGGCACGGCCACGGCGGGAGGCGAGGTGGGAAAGGAGAGGTTCGTCGTGAGCGTCGTGAGAGTCCGTGTCTGACTCGTTGTGGCCGGAGGAGGAGAAAAGAAAAGCGGGATCCCCGGGATGATCGGAGGAGGAGGAGTGGTCTGTGTAACGAGGGTCTAGTTTATTGTTATAAGGTCCACGGTTGGCAGTGCTGCATGCTAGATTCTGAAGTTCCACCTCTGAGGCAAGCCGCGGTCGATCCGAACGAAATGGAGAGGAAGGGTCCGCAGGAGGGACATGAAGGGAAGGACTAAGGGAAGGAGAAGGAGAAGCAGAAGCAGAAGATAAAGGAGGGACTGGAACTGGGTCGTCGGGGTTGGAATGATGCATCCATTCGACGTAGTGGAGCTGGGAAGGAGAGAGAAGCGTGCGGTGCAGGTTCCAGATGTCTTGGAGGCTTGGGGGCAAAGGCAAGCTGGCCTCAATGGGAACTCCCCTTGTTTGGCTTGGCTGGGTTGAAGTGGATGTGGATTGGGCGGGCCGATGATTGGGTGGGGAGGGGAGGGAGAGACTTTTTTCTTGACGAAGGATTTACGTGAAGATTGATTGATTGATTGATGCTGACTTTGAGTGATCGGCTCTAGTGATGCAGATGCAGATAACAAGACAAGATATGGTGGGAGTGACTAGTGGGAGTGCCAACAAGATGTTATATCAGTTTTCTGGTGTAGTCCACGTAGAACGAACAAAAAACGTCTCTGGCCACGTCTCCCGCAGAACAATCGGCGTTTATTAAGCCCTTCTTTGGGTTATTTATTGAATCATTGAAAGTTACGCCGCGACCCAACTTTGAACCCGGTGGATCTGCCGATAACAGATCTTCACGTGACATTCCACTTCATCAACAAACACTGCATACATTGATCGATCACCAACTGCATCATCACCCACCACCCTCCCTCAATCTCAACCTCCACCACACTACACCAACAACCTCAAAAATGTCCACCCCCTCCCCAAACACGGAAGAAGAAACCGAATCCCTCGATTCCGAAATCTCCACCATCCGCGCCCAACGTCCGTCCCCTTTCCCCTCCCGCCAAAAAAAACCCCCAAACTAACCCTCCCCTCAACAGTGAAAGCCCTCCACCACCGCCGCCGCATCCTAACCAACAGCCTCCTCACCTCGCGGCCCCTCCAACGCCTCGCCAAATCCCACCCCTCCCAGACCACCGCAACCATCGCCGGAACCCCCCCGAAATGGCCCGACCTCTCCCCGCTCCTGCACACCTCCGCCCGCCACGCCGACCTCAACCACCACCGCATCGCCTTCTCCACCACCGCCTTCCCCTTCACCGATCCGGCGCCTGGCCCCTCCGCGGCTAAGAATTTGCTGGGAGTGCGGATTGACATCTGCGCCCGGGACGGGTCGTACGTGAAGCCGTATTATATTCTGTTGCGGCGGGTGGGGCTACACACCCCGAATAATGAGGCGGAGCGGCAGCAGCAGCAGCAGCAGCAGCAGACGGGTGCGAGGGGCAGGGGGAATAGGGTGCTGTGCGTGCATCGGCATACGGTGCCGGCGGTGGTGGATCTGGGGGCGTTGGAGCGGGTGTATCTGCCGCGGGCCAAGGCTGCTGATGCCGTGGGAGAGGAGGGGGAAGGGGAAGGCGAACAGCAACACGAAAAAGAAGAGGCAGCGCCGCGCAAGCCGTGGAAGCACCAACCACGCAAGCAGAATCTGAGGGGATTCCTGCGCGAGGTCAGGCGGCAGTTGGTCGTGTGGCATGTGCGCTGTGACGGGGTCCGGTATCTGCGGGAGCGGCTGGGGGTGGTTCGCCGGGGAGCCGATTCCGACGAGGAGAACGGCGTCTGGGAGCGGGATGTGCTGGCGGAAGACCCGATTCAAGAAACCAAGATCGCGAAGAATGCGCTGGGCATCGTCGCGTTGGGGGCCACCGCGCTGGAGGCGGTCTATGTGCGCGTCGAGTGGGAGGACGGCCGGGTCGGGCGGTTCAAGATCTCCAATGCGGGGTTGGTGGAGCGGGCGGTCGTGATGGGGGACAATGGGCGGGATAAGTTGATGGAGGCGGTTATGACGGGCGGCAATGGGAGGTTGGAGACGTTGCTGGATCGGTTGAGGAAATCCGCGGCTGAGTCGAAGGTGTCTGCTGCGGCCTCGGTGGAGGATGGTGCGTCGCAGACGGCGTCGGAAGCGTGATGCTGATGGCTTCTTCGTGTTGTGTGGTTCTATGTGCTGTGCCTACTAGCGAGTCCTTTTCTTATACCTACCCAAGTTCAGGCTGTATCGTATTTCAATTAAAATCTATTATTCTGTCATAAACCAGGCAAACGCGGTCTGGTGGATCTATCACACTGAAGACAGGAGCCCAGGATATCCAAAATCAGCGCTATGCACGCACATGAGGGTGAGGTATATCCGCTATGAGTATGTATGTATGAAGCCGGCAGCAAGTCGACTCAGCAGAACACCATGTCAAAAAGGGCGGGAATATTAATTACAAGATATAGGGTCGGCATCCAAAGCCGAATATGACACATTAAGGGGACTGCATATATGCATGAGGAGATCCGAGAATCGGGGGAAATAAAGGAAAGGGTATCACGTAGACATCACATCATAATCAAAGCACCTGTCCCCTTCTCTTCGTCCGGGTGCACCTCCTCATCAGGCGCTGGCAGCTCCGGTCTGCTCCGCCACACAGATGGCCGAATCGCGCGTCTCATAGTTCGGGTCGCTGAAGGATAAGGGGGGCAACGGTCCGTACACCTTCCCGTGTTGCGTCCCCAGTTTGGTTCGCAGAATGGCCTCTTCCAGGTTCCATCGGTGTATCAACCGGGCCTTCTTTGCATCGAACGCCTGGACGGCCGCCATCTCTTCCTGTTGATGGGCTTGTTGCATTTGCGCAAACTCCAAGGCGTGTTGGTCGATCAGCTCGTCCAGTTCTCTTTCCATGCGGGCGATCGCCTCCTGCAGCCGCAGTTCCTGTCGGTCGCGGAGCACTTTGATTTTGGCCTCGTGTAACTGATCCATCGAATTGTGGTCGTGGTACTCCTGCGCCAGCTGGGCCTTGTGTTGCGCGGTGAATTTGCGGGCGGGGGTGGTCTCCGGCCCGGACCCTGCCCCTCCTGGCGACGGCGGAGGGCTGGAATTATTGAAATACCCCTCCATGTGTTTGATGCGGGTCCGCGAATTCATCTTCGCCCGTTCGAACTCCCGCATCTGGTCCATCTCTATCGTCAGCTGACGTTCTTCCATACGAGCGGCGTCGTTGATGTTCTTCACAGCGGTTAGCATGATGGGTTTTCTTTAGGTGGGACGAGGGCGTACCTTTTCGCGTTTCTGCGCCTCAAGATCCTTGTTCGCCGCAAGTCGTTCGGCAACAATGGACTGCTGAGTTTGGCGAAGACGCATCGTGAACGCATCCTGGAAGAGATTGTGTCGATTCAGCTCCATCACTTGACGCTCGCGCATGAGACGCAGTTGCTCGTCGTTCTGACTCCGCTGTAGGGACTCATGATCGAACGCGGGTATCTCGATCCGCAGCACTCCGCTTCCTTCGCCGGATGATCGGGCTTCCTGCGAATCCGATGACTTGGATTCCACCAGCACTTGCTCGATCCCCTTACCGCCCTTGGCGATAGCGATTTGCGCCGCCGGAGGCAGGAGCACGGCCGACGGCGACCGCTTCTTGCGGAAATGGATCTTCTCCATCGCCGACTTCAGGGTCGATTTCCGTCTTTCCTTCTTGTCGCTCGGGATCACGCTGATCATCGAATGGCGGTTGCTCGGCGGCGCCCCCGCGGCCAAATTCGTATCTATCCGCGGGATCAGTCTCCCCTCACATGAGCTATAAGAGGTCGGTCGGGTGGACAGTGAGGCGATCGAGCGAGCACTACCATTGTGGATGGGTTCGGAGGAGACAGTGAATTCGGAGAGAGACGAACCGAGGAGATCGATGGCGGTGGTTTGGTGGGACGGGGTGATATCGTATGCGGAGTTGCGGTCGGTGGAGGATCTGGTGGACGAGATAATAGGCGAGGACGAGGAGAGATCCACCATCCCAGAGGCGATGGATGCGGTCAACGATGCGACCAGCTCGACCTCTGGGACGTTCAGACCCAGCTGGCGGGCCTCATCGATCAGCTGTTGCTCCTGCGCCGTTTCGGCTTCCTCAGACGGCAGTTGGAGAACCTCCCGGCGGTAGTGAGATTCATCGATCTCTGCGTAATTAGGGTGCTCCATGATGCAATTGCAGACGAGCTCTGTTCACAGTCACCCATGGAGCTTGTATGTGTGGGCGTGTGGGCGAAGCGAAGTTGCGGAGAGGCACGGCAACAGGTGAAGGAAGAGAAGTGGTGGTGGTGAGGGGTAGAAAAATGATATATAGAAAAATTAAACAATGACGATAAGAGACAATAAGGGGGACGGACGGAAGTTTCAGGGACACGAGTCGCCAGACGCTAAGACACTCGTCCACAGTACTAGAAGCACGGTGGACGAGATGGAGGCGCCCAAGAGCAGCATCCGACTTGCGGGGAGGGGCAAATAGGTCTCCAGGCAAGACACTGGACACTGGGAAAGAGAGAGGAGAGGAGAGGGAGAGGGACTCAAGGAACAGCGGCTGGCAGAATAGGAGAACAACAGGAACAGGAACAGGAACAGGAAGACCGTGGACTGAGCCTGGAGGGACTGAGTGAGGAGACTACCAAGTACCTAGTACCAAGTACCAACTAGGCGTGGCCTAATGAGAGAGCAGATTACTCCTGCTACTGCGGGCCAACTGTGCGAGCAGCACCACCAGGGAGGGACTTGGAAGCCAGGACAAGCAAGCGACTGGAACCTGATTTGGGCCTCAAGTATCCGTTAAGTTAACTTAGTTGGTGGTAGTCTGGTAGATAGGCACTGAGTAGGTCAGTCCTTTGGTTTCGGTCATTCATGGGTTCCATATTATTCATTCATTATTGTTATGATTGCGACCCACGACCCGCCTGACCGAATGATTCCTGATTCCTCCGGTCCATCCATAGGCCAGTCAATCAGTACCTAGTGGGTAAGCTGGCCGTGATCAGACCGTGCGTCCCTGCGTGCATTCAAAGTCAAAGAAAAAGGAGAAAAATAAAATCAGGATCCATCTTTGAAGCATGATCGTCTGTAGTGATGTAGTGATGTAGTGATGTAGTGACAGTGCTAGGAAGGGAAGTGATTCCGGGGAAAGGAAAAGCCGTCAGGATGCTGTCACCGCAAGTCGGGAGATCGGGAATTGACTGAACCTTACCTACGGAGTATGTGCTTAGTCTTACTGACTGTGGACTGTGCCCTGTGCCCTGGCTGCCAGACTGAAGGAGGATTGTTGTTTGACACCGATGAAAGGCACACCCGTAATTCGCCCATGGTCGGAAGTAACAGCCGCCCGGATCGGGCAACGGAATAGGGCATAGGGCAGGTCAGGGCACGCTACCCAGAACCGTGGTTTCAGACCCATGGCCGATGGAGTCAACAGTCAGGCACCGCCGCTTCAGAATTCCCCTCTTCTGCACACCACCTGACCAACCCGGGTTCCACTGCTCCAGATCTCTTCATCTCGTTGCCCTGGACTTGTCATAGACGTTGGGGAACACTATCCAGGAGTGTACTAGACTCTGACAGGGGGAGAAGACATAGTGTCATGATCGTCCCAGGTTAACGGCTTCTAGAGAGCTTCTTGAGCTCCGCTTAGCGCTTTTCTAGGCAGGAGGGGATGGCACGATGTCTTAGTCTGGCTCAACCATCATTCCCCATTCCCAGGAGTTCACCGCATCAGTGGTTCCCGCATCCGCATCCGCATCCTGACCTGCATGACCCCATATGTGCGATACAATCATCAGGATATCACCCCATTAATAATATCGTTTTATGAGAGTAATTCTTTTTGATACTTATCATGAACAATCTGCTACGCGGACTGTGATTTTCTGATATAGCTAGCTACCTTTTCCCGCCCGTCACTAACGCGATAGCATCGCCCCAGCCATTGCGTATGTCTTCTCGCGAGCATCCCACTGGACGGAGCCCGGCAACGCCCGCTTATCAAAGCCGTGCTCGCAAGCTTGCATACGCACTTGCACCACCTCGCGCTCTTTGCCGGGCTCCTTGGCGATGTTCTGGGCGAGGGTCTCCGCCTCGACCGCCAGGCTATCACACGCCGCCGTCACGATCATCACGCGACCAGGAAAGCGGTCCGGGCTCGCATAGAGCGGTGAGATGCGGGGATCCCTGGTATCGAACGCCCCGTGCGTGTAACATGCGTCGAAGAAGTTCGACATGAAGAGCGGAATCGCCTTCCCGGACGTATCAGGCGGCACCTTCCGGCCGGGGTTAGTATGGATGTCCACGACCGGGTAGACCGCGATCACGGAGTGGAAGGTCTCCGGGGGGAAGAGAGTCGCCGACGCCGCCAGCGCGAAGTTCCCGCCGGCGCTGAACCCGGAGAGGGACACGCGGCTGAGGTCAAATCTGTCCGGTTGGCTGAGCACCCACCGCACCACATCCTCCGCGTCATTCAGCGCCGCGGGGAAGGGGTGCTCGGGCGCGAGGCGGTACTGGACATCGAGAACGGTCCGGTCGGTCTCGCGACTCATCTGCCGACAGAAGGGGTCGTCCGCGCCGTGACGCGGGAAGATGAAGCCGCTGCCATGGAAGTTCACCAACACCGGTGTGGGTGTGGAGGTGGAGGTGGTAGACGATGTGTTGCGATACAAGTGGACTTTGATCGTGCGCCCGGCATCGCGCGACTGGATTTGAAGGACTTCATCAGGGCTGGCGTGGGGGAGTTTGCGGGCGAAATATCGCCGGAAAAAGACGGCGAGGAGCTTGTAGTAGAGGTAGGTTAGGAAGAACATGGTGTGCGTGTCGACCAGATCACAGCGTCACACCTGCAAATAGGCAAGGCTTATCTGCCAAGAGGTTGTCAGAATTTAGGTTCCAGCTGCATCGACAGGCACCAATGATACATTAAATAGGCGTGTTACGTAGTCGGTAGTTGGTGGTCGGTCGGTGCCGTCCAGCTGGCGCTCCACTCGGGCCGATGACGCCATCAGTCCCTACCGAGGCTGGCACGAGAGTTTACACAGTATGTACAAATGGGATTGGTTTTTTGTCAGAAGTGTTTCATCAGAGGCACGAATTGAGATTGTCTTGCTTACAATCCAGTTGAAAGGTAGCTATACTATAATACCCGGGGAAATGGCTGAGATAGCCTGAATGACACCGCACTCCACCCCGCCATAGCTTTATAGTGCACAGTGCAAAGCGTTCCACCTTCGCTATGATGCCCGACTCCCTTTGTACCCCTTCTACTTTAATCAAACAGCTACTCTTGTGCCATCGTTTCTTCAAGCTCAATCAAACTCAACTCAATTCTAGCTTCTCCTTTTGTCGAGTCAGCTAGGAGACTCATTTTAGAAATGCATTCGAAAGTGTGCATGTCTGCTCGTCTGCATTTCCCAAACTCCAGAATCCCCTCTGCTGGTCTAACGCTGGTCTTTAAGACTCAGCTCTCTTTTACCTGCAGCTCGTTTGTTCAATGCTCCCGTAAGTAACCAGTCCATTAAACAGGGCTCTGCCAATGGATCCGTCAATGGACCCACCAGTCCAGAAGTGCGTGCGAAAGAACGGCTGTGCAATCGTTATCTTATCGCCTCCCCTCGCCGTCATGTCTGATCAAGGCAAGGATGTACAGTAGACATGCTATCTCCAATGCATCATTGACAGCCCAGGAACGAGACAATCGTCACTCTATACTATCCTTAGTCCCTGTCAGTACGCTCCAACTAACGAGAGAATTATAAAATGGCGACATTTCGAATGACATGACTCATCCGCCGCAAGCCTTCTGTGCCCCGTCCACCAGGCAGAAACCCCCCGTCCGATGGCAACCTGGAACTAAGCAACCATCCTAGTTGATTTGCGGGGTTATTTAGACCCCGACTGGAAGCATCCAACATCCATCTTCTTCCAGCACTTCTCATAAATTCTTCATCCGCACACTCCAACCACCCGAGTCACTAGCTGCAAATGCCCCTAGCTGTTCCTAGAAAATAACAGCACAGAACAGAACAATGAACACCCTCCCCCCGGCCCAACGCCGCCCGCGCCGCCGCCGCGGCAACCCCCGCTGCGGCCCCATGCCCCCGCGCCGCATCTCGCCCTCCTCCTACCGGATCCCCCAAGACCTGACCCCATCCCTCCCCGCCGTCAACCAATCCGCCTGCCCACTATTCACGCACATCCCCGCCGAGATCCGCAACAAGATCTACTACTACACCCTCGAGTCGTCCTCCTCCTCAGAAACCCCCTCCGATACTGCAGCCACCTACGCCCAGCAAGCCCTCTACTACCGCCCGGGCTTCAAGGCCCCGAAGCGGATCTCGACCTCCCTCCTGCAAACCTGCCAGCAGATCTACGGCGAGGCCTCGCTCCTCCCGCCGGCCATCAACCGCCACACCTTCTGGTGCCACCGCCCGCCGCCGCACGTCCGCCACGCCGCCTCCCCGGCCGACTACTTCGCGCGCATGACCCCCAAGCAGCGCGGCGCCGTGCAGGAGCTGCACTTCTTCACGCAGCAGTTCTTCCTCGAGGACTCGTGGGCGCAGGTGTGGACGTCGGTCCGGGAGAATGAGGCCTGGCAGGCGCAGATGCGCAAGGGGAAGCGGAAGCTGGAGGAGGCGCGGGAGACGCATTCTGCCGGTGACGGCAGTGAGAACGGCGGTATGAGTCAGGAAAATGAGGTGGAAGGCCGGGAGAGCAAACGACGCGCCGGTCCACCGCCGCCGCCGCCGCCGCCGCCGAGGCTGGGGCTGGACCCCGACGAGACCTCGGATGTCGGGGCCCTGGCCCCCAAGAGGATGACCATCACGCTCAGGCATACGGACTGGTGGTTCTGGGAGGATAACGAGCCGCTGGGGATCGATCCGTTCCGGCCGGGGAGGACGAGGGCGGATGAGATGGGGGTTCTTCCGCGGCGGCCGTTGACGGCTTGGGAAGAGGGCAGGGTGTGGGGGAATCAGTTCAAGCTGCTGCCCAGTCTGGAGGAGTTGGTGATTGAGTTTGAGACGGTGATGCGGAAGAGGGACCAGCTGGATGCGATTGTGCAGATGGCGCGGGACTGGCGGTTTCCGGTGGTGGTGGAGGATGAGGAAAACGGGGAGAAGGTGTTTCTGGTGGCGGAGGAAGGGTCGCGGCGGGCGTATACGTGGATCGGGGCCAAGGAGGAGATCTTGCGGAATGTGGTCATGGGGGCTGCGGGCAGGAATAGGCAGCAGGAGGGAGGTGGTGCTGCGGGCGATGCTGCGGTCAAGCCGCCTCCGAGGCTGGTGCCGTTCGATGCGGAGAAGGAGTTCAAGACCGCTGCGGCTGCGAGCCAGCACCAGGAAGGCGAGGGAGACACTCTTACTGCTGAGCAGGGTGCGCCGAAGAAGAACGAGGACTTTGATCCGGCGACGGAGGAGAAGTTCTACGTGGTCTTTCTGACGTGGCGGAGGCAGCGGATCAATTGACCTTGACGTCGGATAGGCTTGATTGCAACGACTGTTTATCTGGCTGGCTATGCCCTTCGGTCACGATTCCAGTCGATTTGTTTCATATGATGTTGATAATATGTAGTTCATAATGACCCCAGCACATATTAAGATTCAACAGCAGTTGCGACTCATCTATCATTGAGATTATCTTTCTTTCAAACATTACTTAGGCATCTAATAACATGTAGCGATACATAACTCCATAACACATGCACAGCCGTAGATGTCAGGGGCCCAGCCCTGTCTGGGTCATGTAACCGTCAGGTCTAATGCTCCCCAGCGCCTTCGCTTCGCTTCACAGGCCGCAGGGTCCAACAGGGGACCTTCATCCCACCCTCCACTTCAGGTCAACAACACCTAACAAAGAAGAAAACCATATCACAGAACCTTTGGTTTACTAGCTCGATACGACCGCCTCAGAGGAAGCAGACCTCACCGGCCAAACTTCTTCAACTCCAGGTACCGCAGCGGCGGGTAGACGAGCATAGCCCACGCGCAACCGACCCAGATACCCAGATCGGCGCCGTCGGAGCCCACCATCGCGGCGATGGGGCCGACATACCAGACCTGGTCCATGCAGACGATGGCGCCGGCCCAGCCGATGAGGAAGGCGGCCAGGGCGGCGAGGCCGAGGGGCAGCTTGGCGCGGTCGGCCCAGGCGTCCCAGTCGAAGCCGCCGCGGACACGGCGGAAGAGCAGGTGCTCTTCGAGCGCGATGGTCAGGTAGATGGTGACCCAGTAGCCCATGAGGGCGAGGAAGTTCTCGAAGATGTCGTAGAGGTGGTCGCGGCCGCCGAGGGCGCACGCGGTGTAGATGATCGTGCTGACGCAGGCGAGCGACCAGCGCGGCAGCCGCGCCAGGTGCCGCCCCATGATCTGGAAGCCCAGCGTCGCCGAGTACGTCCCGGGGATGTTGTTGGAGATCAGCCCCAGCGCGATGATCACCCCCAGGAACTTGCCGAACCCGCCTAGCCCGTCGTAGCCGGCTAGGATCAGCGCCCCCGAGGACGTGTCGTAGGCCTCCGCCCACGCCGGGTTTGTGAGGGTGCCCGAGGCGAGGCCCACGCCCATCAGGTTCGCGAAGGTCAGGGACAGGCCCAGGCCGAAGAGGACGGACACGAAGGTCTTCCACTTGGAGGTCGTCGGGGGGAAGTAGACGAAGAAGTCGGCGCCCGCGGGCGCCCACGCGACCGAGCTCGAGAGGCACAGCGAGAAGAAGGTCAGCCGGTCCGCGCTCAGGGTCGCCGTGTTGCCGCTCGACACGAGCGAGGTGTCGAATTTGGGGCCGGCGCAGCCGACCAGCACGAACATGGCGACCAGTTGTGGCGCCCAGGCCCATCTGTGGTGGTCAGTATGGTTTCGGGGTCGGGGAATTGGAAGAGGTAAGCTTACCGTTCGTAGGCGTGGAACGGCTTCATACCGAATACGACGACCAACCAGGTGATGATGGCGACAATGATGATGCCAACGACGACAGTCATCTTCCCATCGGCCACCGCAGCCAACTGTCGTGATATTAGCAGGAGTCCCCGGCTGCCGCAAGCAGAAGGGGGCAGACTCACGATCTGACCACCGACCAAACAGTCGATCATTCCATACCCAAGCATAATGATGATGTTCAACAGACAGGCGATCTTGCTGGGATAATAGCCCATGAAGTATCTCGCAACGACCTAGAACGCCACCCGTCAGCACTTTCATCGATACGATATAAGTCATCATCACCCACCATCGTCCGATTGCCACTTTGCGGTCCAAAGGTCGCCATGTATGCCACCCCCGCAGCCCCCAAGAAAGACCCAAATGTGGCACAGAGGGCCGAGTCCACAAAGCTCAGCGAGTATCCCAACGGGCCGTACATGCCGACGGCGACGTTGTTCGCCGTGATGCTGGTCGAGAACCACAGAACGCCCATTTTGAGATAGTCGGCCGTCGTCACGGAACTATGCCGTTCCGTCTCAGGCACTCTCTCGATACCTCGCTTCTCGAGCAGCTTGAGAGTGAATTTTGAAAATTTGTTGGTCTCTGCTGAAGAGGAGGGGGCAGAGAGCGAAGCTCTCATGGCCTTCTCTTCGTCCTGCATGGAAGCGGCCATGCTGAGGTCAGTCTGCTTGGGCTGGAGAGTTTGGCAGAAGCCTTGAGTTGTTGCTCTCGAGCAAGGTGGTAGTGGCGATTCCCGAGAGAGCCACGGCCGTAGATAAGATTAATTAGGTCGAGATTTGAGCTGGCCCAGCCTGCATGACGGGGAGAAGGAACAAAAGAAGAAGAAAAAAACTCTCAAGATGCAGTTCGGAGGGGATATGATACCCTGCTTATAGAGCTAACGAGTTATCAGCCAATCCTCTAATCATGTAGCGACGGAGATAGTCTTCCTCTTCCATCGCCAAGCCGGTTAAGTTCAAAATTGATGGGAAGTAATTTATCATCTTGGCAGTCTGGATTTTTCTTTTTTTCTTTTCCGCCTGGAACTTTTGTCGGCCGGGAGTCCGGGACAAGGGGCCACTCAATGCTTGGGTGGGCTTAGCAATGCTTAGCAAATTGGCCTAAGAACTAACTTAACTAACTTTGGCCTCCCGTTGCTGACCCATGGAAAGTGTGCCTGCCATCTGCTCCCTGCTCCCTGCAGACATCAACCCCTCGTGGTTTAAACTTCTTTGCTAGCCCGGTCTGGCTGCCTGCCACTCTCTAGCTTATCCCCCGTTTCAGCATTCTGCACAGCACAGGTTCGGGGGTGGACAGGGGTGCGGTTGTTCTTTTCTTCTGCTCTGCTGCAGGTGTGATTTAGTTCAGACGCGAAGAGGGACGCTAAGACCCAGATGGGCCAAGAGGCCGGTAGGTACTCGACGTAGTGTAGGTACTAGATGAGTAGTCTGCAGATGCCGTTCCGATATCAGCTGCTGCCAGCTTTGTTGAGATCGCAATGATTCAAGTCACGTTTATGGCATGACAGTAGGTGGACCTTGAAGACTACTACCTAGTAGGCTCTGCAAGTCTCCAATAGCACACCATCGACTGGTTAGCCTGGTTGAACCCACCACAATCCGATGTAACGCCAGCACGGTCGGAGCAGATGCCTATCAAGTACTGTACGTAGCTTGCAGTTTCTCCCCTCCCTACTACTGCTGGTAGAACAACAGAAATGTACCGTACTGTACTGTTACTGTATGGTGCCAGCACGTGCCCCGCTTGACCGGGAGGTTTACCCGCCCTTCCGTCTGCTCCAGTCGCTCTCCGTCCTGGTTCCTTTCTACCTCTCCTTGGCTATCATTGGCCCTTCCACCCAGTCCGTTCGTTGCCACGGTCAAAAGTCATCTCCACGTTGGCAGACTAGTCGCATGCTAAGATACCATACTCCATCGCACCTTTCCCCATTGCATGAGTCAAAGTTTGCTCTAGACCGACAGCCCGCATCGATACCCGGCCCAAATCAAGAGACAGGAGGTCCTCCGCCTATCATTGGTGTCACAGATACCATGCCAAAGCGATACACCGTGGCAGAACCCAGGCTGCAGCTGTTGCTAGTTGACTACGGTACTAGTCGGCCTCGTGCAGGGCCTTGAAGAGACGAACTACAAACTGCGACTTGTCACAAAACTTCCAATCAGCTTCTAGTCTCTCAAAAGATTAGCCGGCTTCCTGCAGTCTTATGATTGCCGTTCCACGTTGTGGTGGAGGAGGAACACGCAGCTACCCAATTTACGTCCAAATGAATTCCACTCGAGGTCGCCCGTTCTCCATCATGACTCGTGGACGTCGGCGGAGAACAAAGGACAGGCCACTACTGCAGCCCACATCCGATGAACCTATGAAGACGGTCAGTCCAAAACGAAGGACTTGTAGTGGGTATGGACCTGCACCGTGGTGCTTCTGGGAAATAATGATCGGATCGTCACGATGCATCTCCTGAGTCCTGACATAGCCAGCTGCCTGGTGGATCTTGGGGTCTAGGTAAGGAGAACCCCGAGCTCCTTCGTAACACGATCACGGATGATCAGTCGACCCTACCTAGTATATGGGTTCCGAAGCGTCGAACAGCTGGGGTGCGGCATAAGTTGTGCGTGTCAGCATGCATGTCATTGTTAGTCAGTCTCCTCCACAAAACGTGTCTGGTGTGCGAATTCCAAATACGGTTCCACCGAGGGCTCTTGCTGATTCAGGGGCGAGTTGAGCTAAAGGCTGGCAACGGCAGCCCATCGTGTCAGAAATTGAAGTCCAGCAGAATTAGATCCTGTCGGTACTTGACCAGGGAGGGCTACCTGCACGCTCATCGACGCTGATTCGCCGCCACTCCGGCCGTACATGGCATGCCACTTACCAGAAGAGCGGATGAAGGATGTACTAAGTAGATTGGAATCCTGCAGCGGCCAGCCAATTCTGCAGTCGGAAGTGGGTCGAACTTGTGTAAGCACCTTATACCCCCCCGACTTCTTACGTCTCGGTCTCCCTTTTCATAAGAAGTTACTGCCTAGCATTTCTCCCAAACTGAGTATCTGACTATGCTATTCTCCTAAAGCCCTCGTTGTAATAATGGCCAGTGATGGCGGTGGCTCTGCGCATGATCTGGTGGTCACCACCTGGGTGATGTACAGCATCGCAATGCTGTTGTTTGTCGTGCGATTGTATGTATCAGATGCTGACTCGGTGTTTCTGGTTGGTAATTGCTAATCTGTCCTCCAGATATGGGCGATGGCTCAGAATGCGCTGGGTGTTTCAGGTCGAAGATTACCTTATGTTTGCGGCTGTGGTAAGTTTGCTTGCAGAGTCTGTATGGCCCGACGCTGAGTCAGTGTTCGGACTAGGCGTTCTATACAGCATTTGCCGTCACCAACATCAAGATTGCGGAGGGAGGAGGAAGCAATCTATACAAGCCTGGAGAATATGCAACATTCACCGCCGCTGAGATCGCTGCCAGGGTCAAAGGATCCAAGATCGAGTTTGCTTCGGAAAATGTATGGCACAGGCTTCCACCATGGTACACTTGTATAGTGAGACCTAACGCAGCATGATACAGTGCCAGCTCTGCACGATCTACTTACTGAAGGCTTGTATGCTGATGGTCTACTTCCGACTCACGTAAGTGAGCTTTCCATCGACTTCGAGCGAGAACGTGTGCCTGACGAGAATAACCACAGCAAAAATCTATGGCAAAATCGAGTGGTGACGGCTTGCGCTATATACACGTTGTGCGGATGGATCAGCTCAGAGCTGGTACTGTTCCTCGAGTGCAGGCCTTACTTGTCGGGCTACTGGACCCTACCTCCTCCGAACGAAATCTGCTCGACTTACCGTATTTACGAAGCTGTGCAAGCAGCTATGAACATCAGTTCCGACGTCGCGATTCTTTGTGTCATGCTTCCGATGTTTGCCCGCGCGCAGATGGCGTGGAAGACTAAGCTGCCGGTCATCGTTGTCTTCTCAATGGGCATCGTCGTGGTACGTCCGGCCTGAACCTTACGTCGCCCTGCGGACTTGTGGCTGATTCTTTGACTTGCGTACAGCTTGCCTGTGCTATCACTTCCAAATATTTCACCTTTCGGGATATCTACGACACCAGCTATCAGTTCTGGTACCTGCGAGAGGCCTCCATCGGCATGTACGTCACGAACCTGCCTTTCGTCTGGTCTCTGGCGAGATCGACAATCTCCTTCCTCAAGTCGAGCAACTATGTCGGTCAAGGCAACTACAACGACCCGAGATACGGGACAAATCCACATACCAACGAGACTCGTTCCAGACCAGGAAACGGCACGCGTTCCACGCGACATTTTGCGAGCATTTACGAGTCCCGTGCGGTCCGTACAGAGATACTATCACCGTCGGAGAGCGAGGAGAATATCATTGAGATGGGTGGGATGGGCCGAAGCGTGACCCAATCGGCCGGGTCATCGCAGGAGAGTGGGAATCGTGGATGGCCCCAATCGGACGGCCATGATGACCAGTTCATCCGGAAAACCACGGAGATAGTCATTCAGAAGAACTGATCGGCTATCCTGGAGCGCATGCTTGGGATGTATGTACTGCGCAAGGCTAGGAAATGTGTGAGCGAAACAGCTCGGCAATGATCAGAGCAACCGTGGCATAAATATCCAGCACAATGACAAGACTTGCACATCTAATGCAGTCTCTTTCAGCTGTCTATCTCCACTACAACTATCAGCTTAACCGGTAGAAGAGACCATCGCTTCGGTCGAGTCCACACAGTGCTCGCCTATTTCTCCGATCATCCATGCTGCCTCGTCCCACGCCCGTTTACGAAGAGGCATGGCCAGATGGAATCAGATGCGTTAGCAGTCCTTAAGGAGTAGATGCAGTGATCAGCGACCATATTATCCTGGAGTGTCAAAATGTTATTAATATTATTGGAAGTCCCACAGTGGTAAGCCGAAAGAAGGGAGTACGTCAGCCTGCGAGAGGCTAGCTGGCACTTGGTGGGTTAGCCGAGATCGAGATTTTTCGATCTTGCGCGCCGCGATTACGACGATGATCTTGGCACAGATCGAACGATGCTGACTCCTTCTATGACTTTACTACCTAATGCTTGGAAAGAATCTCTCTAACACCTCACTGTAATGGCAATGAATGGGTTGCTTGAGAAAGCTCTTCATAGGCTGCTCCAAGCCATAGACCGGGTCGCATACACCACATCCGAGATCCCAAGGTGGAGTGAACCATACTTTTGCATGTGGGCTGGCGAGCTTATTCTGTCCTGCATGACTGTATGACGCTTTCTGCCATGTGCTACAAGATCCTTACTCGAAGTATTTAGCAGCTACTTTTCTACGAGTGGTACCAGCACAAGCTGCAATACCCCCGCTAGAGAACATATTCTAAGGTCTTCATTCCTACGAATGGACGCATAGCGCACGCGGCATCGCGACCTGCTACAATAAGGGATTGATCTTCCCAAAATGTCCACTGCCCACCTGTCTTGTGGAGCTAGGAGATTCCCACTTATCTGGCACTAGCAGGTTTCAGATGTCTATAATGGCTGGGGCCTTTGCTAACTTGCTGAGGGGGGAATGGAATAAGTCAGTTGGGCTACTAGATATATTTATGATATCGTCTGAAAGGGATTGCTTTGCTGAGTTGATGGTCAAGGCCTATATTTTGTTGTGGATGAGATACCATTCTTTAGATGAACTGAGTTTGTCTTCGTTTATGTAATGGGACCGGTCGAGTTGAAGATATATAGATCTGATATCTACTCGGGAAAACCCTCTCCGATCACACATACAGCAGGGTTGATGTAGCCAGGTGGTTAAATGCACAGGTTATCGACAAAATAATGTGTGGGAGCAAGTGGCTCTTTTTTAAGCTGTATATTTATCGAGTGGAGGTTTATGCCTTATTTCTTTGGCGTTCATTCCTCTATGTCCGTAGAGAATAAAGCTACCACAGAGAGCCATTCAATGTCATCCGAGTTCAGTATCAAGTTGCATTAAATGCTAGCATCTGGTTCGATGACTGGAATTGTCAATTGAAGAAAAGATGTGCAGGTGTCCAGCTAGAAGCCAGGCTCCCAGGCTGCCTTTAAAGGTGCACCGCCACGTGTGTGGCAGCCGAGCACGGCCACGATATGATGCAGCCCAAAACATCCCGTGTGGCGCGCCTCCGTCACTCCACCGCTTTCATCACCATCATCAAGAGGCTTCCTTATCTTTCATATGCTCAACGGTAGTGGGTCAAGGTTGCTGTTGCCATATTAGGCTTCATTCAAAGCTATCATTTGCACCCTGATCATCTGGGTTAAACCAAGGAAGAAAATACCCCAAGGGCGGTCGCTACAATGACCTCTCTGTCACACTCCGGAGACACCAAGTTCACCGTCTTTATCCGCCTGCCATGCTCCCGGGGGGAGTTTGTGGATCCTCCCCCGGTACTTGTTTAGCCTATTTCATTGGAAGTAGAGCACATACTGACTTCAGTAGATGGAATGGAATGCAGCTAAGGACCAGGCTCTCTGGGATATCCTTTCGCGGCCCTCGAAAGGCGATGATCTAGATTGTAGGTCCTCTATGGAACCTCCACCCCATACTAAGTACAACAACGGCTAATGGACCCAGGGAAGGCATTGTACCGGCACACAACACCCCTCAGTAGCCCCATACATGCTGACCCTTGTCTGGCCACAGAGCAGATCACTTCGAAGTCACACTTCAGTTCTTACTTCAGCAGGCAGCATGGCTGTACGACCGTCAGCTGTCGCAAGTGCGCGCGCAAATGCGCAAAGTGCCGACCACGCAGTCGACATCTACATCGCCGGCGCCCGGCTCGATATCCGGTAGCACTGCCCTCGGTCAAGCTAAGGCTGCCGCAAGCAATGGTATGGAGCTCTCATTGGCTCGATTTGGTTTTGTTTGCTAACTGCGTAAAGCTCCGAGAGCCCCCAGTCGCTTGGCGCAGCAGAAGGAGTCCCTGCCACAACGAGGTAAGCTTCATAGCTTGAAGTATTGGATGTTAGACTTGTCACTGGAAGCCTGGTGCTGAGGAGAAGCAGCTCCGATCCCTAGACGCACAAGCTCGACGACAACCATAAATCAACTGAAGTCTGCTCGAGAGCCATTGCGCAACGAACCACCGGTTTCCGAGCCAAAAGAGCTAAGCCGCGAGGCTCATGCTCCACGGCCATCCGCCACGCGACGAGATCCTCCGATTCCCAAGTCACCCACTCTCGAGGAGGAAGACCTGACATCCAGCTCGTCCGAGTCCGAGTCTGGGGAGGACGAGCGAATGGACAGCCGACGGGGACTCAGATTCAGACCATTTGGCAAATTCTCGACGTATAAGCCAGGATTGCGGGATGATGAGGAAGAGGACGACGATTCACCGGCTTTTCTTCCCCTATCCTCCGGTGCAGCCCATACCCCCCACCATCCCTCAGGCTCGGATCTTCATGCCACGCTACGATTGAACGAGGAGGACGTACCTACAGTCTCCAATCGACGCCCCGCCGAACAACATCATGCAGTCAGAAAGTCTCCTACCGCGGATTCATCCACGAGCTCTGTCAGCTCCGGAGTCCCAGTGACGCATTCCGCGACCGATCGCCGACGACATATGCACCAAAGCGGCGGCCCTTTGAGCCCTCGTCGCGCCGCCGAGCTAACCCCCTTCAGTCCGCGGCGGTCGATTGCATCTGCGGGTCGAGAGACCAGCGATGGGACGCCTAGTATGGGAAGTAGCTTTAGTGACCTGGATGGTAAGTTTTGTTCGTTCACGTATTCTGGGTGCATGCTGAACTTTTGCCCATCTACAGATGCCAGCGTCACGCAGTCGGCGCTCGAAGAGGCTCTTATGAGCAATATGCAGCATGGCGGAATGGCAAGCCGCATGAGCACTTTTAGCCAGGCCTTGCGAAGTCGCTATCTGCCTTGAATAGGGACTTTGATCTCACTGTTCTTTTCTTTTCTCAGTGTCTACACCGGATGATTTTCTCAAGCAAAGGGCGTATCGACAGATTGGATGTACTCAAATCTACCAATGTTTCTTCGTATACCTCTAAATGCACCATGATCACTTTCGGTCCCTTGACTACCATGTACAGTACGACTCATCTCAATTGGCTGTCCGATCATGACAAGTGTCATTTCAAGTCGTTGAAGCCGGTTTCCCACCCACAGGAGATTCCTCGTCTGTTCTCCGGGGTACTCAGTACAATCACCGTGCTTATCTCCGCCAGGCTTGAGCTTAAATCCTGCAGAACCCGGGGGCTTATCGCAACCTGCTCGGATCGGGACTAGCGCTGTCAGCACGACGGAGATAAGACCCAGGAGCTTGCCAGCTTTCTTTGGCTCGACAAACCTCAAGACCCTGTCAGCATTCTGCACATTCATGCGGTTCTATGGGTAGCGAGCTCCAAATTGGATTTCCAAGAACATGAGGACCCGGTCGGCTGTTAGCTGCATAGGGACACTCCTGTCCCAGCTACAAGACCGGCGATGATGACTGAAAGCACAGAACAGGACTTAGAGCTCGGCGATAACTCAAAACTAGGCCCCACCCTTCTTGCGTCATGCCATGTCAAAGACCCTTTCGCAATCCTCTGGAGCCTAGAGTCCAATGGCTATATATACGTGCTCTTGGACTGTCTGTACTCAGCTCACCAGCTTCATTGAACATTCATCTCAATTGACCATATTTTCACATCTCACATCCCAGATCTAGACAACATGTCGTTTAACCCGGTTGCCCCGAAGCCCAAGAGCCTACTTGGCTACCACCAGGTTCTCTCTCCCACCGCCGGTGTCAAGGTAAGGACTATTCTTCGAACTCATCGTGGGTCTCAAGCTGAAGTAGACAGGTCTCACCGCTATGCTTGGGAGCAATGAACTTCGGAGAGGCGTGGACAGAATTCATGGGCAAATGCAGCAAAGAGGATACCTTCGCTCTGCTGGACTACTTCTTCAATGAAGGCGGGAACTTCATCGACACGTATGTGCCTTCTTATCCTTCCTATCACTCTTTTCACCTTCCGAGCACTCGATTATTCACGCACGAAAACCCGCAGTGCCAACGCATATCAGTACGAGGAGTCGGAAACCTGGATCGGCGAATGGATGAAGCTGCGCAACAACCGCGACCAGATGGTGATCGCCACCAAGTACACGACGGGGTACCGCACGGCGCACTTGGACACGGAGCCGCTGCAGTCCAACTTTGTGGGCAACTCGGTGAAATCGCTGCGCGTCTCCGTGGACGCCAGCCTCCGCAAGCTGCAGACGGACTACATCGACCTGCTGTACGTGCACTGGTGGGACTTCACGACGGGCGTGGAGGAGGTCATGCAGGGGCTCAACGCCCTCGTCACCGCCGGCAAGGTCCTCTACCTGGGCGTCTCCGACACCCCGGCCTGGGTCGTCGTCAAGGCCAACGACTACGCCCGCGCCCACGGCCTGCGGCCCTTCGCCGTCTACCAGGGCAAGTGGAACGCCGGCTTCCGCGACATGGAGCGCGAGATCGTCCCCATGTGCCGCGACCAGGGCATGGCGATCGCGCCGTGGGCCCCGCTGGGCCAGGGCCGGTTCCGCTCCGCCGCGGCCCGGCAGCAGGCCCAGCAGCATGAGGGGTCCACGCGGGGCTCGCAGCCCACCGAGGCGGATTTGAAGATCTCGGAGGTGTTGGAGAAGGTCGCCGAGCGCAAGGGGACGAATCTGTACGCGATTGTGAGTTTGCTCTCGGGCCCATGGGCCCTCCTTTCCTCTTGGTTCTGTTGTATAGTGCGTCGTGTGTGCACCCTCCCGACTGACTTCCTCCGGTAGGCCCTCGCCTACCTCCGCTACAAACAACCCTACATCTACCCCATCGTCGGCCAGCGCAAGGTCGAGCACCTCAAGGCCAACATCGACGCCCTGAAGATCGACCTCAGCAAGGCGGAGATCCGCGAGATCGACCTCGCCGCCCCCTTCGACCCCGGGTTCCCGAACACGATGCTGTTCGGCGGCAACGAGAAGTACGACGTCGGGTTCACGGCCGCGGATATCTCGTTGACCAAGTGGGCGGCGCATATCGATGCGCCGGCGCAGCAGGAGGCGGTGCGGCCTCGGAAGGAGTAAGTGGAGGATTTGGGCGAGGCCTGCCTCGGTGTGTGTGTATATTCTATGTGGTGTGTATATATTCTATGTGTGTAGGCGTGCGAATATTGAATTCTTGTTGCGTTGTGTATCCGTCTACGGCTGAGGTATATCTGGTGGGGAGGAGAGATGGATAGAACTAGTGGGCAGTTGTTTCATTCATGCAGCATCTCATTTCCTCTGCCTCTGGTACTGCTACCGTGGGACGTTGAAGTAGACTGTAGACCTCACATCCGGACGCTTGCCTCACGTTTGATTGTTCTCAACTTGAAACAACACCCGCTCGACCATCCCGCCCGCGTTTCACCATCGGAGGCCCCCGTTCTACCACGGTCGAGAGCCTCGAAAACCGTTGCGACCTGCGACAGCCACTAAGTCTGAAACTTGATGACGACGAGGGCCGATAAGATTCTGGATCCATGGCTAGCGGTTGAGATTTAGAGTGTAAAATATAGGGTATGTTCGGCGCGACGAACGTTTCCTGGTTTCGGAGATGGAGAACGGCGGGTTTTATTCTACGCTCTGTCGGTGATAATGCTTGTGTTGTAGTTGAACTACAAGATCGGAGATCCAGACCAGGAATTCTCGCGCAACAAGTGTCGAGGTTCGTTTCAATCATCCTGGTAGCAGTGCCGTGGTGGTGGTGGAGGAGGAGGATGAGGTGGTGGTGGTAAGGGAGTCAATTCCAGAGTGAGCCGGAGTCAGAGTCGCGGTAGGCAATCCGAGGAGCCTAATAAACGAAGACGGTGGACATATAGCCTAGTCACTTCACATCGTCCTCGAACGATGGATTTCGACCTGGGATGCGCGCGGTTTCTGCTCTGCCGTGCTGTGGAACAGCCGGTTCGGCGATTGGAATGATTCGCATGGCTTGGCAGCACTGTCGGTCATTTTTGGCGCTTGGGTAGGGTCGGCATGTTTTTCAATGTCAGCCGAGGTTTGTGTGAGGACATGACACTGACAATACCAGCTGGGGAAAAGTGACCGGCCAGCGGGAGTTGAAGTTTGTCTGACTGGTGAACAATTGTTATAGTATCTCCTCCTGAACCTGAGAGAAAGCTGAATCACTGAGGATGACGGGCCAGTGCCGAGGAAAAGCTACCGAGGAATAACTCCGAAGGCGGTAGCTCCAACTGCCCCTCCCACGCCCTCCACGCCCTGTCAGAATGTTGAGGCCCCGCCCTTTCGTTCAACTCCAATTCAACGAAAGCAACGCATTTACGGATCATTCTGTCAATAGGTATTTGCCATCGATCAAGTGACGCTCTGCGAGACTACCTTTGAGCTCTTTGGTGTTTCCATCGCATCGAAGACTAACTCCCTCATTTCACCATAGAATAGCGCATATCCGCATCTATCCTCTCCGCTCGTTCATCATCGATCGCCGATTCAATCCTTGTCTCTTTAGATCGGGTCTTCTAGACGAGGGGTCAATCGAGCCCACTCATCTCGCACATCAATCCATCGCTTCCTAGCGCATCCTCGCGACGCTTAAGAAACCTGTTGGGAAATATTGGATCACGAAGTCATAGGATATTGTCGGTCGGAAGTCGAGAAAATCGCCGGATCCAAGATGTCGTCCGCTCCGACAGCAGACATGACCCCCGCGGAGGCCGAATCCGTCTACTTCAACAACTACCCTCCCCCCAAAGCTCTTCCGAAGCACGAGGCCCTGGCGCGCGCCTTCGTGGACTTGCATGTCCAAGCGGGCCGGCGACTGGTCCTCGTCACTTCCGGAGGCACCACCGTTCCTCTGGGTTGGTGAGCCGGGCACTGCGCACAAGAATCACGTCTAACCATGTGCAGAGAATCAAACCGTGCGCTTCATCGACAACTTCAGTGCCGGCACTCGAGGTGCCGTTTCGGCGGAGTACTTCCTGCAACAGGGCTATGCCGTCATTTTCCTCCACCGTCAGTTCAGTCTGCTGCCATACTCGCGACACTACAGCCACTCGACCAACTGCTTCCTCGATTTCATGGACGATGACGAGTCCGACTCCGAGGGCCGCCCGGTCGTTGTGTGCAAGGAATACCAGGATCAGATGCGCGATGTGCTGCGCAAGTACAAATACGCCAAACGAAACAACCTCCTCCTACTCCTCCCCTTCACCACCATCTCCGAGTATCTGTTCGAACTGCGGTCGCTGGCGCAGTTGATGAAGCCCCTGGGCCCCAACGCCCTATTCTATCTGGCGGCAGCGGTGAGCGACTTCTTCATCCCCCACGATCGCATGTCGGAGCACAAGATCCAGTCGTCGGAATTGCCGAGTCACCTGGAAAGCGGCGGCCAGGGTGAAGATTCGTCGGACATATACACCGGAGGACTCGAGCCACAACCGGTGCCGAACCGGAGCAAGAAACTGGTCATCGACCTTGACCCGGTGCCCAAATTCCTCCACCGGCTTGTGGATGGCTGGGCACCGGACGGCAGCATGGTGGTCTCGTTCAAGCTGGAGACGGACCCCAATCTGCTGGTGTACAAGGCGAAAACCGCCCTGGAACGGTATGCCCATCACCTGGTGATTGGCAACCTGCTGGCGACGCGGAAATGGGAGGTGGTCTTTGTCACGCCGGAGCCTCCGTATGAGCGTTGGATTCGCGTGCCCAAATCGCGGCGCAGCAAGAGCATTTCCGGTAGCGAAGACCAGGTCGGGTTGGCCGAGGCGGCCAAACAGCGGGCGGGCGAAGCCGCGCTGACGGGAGAAACCAGTGGGGGCACCACCACTGGCCCCGACCGAGTTCCTGAGGTGGTCACCACCGCGGAAGAGGGGGTTGAGATCGAGAGTCTGATCATTCCCGAGCTGGTCAAATTGCATTCCAACAAGATTGCGCAGTATAGCCGTTCGGCATAGTGTTGCATAGATGGTGAGGATTGCGGGTGGTGGAAAAGAGAGTGCGAATGAACCGTTGCCATTGCCATTTGTTGAGGGACGCTTCTTAGTGTGAGTAGCTTTAAAAACTGTAGTATGAGTGCAGCAGGGTCCATTGCTTCCTCGAATAGATTAATTGGAAAGGGGTCCATTGCACATACTGAGTAGCAAACTGTCAGGAACAGCCCGTTTTTTTGTCCCCTTCGGCTTTGGGGGCGGCAGAAAAAGCCTTGAACGCATTGAATTGACTCTGCCACTGCGGAGTACTTTTTCTCCCCTTCTCTTTCCCCTTTCGTTACTCACTTCTCCTTTCCCTCCCCCTCCCCCCTGATTCCAATGGAGCAAAGACGTGATGAACTCTAGATCATGGTGTTGAATCACAGATCCACCATGCGAGGACATTTATCCATCATGAAATCAATACCACTATCAATCCGTGAGTCGCAAAGAAAGCTGAGACAGAAAACCGCCGGGCCTGTCAGGGGCGGTTTCAGGATTGCAGCTCCTCCTCAAACCATGGCTCAGTCGGGGCCCGGGGGAAGCACCAACGCGTCATCGATGGCTGGGCTGAGTGGGCTGAGAGCCTGAGAGTAAGAAAACTGAATAGGGACCACCGTTTGGGACTCTAGATCGCCTAGACACTGTGGGCCGATCTGCGCTTTGCCTACGTGCCTTCCTACGTCGCCATCCCCACGCCCGTCCAAAAGACAGCTTCGTTGGTTGGAACAACCGTTTTCTCTTTCTCTTGGCTGCTGCCTCTTCTTTCTTTCTCATCATCATCTTCTGCTATCCTGTCTACTCTGTCCTTCTCCCCCTCAACTTCTTCTTCCTCTCTCCTCCTCCACGGATTCTCCCCCTCTTCTCCAAACCCTATCCCCATTCTTTTCTTCTAAGCGCCAGGCGACTGCGTTCCTACCCGTGCTCTCAGGAATCCGACCCCGTTGTCCGACAATCCCAGAAAATAAACACTCGAGGAAGGGAAAGCTGTCAGCCATTGAACTTGTCGACACGAGCCGCATTGATAAACATAGGAAGAAAATGATCAACGTGTTGCAATCAACCTGGAGGATCGGTCCATAATTTTGCTGTTTCAGTCGCATCTTCTTTCCTCTTGTCTGTCACTCACAGTTCAACTTGTCCCACTCCGCTGCAGGTCGGCTTCCTTGCTGGACTAATCACCAACCAACCTCCGCTTCCTCTCTCCCCTCGTTTCCCCTCACTTCAACCACCACTGCTGCGAGGATGTTCCGTCGCTCTCGTCGCATCGCAGCCCTCTCCGCCCTCCTGGGACTTATCCTCCTCTACCACTTCTACACCCTTCGCTCCGAGCTACATCCTCAACAAAATGACGAAGCCCGTCGCACTCTGCCCGAATGTCCTTCCCTCCCGGGGATGGAGGACGTCCTCGTCGTGATGAAGACCGGCGTCACCGAGTCCCTCGACAAAGTTCCCGTCCATTTCCACACCACCCTCCGTTGCGTCCCTCACTACGTCATATTCTCGGACTTTGCGGAAGAAATCGAAGGGGTCAAGATTCAGGACGCCTTTGTTGGAATGGACACCACCGTGCGGGATACCGTCGAGGACTTCAACCTTTACAACCGTCTCCGCGAACAAGGCCGTGCCGGTCTCGAGTCCGCCGACTTCGCTGACGAGGCCAATTCCAACATCGGCAAACCGAACAACCCGGGCTGGAAGCTTGATAAGTGGAAGTTTCTCCCTATGGTTCAACAAGCGCTGGCCTATAAAGACGACGCGAAGTGGTACGTCTTTATGGAGGCGGACACATATTTCTCGTGGCCCACGCTTCTCGCATGGCTCGCACATTTTGACTCCAGTGAGCCGCACTATATCGGAACCGAGACCCAGATCGCGGACGTCATCTTCGCGCACGGCGGATCAGGCTTCCTCGTCTCCAACCCGGCCATGCGGCTGGCTTCTAAAGAATACGCCTCGCGGACGGTGGAGTTGAACGAATACACCGATTGGCACTGGGCTGGCGATTGTGTCCTAGGCAAGGTTCTCGCGGACGCCGGGGTGCCTTTGCACTACTCCTGGCCCATGCTCCAGAACTCCAACCTCGGCGAGATCGACGAGTTCGCCACGGGCTTCTATCGCAAGCCATGGTGTTTCCCCGCCGTTGCGTTCCACCACTTATCATCCCGCGACATCCAAGATTTGTACGAGTATGAGCGTCGCAGATGGCAAGATGTACGTGCTAGCACACTGTCTCCAAATCTTTCCCCTAACCCATGATCTTTTTTGGTGAATCCCCACCAACTAACGTATCCCGCGCCCCGTCAGGTAAACAAACATATCCTCCTTCACCGCGACGTCTTCAAGGAACTCATATACCCCGAACTCTCCAATGTCCGCGACAGCTGGGACAACCTTTCCGACCAAGAACGCCCCGACATCACCACCTTTCACGAGTGTCAGACCACGTGCGCCGAAGCGGCCAACTGCGCCCAGTTCGTCCTCCGCGCCGGCGTCTGCTTCCTCGGCGAGACGCCCCGGCTGGGAGTCCGCAACCCCGAGGCTCGGTCCGGCTGGGTCCTGAACACGATCGACAAGATGATGGAACATGCGCCACGGTGTGGTCGGCCGGACTTTGGTTTATAGACTTCTCTTTTTCTTGTCCCCCCCCCCAAAAATCACACAGAAACCTTGTCAGAACACTATTCGCTGGCCGAGTAATCTATCCCACAAGCTGATGAAACTATCCTCTGTTCTTCTTTCGGGATGGTGGGTGTGGTGCTATCTGTTTCTTTATATCGGATTAGATTACACCCCAGCTACCCCTGACCGGACATCGTGCTCTTCTTCCCAATTTTCTGGCAAGGAATTATGCATGTATTGTGGTCGATGGCGTTTTGGGAAGGGGGTTCCTTTTCACTATCTTTTCAGCTTCTTATTCCTCGATTTTGGCTTGCATCCACACCAGGCGTCTGGGTTACAGAGGGGGGCACAAACCACCACAAAAGAAGTTTTCCTCGATTTTTTCGCGATTGTGAGAAACAACATGTCTTGCATTCTTTGTTTTCTTGTGTCCGCTTCAGCGTTTCTTTTGGCCAAGCCTTGCTTTTTGTATCGTATACAACATGCTTTATACCAACTCATGCCACCATCAGTTTATACTTCCATCCGCGCTCCCTACAAAACAGAGCATAGCGTAGCGTAGTATAGCGTAGCATACAGGAAAACCACGGACCCAACCCGATTTACCTCTAGCTAATGGATCGGAAACTTCAGGGGGGGACTCCGCGGGTCTTCCAGACACTGGTCGATGCGCATGATGGTCTTGTTCTGGCTCTTGACGAACTGGATCACCTCGCGAAAGTAGCTGACGGTCGTGGCGCTCAGGAAGTGCATGACGGCCAGGTTGCCCCCGCGCCGGACGTCGCGGAAGAAGGCCTCGCGCTGCTTCTCCGGGGTCTTGGAGTCGGCCCACAGCCAGTCCTCGATGTCGACGCTCCAGGTGATGATCTGGGGGTCGGTGATGTAGTTGGCCAGGCGCTGGCGGGTGCGGGCGCCGAGGGTGCCGAAGGGGGGGCGGAAGTAATGCGCTGTGAACGGACGTCAAGTCAGCTAAGCGGATGGAAACCTCTGCCCGTGTTGAGGGGGCCATACTTTCGATTCCCAGGATCTGGCGAAAGGACTTGATGTTCTCGACGATCTCGCGGTCGATCTCGGCGGTGGAGCCTAGGCCTTCCATCCTGGATTGAGCCACTGAGAGTTAGTCGTATTTATCTGGCAATTTTGACAAAAGCCACACCCGCCATATCTCCACCCGACAGTCAACAATCCAGAAGAGAAGCAAAGGAGAAGGGGGACAAACTTGCGATGCGTATCCGAATGCAGGGCAATCTGATGCCCGCGGCGAATCATCTCGCGGTAGACATTCGAAAAGTTCGTCTCGCGGTCGCGGAGCCCCAGCCCGACGACGAAGAAGGTGACGAGCACGCGCTCCTCCTCGAGGATGCGCATGACCTCCTGGGCGAAGCGAGGCTGGCCGTCGTCGATGCCGAAGGCGAACGAGTCCGGGCGCGAGCAGGTCAGCGACAGGCGGCCGTTGTGGACGCGGTGCGGCACGGGGAACCCAACGGGGATGGCGGGGACGAGCTCCACGCGGTACAGGGTCAGACTCTCGAGCGACCAGAAGCCGCCGAAGCTGACGGAGACCGTCTTGGCCAGGTCGATGTGGAAGTGCGCCAGCGGGATGTAGATGTCGTTGCCCCGGGCGTAGCGCGCCGCCTCGACCACGTCCGACGTCTGCGGGAACGGGTTGCGCCGCACGTCGCACGCCGGGTTGTTCTGGTTCAGGAAGATCGAGAACTTCGTCGTGCCCCCGAACACGATGTGCAGCGCGTGCGTGGGCTGGTGGCTCCGCAGGTCGTAGCACGCTGACGCCGAGAGCTGCGTGTGGTAGTTGTGGTCCGGGTCCGAGGGGAAGAGCCGCACGAACCCGTTGCCGTGGTGCACGGTGAGCCCTTCCAGGGCCCCGTGCCAGTGCCCCAGGGCGTTGGTGTCTTGGTGCTGGAAGGTGTCGATTAGGATGGTGTTGGGGGGGCCTTGCGGGTTGTGGAAGGGGGTGGTGGTGAGATTTGGGATTGGTGCGGACGGTGGCGAGGGTGGAAGAGGTGGTAGCGGGGGCGGTGTTGCTTCAGTGGGAGTCATGAGGGCGGTGATGAGGAGAAGGAGGAGGAGGAGGAGGAGCGAGAGGGTGGTGGACATGCTTGAGGCCATGGTTGAGGTGGTGGAGATTACAACTGAATGTGTTTGGCAGTGCTGTGGTGCGGTGATGCCTTGATGTCTCGGTGGTGGTGATTCTGTCTGATACTAACGCTGGCTCTGTGCTGGAAGGAGCTACGAGGTGATATGCTACGTGGTCTACTCTGGGAAAGAGCATTCCCACGAGTCGAAAAGGTTGTGGCAGCGAACCTATCATTATGATAGACATTTTTCTGACCTCCAGATGTGACTGTCTGAACGACAAGATAACGACGCCGCTGATCAAACCCCCGTCCCTATCTACCACCCAAACAGCGTGGTCGTTGGCCGAAGATCCTGCAACACCGAAAACAGCATCCGCCGTGTAGGCAGACAAACCCAATCAGACAGCGTCCGCTAGATCTCCGGGGCATGACTGGAACAAGGAGGCAACCCTACAGCATCATCCTCAAAGCCACCGAGGTATCAACTCTCGAACAACATCGGGCAAAGTATGGCTCAGGATACCGTGAACCAAGTAAGGACACAAAGGGATTTCGAGACCAACGAGCTGAGTCCGTCAACAGAAGGTCCCACTCCATGCCTCTTCAACTCAGGGTGAGGGAGCCGAGAGGCCCGGTGCGGATCCCGAAGTCAACAGACAAGCCAAAGCTCCGGTCTTAGAAGCCCCAGTCGGTGTCTGATGCCTGCGGCGCGTTGCCAGCATCGTTGTCATCCATCTGTATACCTTCCCACGCTGCACCAGCGTCATCTCCAGCGTTGCCGTCACCGTTATCCTCATCATCGGTATCGTCCTGGAAGTCGATCTTGTTGTCAATAGGCTTGTAAGACTCAAGGAAGTCAGGAACCTTCTGGCCGCTCTCAAGAAGGATGCTGACAAGGTCAGGTGCAAGTTCCACATCGTCCTCGTTGTAGAATGAGGACGCCAGGCCTTCATTCCCAATGCGAGCGGTGCGTCCTATCAAAGGTTGGCGTGAGTCGCTATATGGATGGCTCTTCCAACTTACCAATACGATGGATGTACTCAGTGATGCCGCCGTGCTGGGCACGAGGCAGGTCAAAGTTAATGACATGCATGACATTCTTGATATCAAGGCCGCGAGCCGAGACACCGGTGGCCACGAGAATGGGGCACTTGGCCATGCGGAAAGCACGCCTATCTCTCGGTCAGAGAGGGTCTCACTTTGTCTCAAAAAGGGACTACCTACAATGCATCTTCACGCTCACGCTGAGTACGATCGGCATGGATCGAAGTGCTTGGCAAGCCCATATTGAACAGGTAATCATCCAACAGGTCGGCCTGGGTCTTCGAGTTAACAAACACCAGGGTCCGGGAAGGGGGCATGGAGAGCAGAAGATCATAGAGACACTGCTTCTTCATGTGCCGCTCCGCAAAGATGATCTGTGGCTATATTAGTAACAAACAGAAGCAGCCATTCCACGGGGAACCCTACGTTCTGCTGCACGTTGATGTGAGTGCTACCAGGGCGTCCGATGCGAATGCGAACATGGTCATCTGCGAGGTACTTGCGAGCCAGCTCACGGCAAGCCTTGTTGAAGGTCGCAGAGAACATCATGTATCGATGGTCAGCATCCTCGTTCACATCTATCGTATGTAAGTGTCGATGTTGTAGAGAGAAAGAATTGATGCCGGCATACCTCCTCCTGACATTATCTTGTTGAAATCCGACTCCCAATCAGATTGTAGAAGCTCATCGGCTTCATCGATGATAGTGTACCTGTGGTGCCGATCAATTTTACGTATCTTGTTTGCTGAGGAGTTGACTTACTTGACACGATGAAGCGAAAGCATGTGAGGCCTATCCATGAAGTCAAGGAGTCTTCCAGGTGTGGCAATGAGGATATCGCAGCCACGCTGCAGCTCGTCCCGCTGATCACGGAATGGCGCACCTCCATAGACCACACAAGGCCGCAACATAGACCGATAACATAGGCGTCTTGCCTCGTCGAAGATCTGAGTTGCAAGCTCACGGGTCGGAGCGACGATGAGGACCAACGGCTCAGCCCGGACAGCATCCGTGGCAGGATTGTAACCAGCAGCCACATTAGGGCGAGGAGCGGCGAGCTTCTTGGCCTTACCCATCAGCTGGGACAGGACGGGAATGAGGAAAGCCGCAGTTTTTCCGGAACCTGTTTATGTCAAATGGCTGTTGCAACATAACAGACAGAAGTGCTTACCAGTCTGGGCAATGGCAATCAGGTCATGTCCAGTGATAACTGCTGGGATCGAATACGCCTGGATGGGTGTTGGGTGTGCGTAACGACAGAGTTCAATATTCTTGCGCATGATCGGATGCAGACCAGCGTCATTGAACTATGGCGATCAGAGTCATGATCACACTCAGCATATGTAGGGATATAAACGTACGTCTCTCACAGGGTTGGGTCTTTCACGACTCTCGGCGATGACCTCAATCTTTTGTAGACTATACACAGTTAGTGGTCCGGGATGTGAGGCTTTAAACTGCAGCTGACATACTTTCCAATCTTCAGACCAGCCCGGTTGATGAATTCGTTTCGGAACAGTTGTTCCTCAAGCTCAGGTATCTCCGGGCCTACATCACCATACTCGTCCTTCCATTCATATTTGGCTGCATTTGCCGCCCACTCGGGGAGCTGACCGTCACCAGCGTCGCCAGCGGGTTGATCAGGAGCGGGAGTAGCAGTGTACTTGTCATAGTCATAGCTCTCTGGAGCCACCCACCCCTTTGCGCGGGCGAGGTTGGACGCGTCGTTCTCTTTGTTGTCCTGACTGTTTGTCACATCGTCGAGCGCGGAACCCAACGAAGACATATTGAATTCCGCCATGATTGCTCGTCCAGGGCTGGACTACCTCCCCAACGACGTCCTACGTGACAGACTCTTGACACCAGCCTATGAGTAATCCGTAGTTAGGACGACAAACACGTGTTTGTTTTTGAAGGGCAAACGATACCTTTGTTGAGAGACGCGTGAGACAGTCAGTAGTCAGACCGTGATATGAACAGATGACGAGGAGAGATAGGCACGGAGATGAACGACAAAGAAGGGCAGTGCACAGCTTACAGGGGTGACTGAAAGATGAGAATGAAGAGGAGAGAGAAGGAGAAAAGAAATGAGGGGAAAGGAGGAGAGGGGAGAGGAGAGGACAAAAGATGGGAGAGAAAGAAAGCTGAGGTGGTGGGTGTGGGCTGGCCTCAACAACACCTCACGCCGAGTCAAGCAAACGGATTGCACAACCACAAGACACCTCGACGGAGTGAGGCCAATGAGCAGCCGTTCTCAAGCCTTGTGAATGTAGCACCTACCTACGGAAAATTCATATCAAAATGGGAGTACACAGGGAAGATGACTACAAGAGATCAAATTGAGAGATACTAGTACTCGGGAAATTCAGGACCACTGTCAAGTTCCTAATACCCAAGCGGAAAAATCATCTGGCCCCCTCTGAAGACAAGTGACGAGGGATTATCGAGTCTTGAGAAGAGAATTATATCATGCAAACATCCGAGAGCCGAGTATGGCCATTTACTACCTTTCCGTATAGTGACCGGATCTAACTGAAGATAGCATCGCAGCAACTCAGAAACACCAATAGACGGGATTTCTTGTTGCAAAAAGAGACCTGAACTTTTGATGCTCGAGTGCTGCTGCCTGTCTCTCGGTTACTGTGTCTGAAAGCTTGAAGTCGGGCGGAAGCAATGTTGTCTTCACTTCAAACTCTGTTCATGAGATGCACTTCACTTGAAATACTAGAAATTTCTCTATCTGTTTTACTTCATTCGGCATGCCAAACACAAGCAAAGCCCTCTAAGCTTCCACGTCTATCGCCTCCTCCCACATTCCCTGCGTCTAGATCTACAATAACACTAAGGAAGTTTTTCCGATGTATTAATTGCAACACGCCCCGACCTGGACACAGCAGTCATTTATGACATCCGTCTGCCATTACAATGCTACAACCAGCATGGCGATGTGGACTTTGGCCTTGGGGTCGTCTTCTCTCAGATGGGTGCTGGCCCAATTTTCCGAAGCTCTGGCGCAGCAGCTGCACATATTGTGAATGTTGAAGGAAAACTGTAAGTATACAGAGATGCGCTACTTTGAACTGGCTCAGTCGTAGTTATGTCAGTTCTCGGGGGTCAACGTTCCTGAATCATGTGCTTTATTTGGAGCACCTATGTCAGTCCTCGCGGATTAACGCAATCATCAACATCCACCGGTGTTGTACTGGTGGGCCTGTCGTTCCCAGGTCAAGGTCTAACATTGGTTAGAGACCAGATAAGGACTCAAATTCGCAATTTCTCTGGTTGGCCAGCTCTACCAGAGGTCATGGAGAGAGCCCAGTCGACTCTGGGGATGATTATGCTGAATAGGTCGACCCCAGTGTTGATATTGTCTTGCAGGTCTCGGGAGCATGCACTGCGATACCAACTGCGCACGACTGAGAGAATTTGGGGATAAGCGATCGCTTTGCCTTGTACGATAGAAGCTGGACGACACCCTTTGTGGATTTAACCAGGGACGATCATGAAAGACCAATATTTCCCAAGGACCATGGCATCAATCTATGTGCGCAGGAGCTATGAGTGACTGGCGTTGTGGTGGAGATGATGCGCCTGTCTACAGCAATACGAGTCAATGCTGCTCTCATCAACATGGACATACAGGACTCCGTATTACGACTTGTCTTTCTTTCCTCTTTGACACTGAGCAGCAGTCAATGAGCCGGTCAATTTGAGGTATTTATGTAACCTTTCCTATGCCTGTGGGTCGAGTAGCTTCGGTATAGCTCTTGCCTTATTTCTCCGGCATTAGGATATTTTCCGACGTCATCTCAGGGGCAAATCCCACTCGTCAACTTGCATGGGACATGCACTCACCCCGTTCTGACCAACAACAAAGCCATGAGGCTCTGAGACTACGAGCAGATGAAGTGCGTGAGGATAGCCCATATCTTCACAGATCGACCTGCATTCCCTTGCAGGACAGTGGCGCGGCACGGAACAATTGGGAACGAAAAGGTCGGAGACTCCGTCCGCGCCCAGCCCGTAACCCGCCCAAGTGGGTTCGACCGACCTCCAAGCGGGCAGAAGGAATCTCAAATATACGCTGTACTCTGTATCACGGGCCAATAATCCCATTTCCCCGAGACCGAACTGAGCTTCCTCAGCGACCCTCAACTACTTTTCGGATTTTGGATTTAACTCACTCAACCCCCCCCCCCCGACCCTCCTTTGTCATCGCTCCGATTCTCAATCCCATGATACTCGCTCCATGCCATTGAGTCGTCATGGCCACTTCTACTTCGAATCGGGCGAGCGCGCGGCTGGAGCTAGCCAATCCGGGGACCGTCAAGATCAATGTGAAGGGAGCCTTCATCGTGGACGATGATCCGAGGTCCAAAAGTCCGGTGAGGACCGACGGGGTTTCTTATGAAGGTGAGCAACACCTCCCCCCTCCCCTCCCCCGCGAGAAGCACGCCTTTTTTCGTGGCCGGCACGTTTCCACCGGTTAACCCAACGAAACTCACTTTTGCTTATAATCCTGTGGCTCAGGTCATGACATTCGGCTTCCGAACCACAAGGAAATTAGTCATGTAGCTGTTGATGTGAGTTAACTTTCTCTCCCTGACCTGAACCTGGCCCGTTGCATCCGGACACTCCGCGGGTTCCCCGCACACAATCGGCAGCAACTCCCCGCAATCCTCAACGTTCATTGCACCAGCACCACCAGCACCACCAGCACCACTTTAATCAGAGAACTGACTCGAGCAATATGGTTTTTAGATCGGCGGCTCGTTGGCCAAGCTCGTCTACTTCACTCGGGAGATCGACTCCGCCGACAATGGCGGGCGACTCAACTTCATCAACTTCGAAACCTCCCGCATCGACCTGTGCATCGACTTCATCAAGGAATTGAAGGCTGAACACGAGAAGCTGAAGGGCTCGTCCGGGGCGGAACTATGTGTGATGGCGACGGGCGGCGGGGCTTACTTGTACTATGACAAGCTGAAGGAGTCCCTCAATGTCGACATCATCCGGGAGGATGAGATGGAATGTCTCATTACCGGTATGCATGGCTCACATTTCACTGATATGTGGTCCGACAAACACATCTCTGACTCGAATCTCTTTTTCCACAGGCCTGGACTTTTTCATCACGGAGATCCCCAACGAGGTGTTCACGTACAGCGAGACCGAGCCCATGCAATTTGCCGAGGCCCGACCGGACGTTTACCCATACCTGTTAGTCAACATCGGCTCCGGCGTGTCCATGATCAAAGTCTCCGGCCCCAAGCAGTTCCAGCGTGTGGGCGGTACACATCTGGGGGGTGGGACCTTCTGGGGTCTCATGTCGCTGCTGACGGGGGCCCGCACTTTCGACGATATGCTCGCCATGGCGGATCGGGGTGACAACAGCGGGGTGGACATGCTGGTGGGGGATATCTACGGCATGGACTACAGCAAGATCGGACTCAAGAACACGGCCATTGCCAGCACCTTCGGCAAGGTGTTCCGCCTTAAGAATCAAGCGGGTCAGCAGACAGTCGACGGAGCAGAGTCGTCTCCCGACGAGGAGCTTGATTCGACGAATGGCGATCCGAAGTTTAAGCCCGAGGATATGAGCCGGAGTTTACTCTATGCTATCAGGTGCGTCGTGATCTTTACCACCCGACTTCCAAAAAGGAACAATCGGACTAACAGGGCACAGTAACAACATCGGCCAGATCGCCTACCTGCAGTCCGAGAAGCACCAGGTCAAGCACATCTACTTCGGCGGCTCCTTCATCCGCGGCCACCGACAGACCATGAACACGCTCTCGTACGCCATCAAGTTCTGGTCCAAGGGCGAGAAGCAGGCTTACTTCCTGCGCCATGAGGGCTACATCGGCTCCGTCGGGGCGTTCCTGCGGAGACAGCCTGCCAATTGGGGACGCAGGAACAGCATCGACGAGGCGTCCCTGCAGGAGCTCAAGGCGGCTCTCGAAGCCAAGCACCAAGCTAGTCAACCGAACGCACCCTAAACCCAATGGACCTTTCGGACAAAGCATGCATGCTGGACAACTTAGATGTGTCCGGCCCCTTACCCCCTACCCCCTTCCTCCTCCACCACCACCACCTCCACCACCTCCTCATTTTGAGCGTTTTGATACCCGTCGATTGTCATGACACGTTTGTACTACTGCATTTTATACTGTTTCTATATCATAATGCTCGCCTGAAAGTCTTCGATAACATCCTCAAAAATCATGAACAAGGCATTAGACTCCAGATTGTGTTTTGGCGAGTGCTTGTTGTTTAGACTGTTGTGCACTTATTTTCATTTTTGGGGGGGGGAATTTCTTGCCAGGCATCCACTGCACGACCTGGCATGTCAAGAGTGATTCCTTCTCGGGCGGTCTTTCCTTCTCGGTCATGTTTCGGAGTCGGCCAGTTGTCCTGTACCACTGCATAGATACCAGCGTACATCGGGAACCGGGTAGATCCCGAATCGACCGGTCGATATTCTCAAGCATCCATACGATTACAAAGATATATTCAAACAAGGCGCCAGCAATGAGCAAGCACCCAGCGCCTAGCTGCGCTGTTCTTCTCTCTCGGGCCTCAAGGTTTAATAACCGGCCGGACTTTGATCTCCACAGCCGGAACATTGTCCTTCCCTTTCAAGCTATCCAAGGCCACCCAGACCATATCATCAGACTCCTCCTGACCACGTTCACCACTAATACTGTGGCAGCTTTGGAAGAACTGGAGGCGATTCACACCTTCCGTTCATAGCAAGCGGTGGTGGGCGGCCTTTACTTTTTTTTCCTTCGCAAACCAGCCTTTGACTTATTTGGTGCCGTGTATACGCTCGCTGTATACGGATTGCCAGACATGGATTCAGACCTGTCTAGTACAATAAAGATTGTACGGAGACAAAGCCCGCTTATCAGCTTTTCGTAAGACAGCTATTGCTTGCTCACCGGTAGTGAGACTCTGGTCCCTGGATCGCATTTGGAGAACTGTACGGAGTACGGAGTATACTACGAGATTATTTACGAGATATTTGTACACATAGTTAGCGTTAGTTAGAGATTTGGATGACTAATCCCACGTGGGCGGCGTGCCGGAACTGGCGATTCGCGTCACCGACCGGGGGAGACTCCAGCTCAGGCGATTCTATCCTAACTCCGGCTCTTTCTTATCTCAATCGTCGTATCACATCATGCTCCAAGCATGAGTCCGGGTCCTGCTCGATGCCTTCGCTGTCCGATTCGCCTCCTCCCGTTCCGCCCCCGGTGCCCGTCGATACCCACCCGAACCGCAGCGTCGGCCTGAAAGAGCAACGAGCCCTCCCGGATCCCACCAGGCTTGCCCCTGAAGATGCATACTACACCTCTTCGCTGCCGCGCGCGCGGCCTACCTCGGCCCACTTCGACGACTCGATGCGCGTGTTGAACCCCAACGCTGTGGCGGCGTTGCGATCGCCGCCGGCCGTGCCAGGAGCCGGGGGTGGTCGAAAGGAGGTACAAAAGCTGCGAGGGTCCAGCCGACGGAGGAGACGAAAGGGCGCGTGGAAAAAGCTACTCTGGGTGAAACAGTCCTGTAAGTTGATTCGCGTGATGACCTACGAGGGTCTCGGGTTTGGGGTTTGGTATAAGGTACTAAATCGATACGCACAGATCCCGACAACTACACGGATACAGAGACCTTCCTGGACCACCTTCAGCGCAATCCTCGCGTACGACCCTACGATTTCTGGCCGCTCGTGGCCGACTCCACGGTTATCGTACAACATGTATGCTCGGTAGCGATCTTCGTGTGCTGTTTCGTTGGCATTGTGCAGGGCCGCGTGAGCCCTGTCTCAGTGGTGTGCTGGGGCAGCGTCGGGACCGCCTTGGGTTGGATCTTTTGGGACTCTTGGATTCTGCGGGAACATGTGGAGAGTGCCCAGGTCGCTGAACGAGCATCATCGGAAGGTGATGACGGATCGAGTTCTAGTTCCATGACTAGTTCTGTCAATCCGTCGTCCGGTACCGCTAGTTCGCGTCCCTGCGGGCAGAAGGAGAACCAGGTACACGGGCTGGGATTGTCCATGGCACAGAATGAATGCAGCGAGCCAGCTCTTCGACAAAGCACGGGAAGCGGAGGGGATGTCGATGGCAGCGGACAGGAACCAGTGTCTCCTCTGTCTGGCCCTGCCAGTGGTCCTCTGGGTGGTTTGTCGTCCGAGGCGGACATGTCGCCGATGTTCTCCTCGAGGAATCGCCAGCGGCTTTCTACCGTCAAGTCGGCTTTCCTGATCTACTTTTCCTTGCTCGCGCTGAGTCCAATCCTAAAGTCGCTTACCAAATCGACCGCCAGCGATTCGATCTGGGCCATGAGCTGCTGGCTGCTGATCATGAACATCTTCTCCTTCGACTACGGAAGCGGGGAGGGCGCAGGCGCCACCAAATTCCCGGCTTCTTTGTCTACCAATGCCGCAGTGATGGCTTCCACCGTGTTGGCGTCGCGACTGCCATCCACCACCCACGTGTTTAGCCTGATGCTCTTCTCAATGGAGGTCTTCGGATTGTTTCCCATTTTCCGACGGCAGCTGCGCCATGTGTCCTGGACGGGCCATATCCTGCTGACGCTGGCGTTGGTGCTCGTCGCTGGTGGTGCCGTAGGCATCACCCTGCGTGGCGGATGGGCGGCGTTTGTGGTCGGATCCATTCTAGGGAGCATCCTGACGGCGCTGACCATGGGAGGATGTAGCTGGTGGCTGATCAGTCTCCAGAAGTATAAGAATGTGGTGACTGGGCCGTGGGATCCAGCCCGACCGATTATCCGGCGACACTGGGATTGAGGACTTGCAGCGTGTGTCTGCTGTCGACTTGAGAAATACTTTTACAAGATACCCATACAGTATTGAGACTTTGGATCTAGCGCTTTTCATATGGATATGGATTTGAACCGTGAAGTTAACACCTTGGCGTCTCTCCGTGTAAGACCTGACATAGTGTACTGTACATCGCCAAGAAAGGACCGTGAAGTCGGCTTCGATAGCCTCCTGCATCCCTAACTTGGGTTCATTGTTTCAGAACTGGCGGTTGAGGCATGCTTGATTTGCGGAATGTCGGCGGGAATGCTGGCCAACTGGAGCTGCCAGCAATCAACACCGCCGCAATCCCGGCCGTGACGCAAAGAAGAATCCCATCCAAGGTGCAGGCATGGAGCAACCTCCATACCGTATCTACCATGGCACACTTTAATTCATCTCATTCAATCCGTCATTGGGAGCCGGTGGAATCGGGAAATTCTTCAAATGCATGCCCGTGAGTGGGCGATACCCCAGGTCTAGGCAGGAGGCAGCAAAATACCCGAGTCGGAATGGAGGCCTGTCTCCGTGTGTTTATTTCTGGATCCTCGCCAGACTGTCAGCGATGAGTATTTATTCATCTTGGCCCACTCGGCGGCACACAAAGCCAGGTGACGGTCACTTTGCGCGCTGTCCACCTGATTCACTCCAGGGCGCACACCCACCACCCATCGACCACCACCGCCCATACAACCCGACGAGACCGGACACGAACTCACGATCATGCTCAAACGACTCGCACTGGCCCTCATGGGCCTGCAGTGCGCGGCAGCCTTGCGGATGGCAATGTACATTGACCAGTGAGTCTGCCCGCCTGCTATCTTTGCTTTGTCACGTACTGAAATCGAGTAGATACCACACTGCGAACCTGCCGGGCAAGGACAAGACACAGGGTGTCACGCACGCGATCATGGCGTTTGCGCCCTCGACCCTGTTCAACTCCGACTCGCCGCCCCAGTTCACCCCGTTCGAGTCCGTGTCGACGATGCGCAACCGCTTCAGCCCTGATACCAAAGTCATGATTGCCATCGGTGGATGGGGTGATACGTCTGGATTCTCGCAGGGATCCAAGGATGAGGCTTCTCGAACCCGCTATGCGAAGAACGTGGCAACCATGATCAACAACTTGGGCCTGGACGGCGTTGGTAACTTGGCCCCCTGTCCCCCTTTGCCCAACCTTCTGGAGCAAACACTAACCCGTGAGGGACCCATCCACAGACATCGACTGGGAATACCCCGGCGGCAACGGCCAGGACTACCGGCAAACGCCCAACTCCGCGAAGGTGCCGGAGATCGACAACTACCCGCTGTTCCTGAAGGCGATCCGCGACGCGATCGGGCCCAACAAGCTGCTGTCGATCGCGGTGCCCGGCAAGCTGGAGGACTTCATCGCGTTCACGCCAACCAACGGGCCCAAGATCTGGCCGTCGGTCGACATGGTCAACATCATGAGCTACGACCTGATGAACCGCCGCAACAACGTGACCATGCACCACACCTCGGTGGTGGACTCGCACACCACCCTGAAGGCGTACGCGGCCATCGGCCTCGAGAGCAGCAAGATGAACCTGGGCTTCGCCTTCTACGCCAAGTGGTTCACCACGGACCCCAGCTCGGACTGCAAGACCAACCCGATCGGCTGCAAGGCGGCCGTCATGGAGAACGCCGACGGCTCGGACAACGGCAAGTCCGGCGCCTTGACCTTCGAGAAGAGCACCATGAGCGCCGCCCCGGGTAATCTGAAGACTTCCACCGATGGCACCTGTGGGTTTGACAAGGGGACCAAGTGTCCGTCCGGCCAGTGCTGCAGTCAGTACGGAAACTGGTATGTCCTTCCCTTCCCCCCTGTGTTTATTTCGATTCATACAGTGTATCATGATCTCTACGGACGTGAGCTGACCGAGATGGCAACAGCGGTACGACCGACGACTTCTGCCAGGCGGGCTGCCTGTCGGACTACGGCACCTGCAAGGGCATCTCGATCACGGACTCGTGGCGCCGCGCCCTGAGCGAGGGCACCACCGACGCCACGATGGGCGGCCAGTACTACTTCGACGACAGCGTCAACATCTTCTGGAGCTGGGACACGGGCGACCTGATCGGCCGCAAGTTCACGGACATCGTCGACGCCGAGCAGGTCGGCGGCATCATGGCCTGGAGTCTGGGCGAGGATACCCTGTCGTGGGAGCATCTGTCGGCCATGCAGAAGGGGGCGAGCACGCGGTAAGATCCTGACGAGCGTTTGGGGAGGTTTCTTTCCCGGTTATGTCTCCGCATCTGTCTACGTATGTACAAGAAGAAGTACCCAGTTGTACGTGGCAGAATCTATCCAGCGTAGGCGCGGAGGACATGCAAGGTTAAGAACGAGATCATTTGAAGTCCATCAACCCGTTCGTCACTTTAAAACCAATGGCTTATAGCTTGCAAACAATATTCCAGATTGTGATACACTATATTTATCTATACCCCCCCAAAACAAAGCAAGATCAACTCGCCCTCAAAATACACCACTCCCCTACCATCTGTCCAGTCCAGTACACCTCCCGTTCAAGGTTTGACCATAATGTAACCCTTAAGTGCAGCTATCCGACCCATAAACAAAAGTGCCATCCGAGTCCTCACACCCGCAGGTCCCATCAGTCGGGCTCTTGATACATCCCGTTCCGACCCCCGAGGACTCGCCGTTGTCGCTGCGAAGCGTAGCGTAGGGTTAGCATGCATCAGCCCACGTCCAATTCCTTATCAAAACACTCCCCAACCCGGTGGAACCCTGCAGGCACCAGCCCACAGGGCCAGGAAGGGAACAGGGACAGGGAAAAAACATACTTCCAGAAGAACGTCCAGCAATCCGAGTCGGAGTCGGTCATCTCCGCGTCCGTGGGCGCCGTGCAGGTGTACGCGCTGCAGGTGCCGTAGGGGGCGCCGTGCGAGGAGTCGTACTCGTGGTCGGTGACGAAGACGGCGAAGGTTTGCGTACCTGTTTCCCAGATTTTCTCAGTATATGATTGAAAGGTGGGGGGGGG